CATCGTCGGCTTTCCCGTTCACAACGGGCGACGCTTCCCTCACGTAAGATGGCCGCTGGTGACAATCGTTCGCGAGTTTGAAGTTACGGGGTTGTTTTTTTTCGTCGTATTCCAGCGCCTTTCTCTTCTCTCTGAGGCAGCAAGACACGCGGCCTTCCACTGCCAATATCCACCAATGACAACCAACTCACGTGTCTCCTTGTTGTTGCAGTATTCATTACGTAAGGGACCGGCAGCCTTGGCTTCACCACCATCTTCTGGTAGAGAGCACAGCTCCAGATAATTGTCGATTTGAAGCTTTCGTGACTGCCAGGATCCATACTCTTAGGTTTTTTCGGTAAAGTCACGTAGGTAAAAAATAAAATAATCAAATAACTATTAATGAAAATAAATCAATTAACGTCGTGATTTTATTGATTTATTTTCTTTTATTATTATTTTTTACCTACGTGACTTTTCCGAAAAAACCTCAGAGAAGCTCCAGATAAATTCGAGTGTAAAGTAAAAGTTCCCTGCAACAAGCTGGTTAAGTGCGTGAGGGAGGATGCACGACTGGAAAATACGTGAGAACATGCAAAACTTGTGCGGGTTTCACGATGCATTTATATTTACGCGACCCAAAAAAACCTTTATTATATTCTTTGGTTTTTTCGGTAAAGTCACGTATAAAAATAAAATAAAATAAAAATAAATAATGCTATTATTTATTTTTCTTTTATTTTATTTTTATTTTTATACGTCACGAAAGCTCCAAAATTAAGATTGAACCTTTATTATAGATAATATTGGTCGCGAAAGCTGACGTGTTAAACTCGTTGAACATAGTTTGTTGAATAAAAGTGAGCATTGAAACGAGATTTAGAAATCTCGTTCATCCATTACATCGGTGCGTCTCTTTGTGTCTCCGTGTTTGCGTATCCGTGCCTGTGTTTGTGCACGTGGCCTCAAGGTGCACATGGCCTGGCACTAGCGTCGTTGTGACGTCACCGCCACTTCGTGGCGAATGGCGGTTATTGTTGTTGTGTTTGTGCAGCTCCTCGTGGCGGCTCGTGACATGTCCACGAGGTGGGGCTATTGTGAGTGACGTCTGTCACGGTGGCGTTCTCATGAAGAAAACCTCGTCGTGTTATTGGCCTTGCCGTGAAAGTGCTATAACTGTCCTGTCCCCCAACGGTGGGCATTTATAAACAATACGAAACAAAACAGCAAAGCACTCAAATGCTGTCCCCATGACCCTCAAGTCCACACTACACAACTCCTTTGACACTGCCAAAATCCGTGGCCTGCTGCTATAGTTGCACAGTGCAACCAAGCGTTGTGACATCGTCTCATTACAGCCACGGGCGTCTTTTTCACCGCCCTGAATGGGTGTCAAACGGAGTGGCTAAAATAAGCGAATGGCAAACGAATGAAGGGAAATCTCTCACTCGGACGCCTTCACAGCCGCCCCGATATCTCTCCGAGGCACAAATCACACTGTGGCTATGCAGCGGTTTCAAATGTGAACAACTTAAAATGTTATCTTCATGAAGCAATTCACGTTGAAAAAATCATTTGTAAACACAACAAAAGGATTTATATAAAAGTATTTTTATTTCAGAAATAATTTGATCTTCTCCAGCTAGTTGGTGGTGGGGCAGCGCCCCAACGCCCCTTGGGGACGAACCGCGCCTGGCAGCTCCGTGTCTGTGTGTCTCTGTCGATATGTCCTCACTTCGTGTATTTGTACCTCCTAGCCAAAGCAAGTGCACGGGTGGCTGAACCTACAGGGTTACCACGAAGAGTTGTGGCATTGCCATCACTCTGCCCACCAAAAGAAAGCACCTGCCTGGGCATGTTATAGTGGCTGTTGTTGTTGTATACAGGCAGTCCCCAAATTACGAACACCAGATTTACGAACCTCCACATTTACGACCGTTTCCATAAGATATGTATCTTTCAACCATCGATTTTCGAACGTGCACTCGCAGGTGAGAACCAAACCACGGAACTATTTGGTTTGGTGCAGCGATCCTTGGAGAGTCGCAGCATCCCGCGTAATACGCTACGAGAGTCAACCGGTCGGCGAGATTATTCTTGCTTAACATCGTGTGCTGTTTATTCTACGGAGTAAGTTTAGATATCGTAGTGAACCTCACCATGTCTGAGAAACGTGCGTCGAGGAAAAGCTGCACCATTACTATGGAGATGAAGCTGGACATAATCAAGCAGTCTGAGAAAGGTGAAACTCCTACGACCATAGGACGTACAGTGAGGGAAAAAAGTATTTGATCCCCTGCTGATTTTGTACGTTTGCCACTGACAAAGAAATTATCATTCTATAATTTTAATGATAGGTTTATTTGAACAGTGAGAGACAGAATAACAACAAAATCCAGAAAAAACGCATGTCAAAAATGTTATAAATTGATTTGCATTTTAATGAGGGAAATAAGTATTAGACCCCCTCTCAATCAGAAAGATTTCTGGCTCCCAGGTGTCTTTTATACAGGTAACGAGCTGAGATTAGGAGTATACTCTTAAAGGGAGTGCTCTTAATCTCACCTTGTTACCTGTATAAAGACACATGTTCACAGAAGCAATCAATCAGATTCCAAACTCTCCACCATGGCCAAGACCAAAGAGCTCTCCAATGATGTCTGGGACAAGATTAAAGACCTACACAAGGCTGGAATGAGCGACAAGGGGATCAAATACTGTTTTCCCTCACTGTACATTCGGCCTTCACCGGTCAACGATAGAAACAATGATACAAGACAAAGATCGAATTGTCGAACATGAGAAGGGATCGGTGCCTATGAAGTCAACCAAAATTACAAATAAAAGGGGTGCCGTGATTTGCAAATTGGAAACCAAAAAATGCTTATATGGCTTGAGGTCCAGAATCAGCGTCATGTGCCACAAAGCCGTATGTTGATCCAAGATAAAGCAAAACGTTCCTCCGAAAATTTAAAGGCGAAGCTAGAAAAGTTTCCTGAAAGGTGCCCTTCACCACACTCGCTTGCGTCACTATCTTTTAATGAACCATTCAATTCGCCTACACAACCAAGTCAGCATCAGGACTCAAGGTAACGAAAACAAAACGGATTTATTTCTTTATATGTTACCTTTTTGAAGTTGTATTTACTATACAGGATTTTTTTAGAGTGTTACATGCAAATGTACAATAATTCTTATTTATAAGCTGAACAATACTGCCCTTTTTCAACGGTTTCAATTAACTTGATTTCTCAATTTGTCATGGTCAAATCTTGTAATCAAAATTTCTTCCACTTCCCGTTGTCCAATCAATTCCACATTTTTCACACGTGCTCAGATCCGGTGACAATGCATGCCAGTATCAAAATCGGCATCGATTAATTCGCTACTTTAAAGCAATTAACATTTTGTATGGACGCCTTATTATTTATATATATTTGTGTAGGTACAAACGCCGCGGTCCCTAAACTGCGGAATCGGCTCGCACAAAAAGCAGGCCCCGCGTGTCTCAGGCGCCATTGACGTACTTCTCGACCGTGAGTTAAACGAAGTTGTTAATAAAACCGGTGTTTAAAAAAAACATTTTTTAAACGAGTTTATTTGTTTAACCATAACACATTTTATAACATTTAAATACAGTTCATTATTGCATCCCGACTTACGAACCATTCGACTTACGAAGGGTCCTCAGGAACGGACACCTTTAGGAAGTCAGGCACTTGCGTGAGTGTGCGTCCATTTGTGTGTGCATGTGTGTGTGAGGAGCGGTCGTGTAGGTCATACGTCCTTGCTAACAGCCCTTGTCCAAACAGTCTGTTACGGATATACAGAGGTTCTTTGTCTTTTGCCTTTATGTGTGTGACGTTTTATTTCGGGTTCTTTAACTTTAAAAATTAAATCGTTTTATGAAAGAGGTTTTTGAGTCGTAAAAATGTCCGTTTTTTCGTCTTGGTGGTGGGATTAGTGGCGGCGGTGTTGGCATCGTGTAAGCGGCAGTGGTGGCGGTCACGTCGTAATCGTTGGCATTCGCAGCGGTGGGAGTATCGGTGACATTGGTGGAGATGGCGACGTTGGCAGCTGCAGCACGAATCAACTTCTCGTTCTCGTGACGCAGCCGTTGATTCTCCTTCTCTACGAGGCGGATCTCCTCATGCAGCAGCTGTGGATGCTGCACCATCGCCCTCTCATGAAGCAGCATCTCTCGAAGCAACGCCTCATTGTCCTTACGCGTCGCCGCCTCCCTCACCCTCAGGATTGCGTTGTCGTCTTCCACCGAGCTTTTTATTTGACGCAGCTTCACGTTTTCCTCGCACAGCATGGCGTTGTAACGCTCGGCGTCGGATAGGTTACAGCTCCAACGACGCCACAGGATTATCTGGATCACAGCCATCATCACTATCGTAATGCCCATCAGCCGTGACACAGCGCATGGCAAGGGGTCTATGTTGGGCTTTGTGCACAATAGAGTCGGGATTGGGTAGTTGGCACCGTGAATCAAGGGGAACATGACAAACGCCATGACCCCAAGCAGGAGCAATATCTTGACACGGGTGCTGCCAACGAGAAGCCAGTTCGAGTGTGAGCGTCACGTGCGAGCGTCACGTGTATATAGCCTGTGACGATTTATGACGTCATCGCCGGATGTGACGCGCTTAGAATCCGATACCTGCCGGTGACGTCAGCTGACACCGCCCCCAACAAATTTTTTTGGAACGTCACACAAGGTCTGTGACGTCATGAGGTGCGCCCTCATTAATTATTAATTTATTTCTCACGCGGCGGGGAGGATGACGGCGGGGGGGAGAGACGGGGAGGGGGCGGGGTCGGTAGCGCGTCCGCGGTGTACGCGTTCCTGTCGGCCATCTTACACAGGGAAAACTCTCCCGCTTTGGCCAATCCCCGCGTCCCGTTTCGGCGTGCGGGGGAGGGGGGAGGTGTGAAGTGGTGACGTGTTGATGACGTCATCGCCGGCTTGTCCATTCACAGCAGCGGGCGACGCTTTCCTTGCGTAAGATGGCCGCCGGCGGCGGCGAGTCGCGGGTTGCGGCGGCGGTGGCGGCGTCGTTCAGGGCGCACATGGGGCGCTCGTTCCCTTCTCTCCGAGGCAGCGAGAGAGGCGGCCTTCGATAAGCTCCGATAAACAACACCCAGCTAACCAGCGTGTCTCCTTGCCACTGCTGCTGTTGTGTTTGTTACGTAAGGGAACCGGCCGGCTTGGCTTCACAACCACCACCACCGCCAACAACAACCACCACCACCACCACCACCTTCCCCTACGAGGTTTCAAAGCTCTGCGGGGACCTCTTTGCGGGCTCTCTCGCTCGCTCGCTCGCCCCATCGTTCATGGCCGTGTCGCGGGGAGACGTCGTCTACCAGAAGGGGCAGGTGATGGAGAAGCCTCGCCTGCACCTCATCTCCCATACCTCCTCCTCCTTTGTGTTACACGCGCGCCACGCATCCGCTGCTGGATGAGGGCCTCTGCACACGCCGTGGGGTTTATTCACTTGTCCATACCTCACCTCGCCTGGTCTGTGCGCGTTGGTGCGAGTGGGAGGGGGGGTAGCGTAGAAAGTCAGTCGAGTGGTGGCTTGCGGATGTGCTTTTGTTTGCTGTGCACCGCGAAGTAGAATGAACCCGTTACTTTACAGACGTTACTTTATTGACGTAACCTTTTAACGTTACTTTAACGGCGTTACTTTGCATACGTAACGTTACATACGTTACTTTACTGACGTTACCTTACTTACGTTACTTTTGCGCGGTACGCTGTATGGGCGTGCACGGTTGGGCTTACGTGCATTGTACAGTGACACTACAGTGCTGTGTGAAGTCAACAGTGCACTGCTTTGTGGCGAATCAACAGCGGTGGTCACATGCGAGTCACCCACTCGCCGCCCTAGAAATGAGGAATTCCCACCACTGGCTCGGTATATAATGTCCCCTTGCTGGCATGACCATACAATCAGTTTTCGACGCGTACTACATTCAATTAGCCTGCAAGTTGCGAGTGTCAGCACTGTATGGAACTCGAGCTTTCACTCGCCCGCATTCACAGACCCGCTCTGACCGGCGTGGTGAAGTATGGTCACAACAGGCGCCGCAATGCGCCGCCCCCTGGTCCAGCAGTGGACGTCGTCACTTCTCTCACACAGCGCTCCGGGGACGCCGTGGGTCTCTGTGCGTGGCACGTGCGGCCCATGTCGACTCAAAGGGGTCGTGGTGGTGGTGATGGTGATGGTGGTGATGATGGCCGTGGTGGTGGTGGTGGTGATGATGGTGGTGGTGGTGATGATGGTGGTGGTGATGGTGGTGGTGGTCGTGGTGATGGTCGTGGTGATGATGGTGATGATGGTGGTGGTGATGATGGTGGTGGTGGTGATGGTGGTGGTGATGGTGGTCGTGGTGATGGTGGTCGTGGTGATGGTGGTGGTGATGATGATGATGGTGGTGGTGGTGATGATGATGATGATGGTGGTGGTGATGGTGGTGGTGACGGTGGTGGTTGTGTGCCCTTTGTAGAGTGACGATTCTGACATTTGGGACGACACAGCGCTCATCAAGGCGTATGACAAAGCCGTCACGTCCTTCAAGGTGAGCGAGTGTCTCCGACTCTGGCTGCGAGCTCAACTTTCTGTATTTGCGCGGTCAGGGTGACCCTGAAGTGGTGACGGTAGTTTTTGTATTAAAGTATCACTCGTGGGGAGTGGTAGTGCAGCGGTTAGCGCACTGCGTGACCAACCTGGCTACACGGGTTCGATTCCCGCTCACCGCCAACACCGGTGACGATGATCTGAACCGGTCCTGGGCCTCCCCTAGGTCGACTCAGCCAGAAGTGGGTACCTAATGCGGTGTGTAAACATCGCCACTGGGGAGACAAAGGTGGCCGGGCGTGGTGCTGGCCACCCACCCCCTCGTGTGCCATGCCGGCCTTTATAGGTGCTCGCTAACAGCACTTGCCTCATATACGGGGGGTCTTTGTATCGCTTGTCTGCGTATACTTGTACTCTTCGTACCTCTGTGTTCGTGTACATGATTATACAGTAGTTACACCTTGAGACACAACACACCCTGTTTCAATGGATACCCGGGAAAGCCCGACAACATAACACACTTCGTGTGTCACGTGCACCACCAGTGGTTAGAAAACTAATTTCTTTAGAACTACATTCTAGTCCCCCGCACCTCTGATGAGCATGGTTGGCTACGTACGATGCGACAGAAATTCAACATACGTTCACCTTCGAGTACTGTGTTATCATTCGATGGTAAGCGCCTTGCTCAAGCTGATATGACTGTTTTTGTCTAAACGAACTTCCTCACCAGTGGGCAGTGAGCGTGCACAGTGATGCGTGCGCAGGTTGGAAACATGTCGGCCACAAATATGAATGGAGAAAATGGGCACAGTGGTTTGCCAGCATTGTTGCTAACTCAATAAGTCGGGATATACCTAGACTAGTTATAAGAAATGGCACTGGACGTTGTGCCATAGCAAAGTGACATAGGATTTCTATAAGGCGCTTTTTGAGTTGATGAGCCATTCAAAAGTCATGTAAATGCGTACATTGATACGCAGCTGGAATTGCTTCTAAATCCTCTTAATTATCCAAAAAAGTCACTCATGGTCGCTTTACGAGCCGTTCCAAAGTAGTACGTGTATGTACAGACGCAGATCAATACACCGTCTTAGAGCAGGGGTGGGTTACCTACGGCCCGTGACTTCATCACTGTATATGGCCGTGGCTACACGAAGCCCAACCAACCTCAACTAACCGACCGTGCTCTTTCAGACGGCGCTCAAAAATGGCACGGCCACTTGTGAGAGCCCCAAGATCTGCCGGGAGACGAAGTCTGTGAACAAGCGGGCGAAGACACGGAGACGGCACAAGAGGAACAGCGTGTCGCCCTCCGACAAGGTAAATTTCGATGTAAAGCTTTCGTGACTGCAGGGATTCATCTTCTTGGTTCTTTCGGTAAAGTCACGTAGAAGGGAAATAATAAAATAATAATAATAAAACATAATAAAATAATTCTCATGACGTTTCGGCCACAACGCAAGCAGCCGTCCTCAGGTGAAGAACAGGTCTGTCGGAAAGACAGTGTCAGAGAGAGGTAAATATCCTGAAGCAGAAGATTAGTGGTGCTCTGGATGTGGCTGTCACGTGTATTTGCAAATGTGATTTATAACTTTGATCATTACTTGCGTGATGTTAATAGTTGTCTTCTTTGTCGTTGTGTCTGCTGTCAAACCTATTTTGGTCTTTCCCCAATATTCTCCACAGGCCACCGCTTCTGGTATTTGGCATTGTCAAATCATTGTAGTGCTGCAGGGCAATCTCAGGGAGAAGATCCATGAGGTTTGCTTCTCCTGACAAGCAAATTATTTAATGAGATCTCCTTTGCCAATATTAAATTATGATAATCGGGATTTCCCCTTTCTGGTTTATTGCCTGAAAGGGGAAAGCCCTATTATCATAAGCAAATTATTATTTTGTGCAGAAGCCCCCCCATGATTTCGTGAGAGAATTGCTTCTGCCGAAATCCACTCAGTCTGTTTAGGCTCCACCGTGTGAGCCATTTTGAGTTGTAGCCAGATGCGAGCTCCGTGTTAATGTGCCATTTTATTGAGGGACTACTGTGCGGTGTTATCTCCGTGCGGTCTGGGACTGTTTTGTTGTTTTTGCTGCCTTGCCCAAGCTTGATAAATCGGACTCCCGTAATTAATAAATTCCTTATTTATATTTAGTGACTTGCTAACCATTTTCTCTAATATTCACTCCTATCGTTTCATTTGTATTGTTTGCTGTTGTACCTTGCTGACCTCCCCATTCTGGACCATCTGTGAAAAGGAGCTTCATAGCTCATCGAATTCCTCCAGTCTAAATAAAGATTCTCATGTATTTTTTTATAATTCAGTGGGCTCACATGACATTGATTTATCCAAGACAGAGGTTCTTTGCAAGCCATCTGGCTACCATGAGAGGTTCGTTCATGAGGCTATTCACATATACAAACACAGAGACGATTTCAACCGAGAAGATGGATTCTGGCTTAGCAATCATTGGAAGGATTTGATAAACCATTTCGGGTCTTAATTGATTGTGTTCACGCTTACGGTGACTTTCAGACCGCATTCCATTTTCTGCTCCCCCCTCCTCTTTTCCGAACATAGATGGACTCGTCCATCTGGCCAACTGCCAAATCGCTGTCTGTGGTGCTGACGTTAGGAAAAACCGCCACTTTTTTCAAATTTTCTTGCTGTGGATTTCACACCTGATGACGATTGCTTGTGTTGCAGTCGAAACTTCGTGATAATTTTTATTGTTTTATATTTATATTATTTTATTATTTCCCTTCTACGTGACTTTACCGAAAGAACCAGGAATATTCTCATGCATGTTTGTTGAACTGCTTTCGCACTGTACATAGCCAACCGCGCTAGTCAGAGGTGCGGAGGAAGTACAAGAAACTAAACACAAAAAGCAGTTCTAAAGAACTTAGTTGTAACTCTAGATGTAAAAGTGCACAGTTCCAGTGGCTTCCTAATATTGGAAAGGAAGAGCGTTCCAGATGGCCGCAGAAGCGCATCTGAAAGTGCATGGTGAAAAATCTAGCCAAAAGTTTGATGGTTAGCCAAACGGTCCCTTTCAGTGTTCCCTGCTGCGACGACACTGAGAACAAGGAACACAAATGATACGTAAGCATACACAGTCCTGCGGATGGCAATTTTCCTCAGCTAAATGCCAATGTCGAGGTCTTCCCGCCACGAGAGCGCTTCAGGAGAGAGTTCATGTAGTTTTTTTTCTTCCGTTGGTGGAGCGCAGACTACAGCGGTTTACTACGTGGAGACTTAAGGCAGCCAGGCGTGGTGCTGGCCGCACCGTCGCCTTGTACGCCATGCCGTCCTTCATAGGTGCCAACAGCGCTTGCTCCAGTGGCACGCGTCGGCTGCACGGGGGAATCGTTGCCCGTCTTTGTGCCAACCTCTCGTTTGCCAGTGGAGGCCGGGTGACCTGTGCCAGGCTGTCTGGTCCGAGGACGGCGTAGTCTACGACGCCACCATCAAGTCGGTGGACGCCGGTGCCGGCACGTGCGTCGTGGTCTTCACGGGCTACGGCAACGAGGATGAGATGGAGCTCGCCGATCTCCTGCCGCCAGCAGCGGAGTCCGCCGGCGGGGAGAGCGACACGGCCGCGAGCTGCGACGCTGACGCGGCGTCCCAGGGCGGCAAGGTGAGTCGGGGCGGCGGCGATTCGGATGAATCGATTCGTTAGCTGCCTTTACCGCTCAAAACATGCAATGCGGCAAATGTTCATTTGCTCTGAGCCAGTGGTGGAAAAACCCGACCCCCCCCCTCCCCCAAGGCTTAAACTTGTAACTTTTCAAGAACAGTCCTGGGACCACATTGACCATCTTGCACAAACCAAAATGGCGATATATGGTCAAACAACTCCCATGACCCAATACGGCATGGTGAGACCTTCATCTGTCAAGAGGGCTGTAAATTATAGCATAATTCATTCATTGTGGTGGAAAGGAATTTTTTGATACATTAGGGAAGAAAAGCAGCCTAACCCCTAAACGTTGGCAGCGACGTGGTTCTCCCCAGGACGTGGACGCAGCCCTACGTTTTATACAGCCGTGGAGGTGAGGAGGTGCCTTTCTGTCGGAGCGTAACAATACGAGTCGGTTGATCGGCAAGACGAAGATTTGTTTTCTGCGTGGGGAATTAAAGTTGTGGAGCGTCGTTGAACCAAATGCATTGCATTTCAAGAGAAGTAAAAACATAAAGAAAACCCGCTTCATGAAGGCAATTTTTATCGATTTTTAAGTCGGATTACAAACTTGTCTGCCACATGGTTTAACATTCTAGCAGATCTTTGTATTTTACGTGTGCCAGTGGAAGTACAGTGGTGGTGTGGTTGAGTGCACTACACCCCGAAGCCGGCGACTTGAGTACGGCCAATACAAGTGGCTAATATTTAATCCTTTCCTGCGCCTCACCTAGGTTGCCTCAGCCTTAAATAATCACCTGGTGTGGTGTGTAAATATCCACATTTGGGGAAACAAGGGCAGCATTGTGCTGGCCAACCATCTCCATCGCGTGCCGTGCCGGCCTTAATAGATGCTCTCAAACAGCATTTGCCCCAACAGTCTGTTAAAGGCTATGCGGGGGATCTCTGTTATTGTGGAAGTACATGCCGTATCAACAATGCAGCGCGTTGTTTAAGGCCCATATGTAATGTTATGTAAATACAGATATTACCTCTTCATAACGAACCACTTGCGAACCTGGAATGAACTTAAACTGGACCTGGAGGAAACGCGTGACGACGATAATGTATAGCTGTATATATAAAAAGGTTTATTTGAACAGGTATCCTAATCAAATGCTAAATTAAAACATGACGTACATTATTAATAGAACACAAAAGAAAAACCCATCAATGATTGGATGTTTGGCAGCGAGCACGATCGTTAAATATGTAGGGTGGTTAAGGTAACCCGAATGCTGCGTGGAAGTATATACGCTACTGCAGCTATGCTCGTAATAAACGAGCTGTCGTTATGAGCATGGTCCGCTACAGGAGGTCAAGCCGCAGTCATTTAAGCAATGCAGAATCGCGCGAAAGCGCCTCTCTGATGTGCGTTCCCGTGTGTGCGCCGACTCCGCAGGAAAGCGCCCCCTCCGCCGACGACTACGAGATGCCAGGCAGACCCAAGGATGGGCACGGAGCACGGAAGAAGGGGGGGCACAAGCAGAAGCACAGCGTCCCACCGTGGGACTACCCGTCGCCACCCTTATCCCATCCTCCCCCCTTCCCTGGCTTTCCACCTTACGTGAGCACCTTCGCCCGGTGGGACACTTGAGCTTTGCCGCGCGTGTCGTACGGAGACGCGAGTGTTGTTGGACGAAGAATTAAAAGTGATTGTTACATGCCGACGAGAGCGGGTAATCGATCGGCAGGTCGCATATCGTGGGGGAAAGCGTGTAGACTCCCGCTTTTTTTCCCCGTCTGGCCAGCGTGAAAGAGTAGGCCAAATACCCCCTAAAGGGGCTCTCTATGCCAGCAGTGGCTTGGCAAAACATTGGAGGAGCTGCATCTTTGCCTGAGTAGAGCTACCGCTCAGCAGTTTGTATTCACTCAAACTGTTGGTGCCTCGTTTTGTTGCGTTTGATTTGACATTTTTTCATTTTGTTTTTCAGTCGAACGCGTGGGGAGGATTCCCACCGCCTCCTCCACATCTCTCTGCAGCAGCTCTTCCGGTAGTTGACACACACATGGCCGCTCCAGTCGATACGCTGAGAATACGCACAAGTGTGGAAATGTTGTTACTTGGCTACATCACGAGAAAGCCCTTACACCAGGAAGGCCATCACACTCTCATTCAGAAAGTTTGCGACGTTGGGGTGTTTGTCGCTCATTGAGTGTTTTTGTGTGTAGGGGAATCCCGAAGGCCCCATGGAGAAAACTATTTTTACGAGACGAAAGCACCACAAAGTTTTTCTCAGATGGATTCAACAATGAATTTGCTGTATTGCCATTCCCCGAGTATTTCACAGCCCACTGGATTTGGGAGTTTTCGTGAATTTCGTGTCATCCACCAACCATTCCCGTCAGTGCTGGATTAGATGCGTGCCCAATAATTAATATTGCGAGATTATTTGGCTGCTATAAATACCCACGTAAGCCACTTCGTTTGAGTGGGCAATCAAGAGGAGGACCCCAATCCAGATGGTGGGATACTGTGGAAGGAGACCTCGGAGGTAATTTGTCAATTTGTAACAACTGTAGAATCAAAGGGAAGTGGCGATGAGGCATGACGGCATCAACCGTGCTGGTTGTGGCGAAGTCCGACTTGACTCTGGCCGTGTGGATTTGTCTTCACGGGACGGCACCCACGGATCTTGGGTTTATACTTTTTGGTTTAGGTTAAGTACACGTAGGTAGAAAATAAAATAAATTAAAATGGAACCGCCACAGTGAAATTACACCTGAAGATGGAGGCTTGTGTTGCTTCCGAAACGTCGTGATCTAATTTAGTTTTTAATTTATTTTATACCTACGTGACTTTACCGAAAAACACAAAGTATGGATCCTTGCAGTCATGAAAACTTCAAATCTGGGATCTTGGGTTTGTTTCTGCCGGCTCCCAGATGATTCCACCTCCCCCTCTGCCTCCGAGCGCCGCCTTCCCGGATGACGATGACGAGGCTCTGGGCAGCATGCTGATGGCGTGGTACATGAGTGGATACCACACCGGATACTACCAGGTAAACACTGCACGGCATTTCAATACCGCATGGAACCACTCGGTGTCCTTTATTCCATCGTGGGTGAGCGCAAAAGAAGGACCAACCGTGAGAAACTTCAACAATCGGCTCGCTAATGAAGTGGTGGGTACGACCTGTAATTGGGGCATGGCGCTTATTGAAAATGTGAAGATTGTTTCATTTAACAGCTTGTTTGATTTTACACTGCCACTCAATTGGGGATAAGATGTCAACGATTCCCTTCTAAAATGAGTGCAGGACTTGGCTCCGTCTTCATTGGTGGCCCTGATCCATTCATCACGATTATATGGAACAAACACCGTTCGGTTACACGGTGCTTCATACACACGGAGAAACGTCACTCTCGCTGATCGCTCCCGTGGCCTCTCAGCTGGTTATTAAAGCGTGTACGTGCGCCGTGCCGCACTTGATAGAAAGTCAACTTAAATACTTCTTAGACACCGCTACACAAGTGTTGAGGGTCGATCGTGTGGCTTTGGTTCTAGGGTCTGAAACAGGGAAAGAAGGATGCGATGGCCGGGCGGGGCCCACGCTACAAGTAACAGCAAGGTGAGCTCTCCCCGAGACACTGGTGGCTCAGTGCTGATTTTGGTGAAATGTTAACTCCTTCGCCTGGTGTGCAGGAGGTTGTGGGCTCCATCCTGATGCTGACGACTAAATATTTGGAGTTTGCATGTTCTCTCCATGGTCACGTGGATTTTTTTCCGGGTCCTCCGGGTTTGCCCTCCACATTTAGAAACACGCCCTTAAGAGTGTTTGGCTGCTATAAATGTCCACGTGATGAGCTGCGTCGTTGAGTTATCATTAGTGGCCAGGTCGCTTCTGAAAAAGAGCTACGTAGCTCAGTGGGTCTTTCCCGGTAAAATAAAAAAGTTGATAGTTTTATGGGTCTGTACTTAACGTAGGACATGAGTTTAAAACTTTGTTAACGAGTCTGTAAAAAATTGTGCAGAGCTTATACATAAATTATTTTCACTCGTTGTAGTAAAGCACAGCACGTAGTCTTACAGCGGTGATGTCACCTGTAGCGCTTTGTCAGTCGGTGTGCCTGAAAGTCACTTGAAAGTGTTTTAATGCACTCAAATTACGGTTGAAAGTATGAATGCTTTGTCTCTATCCATCTGTAAAGGATTGGGGGGGGGGGCACGGTAATTATCGTAATGGTGATCCAATATGAACGAAAATTTATCCAAGTTGTGATGTTATTGGGGACTAACTCTTTAGACAACCGCAAAACATTAAAGTGTTGGCCAAATCTTGGTGAATAGGATCTCGGGATAGAGAGATTTTCAAGATTTTCCTTGTCTGCCTTCCATAATTGCTCTATTGTTTACATCCTCTGTTATGTTTGGCAGTTGTATTCGGTATATACGATAAAATACAGTATCACTAAGGATGGAGTCATTCATGAATAATAACTTATCCACTTAAAATGAAATAATCCCTATGACAAACGCATGTCGCAAAAACGCATGTCGGAATCCGTGGGTGCATAGGATTTTACTTTTTTCCCCTTCCCATAACAATGCTTCGTGAACATATTTCACCGCCTTGGACACACGATCGTGTTTTTTTTTATTGTTGTTGTAATGTTCTTACCCGCCCTACTGGACATATGTGAAAAAGAGCTTTATAGCTCATTGGATTCTGAGGTATATATCTACGAAGGGTTCTGAGGAATATATCTACGAAGGAAAGTTGTTTTAGAGCAGCATCTTGTATTTCTTCCTAAAAGCATAAACGGCTTCCCGCCTAAGTGATTGTGTTTTGTGTTGTAGGGTCATGGAGCTGGGATCACGATATTTACACAACGGTGAGAGCACTGGATGCAAGGCCCCATTAGAAAATACTTTCTACTCTTTTGTGCACAATAAAAGTCTCGATCATCTGCGAGTGGCAATCGTTAATTCCAAACGGCACCGCAAGGAAATCAGTTGGAGTACATGGCTGTCTTGATCAGCTCAAGCCGATTGTAAACCCACGTGACTTTTGTGGCCCCCACCCCCTGTCAAAACACTCTTGCTCCGTGTACCCAGCTTTTGCTCGCTCCTTCCTCCTCTCCCCTTGGGGTTTGTGTTCAGTTTGTTGTCCTTCACCCGCACCTCCGATTAGCGCGGGTGGCTACGTACGGTACGAAAGAAGTTAAACGTACCCGACATACTCTCATCATCTCCGACATCTTTGCCCAAGTCATTCCCCCCCTCTTCCCCCTCCCACCCGGCGCTCCTTCCTGCTGCTCATTGAGAGCCGTGCCCTCTTTGTCCGTCTTGGGGACTTGCGTCTGAACATCCCCTTCCTGGGTGTCTTGCCCCTTGTCTGCCTATCGCGCAACTGACTCGACACCCCTTCCCCAGTGTGCCCATGCGTAAAGAGTCTTCATCTGAAGAAGCTTCATGCAGTGAAGAAACTTCCCATTTTCCTTCAAGCTGAGCCATTGCACCGTCATGGAACTGCCCTGGGAGATGACATCACTGAGCTGCCTTTTGTGTCTTTTCGCTCGATGGTTTAATGCCGTTAATGAGCGGTTCAGATATGCCAATGTTATAATTACACACTTTATTGCTCAGAGGTTGGCTGAATCCAATGAAACAAAGCATCTATTTCACACACGGGTGTTGTTTTACTGTTCATTGATGGCCTATGCCGAGGTCACGTATTATATATATATTTGAACCTCGTTGACTTGTGGGTTGGCTGTGCCTGTTCAAAAGCAGCATCGTGGCAGTGCTGGCTCAAGGCTCAGCCGAGCCCAAAAGCCACGGGGGTCCCCCCCCCCCCTCCCGTGGTCCCCCCCCCCCCCCCCGTGGTGCCCCCGTGGTCCCCCCCCCCCCTCTCCTTTAGTCGGGCCGAGTGGTGGTCGAAATGTCACGTTCCTATCGTGGGGGAGTTATTGACGACATGAGGCATGTAACAATTCCTTGATTCATTAAAGTGAACTCATGCGCACAACACATGCGAAGACATAATTGACTTTTCCTTGTTTGCTTTTACCCATAATGCCCTGCAGCAACGCGCGAGTTTGTTGTGCGGCAGTTGCTTTTTTTTTGCCTTGAACAGGTTCCCATAATGTATATGGAGGGCTCTTGCAAAAACCACGTCGTAATCCAGCACCATTTCGTTCAACAAGCCTAACTTCTGGTGAAACCCAGGTTGAAATTACTTCACATTTGTGTATGTTGAACTTATTTATCAGAGGGGTCCCGGTTTTGGTTTGCTAAAAAGCTGTTTGACTGGTGGACGCAAGTTATTTTTGTTATTTGTGGAGATAACTGTTTATTTGCTTTTATCATACATGTATTCCATTTGCGCTTATAGGAATTACGGTTTATGGAAATTACGTTGTTACATTTAGGTATATGTATCGTACAAAAACTGTCTGAATGTTAAACTTCTTTCACACAGTACGTAGCCAACCAAACGAGAATAAAAGGAGAAAATACACGAGGTGGTACACGCGCCTATATTCTAGAATGACTCAATCTTAATGATTAAATCTGGGGCGTGGTGTTCTGTAATTAAGAGGCCTCGCGTGAAGCAAGCACTGCCTGTTGCGATGACGATGGCGGACTGATGATTATATCACCGATCTGCACCGCACAAGCACGGTTTTTCCCGGTTGAGGTTTCGGCCGTGCACGAGTGCAGAATTTTCCGCGACGTGGAAGCAACGTAGGCAAACCTCAGTCCTTATAAAACACCTGCTCACTCCCGAGCAGATAAAACCACACGCTTGTTAAAATGAGCAGTCACTACCCAACCCCACCCCCACTCGGGGCTTGTTATAAAACATTTATTGTATAAAAAGTGAAGATTTGGCAGCTTGAAGCAACGTTTTCCTGTTCACCGCACGAGGCTACGCGGACATGACGCCGCATGTTTGAGAAAATGCCCACGCGTGCAAATCGTGGGTTAGGAACACTGTTAACCAATGTACAAAACGGCAGTTGTACTGCCCCCTCCCCAATAACAAGAACCTCTGCTCCGTTGTGCACTTCCGCTTTACGAGGTAAACGACCGTTGAGAGACAAAGTCCCTTTGGCGTGGAAGACTTGGGACACGTGACCATTATTGCAGAGAATTTTTCAAATTGGGGTTTGGGCTACAAACGTTGAGGAATTCCAAAATAAGAAATTGGTAAATGTACATAATAATAGTTCAATTTGTAACGCGCGCAAATTTGCAGACGTAGTGGCCGCAATTCAGAGGCGCGGAGCCAAGCTCAGTCGCTCAAAAGCATGATTGTAGAGGTGAGTTTTTAAGTCTCTCTGGAAGGAGGCGATTGAGGTGATGCTGCGAATGTGCAGAGGGATATCATTCCAGACTGTTGGGGCTGCCACCGAGAAGCGGCGCGTAGACATGACCATCCTGGATATTGGTATCAAGAGGAGGTCGTGAGTCGCGCTGCGCAGGCATCTTGCCGTGTGCTGAGCTGAAAGTTGTCAATAATGAAGAAAGGTACGGCGGGCAGGCGGATATGAAGGCGTTGTGGCAGAGGCAGGCGGATCTTGTATGTGACCCTACTGGCGATGGGGAGCCAGTTGAGAGCACGGAGACAAGCTAGTGAGTCGAGACGAGGATGAGTGTGGGCAATGACGCGTGCTAGGTTATTTTGTAGTCTTTGAAGTTTCTTTAGGTTGCCAGCGGAGGTCCGGACTAGGACGGAGTTGCAATAGTCAAGGCGAGACCCAACTATGCAACATGCCAATGTGTTGGCAATTTTAGTAGAGATGAGAGGACGTATGTGTCTAAGAGCCTTCAGGTGAAAGTTACATGAGCTGATGATATGGTTGGTTTGACGGTCGAAGGATAAAGTTGAATCTAGGATGACACCGAGGTAGCTGAAGTGGTCGGTGAACTTGATGCTGTGACCGAAGATGTGTATGTGTGTGGGGAGTGCTGCTGAATTGAGACATTGCTTGGTACCTAACATGATGGCCACTGACTTTTTCAGATTAAGGGCTAGGTTGTGTGCAGTGAACCATTGTTGCACGGCGGTGGTACATTCCGAGAGCCTCTCGAATCCAGATGCATTGCTAGAATCGATGGCGGCGAATAGAATCGTGTCATCCGCGTATGAGTGATGCTTAACACTGAAGCTTGCGATGAGCCGGCCGATCGGGGAAGTGTAGGCTGTGAAGAGCAGGGGACCTGGAACAGAGCCCTGGGGAACCCCGCATAATGCTGTTGTTTCAGGCGATGTGGACATGCCCACCCTGACTGAAGACTGCCGGTCAGAAAGGTACCAAACTATCCACTTGAGTGCTGAGCCGCATATACCGAAGTCGGATTTCAGGAGGGAAGTAAGCAGCGAATGGTTGATGGTGTCGAAGGCTGACGAAATGTCTAGACTTACAAGTGCAACAGTTGAGCCGGAATCAATGATCGTTAAAATGTCATCGAGCACTCTAGTGAGTGCTGTTTCTGTGGAATAGTTTTGATGGTAAGCTGACTGGAAGCAGCAGTAATTTGCGGAGGAGGTGATGTGTGGTTGTAGCTGGGCGAGGGTTAGTCGTTCAAGGAGTTTAGAGAGGTTCGAGAGGTTAGTGATGGGATGATAACTAGATGGGTCATCCAGATCTAGACTTAGAATTTTCTTGCAGCAGTTTGGCACTGGCAATTTTTTTGTTTTCTTCCTATGCCTCGTTGCAAAAAGAGCCGTATTACCAGTAAGCATTCCGTAAGGGTTCCTTGCCATCATTTTTTTTACAGGTTTCATCCAGGTTGCGTTCTTGGCAACTCGGAACATTCAATCCGAATTCCAATACCCCAATTCTCATAGATCCACACGTCACGTTGTGGAGAGAATCAGGATGTTGACGATGTTTACCTGTCCACCAATGGTGGATCTTCCACAACCAAAACTTCACCACCGTTAATGATGCACAAGAGCTGTGCGCTCTGTGGCAGCCTGCCAAAAATAAGCCTCCAATAACCAAATTAAGCACAAAACCCACATTTTAAATGATGGGATTTTTGTGCATTTATTGACAACCAGAATAAGACCATCGAATGGGCTGAACTACGTCGTGCGTTACCGTTCGCCCAAGCGCAGGACGAGCCTGGAATTCAATGCCAGGCTTTTTTTGTCGTCAGCAATTGTGACCTTTGTGGGCTCGAGCAGTTTAATCTGCCACCCCCGCCGCGAGCTCCGGTGCCAACCACTCAACGCCGTGCTGGAACAGCGTCGCCGCCCAGCGTGTGTCCGTCGCGGCCCTCTTAGGTGTTCTGCTTGTCGGAGTGCACGCAGCCGGGGCAGCAGTGCAGGGTCTCGTGAATGAAGAGATCGCAGTCGAGGCAGAACGGTCTCGCGCACAAAGAGCACATGAACACCTGCGGGCGACACGCGATTTGAGCTTCATAAAAACGCACGATTGAGCTTCAGAGATAAAAGGGGGCCCCATGTAAATGTTACAGACCACTAAATAAAAAGTCACCTTTGCCCAGCTGTACAGCAGCGGCCACACACGGACATACGTCTGCGTTGATTAAGTCACGCGTGCCCACAGAGCCAAGCACAGCGTCACGCGTGTCTCGGCTGTCACTCAAGAAGTGGTTCAGGTGGCATCACTGGATGAAGTCACGTGACACCGTGTAAATAGTCGCAGGGACCAGCTCGGTTCACAGGGTAAAAACCCAAGTGGGCAGAAACCTAAAGCAGGGTTCAACTTTTGTGGCCTGCAAGCCACACTTGCCAATATATACGCGTCACCAATACATATTGCTTACTTAATACACAACTAGCCTAAAGCCCGTCCAAGGACGGGTGTATTGCAGTGAATCTGAAATATTCAAACGAAAAAAAAAATCCGCTCATGATTATTAATGATGGTGTTAAGGAGTTAGTGTGACATCAGAGTTATTGCTTTTTATATATTAAGATTATTAAAGATTTGTGAAATTAAAGGGGTGAACAACAACACGAGTGAAATGAAACCTGAGATAAACGAGAGAAGCGTAGAGGACGGCTTCACGCGAATAGTTGCGTGCACGGAGAGTATGGGGTCACGACCCCACGCAACGTGGTTCACATGACGAGGTGGCGTCTGGGTATCACGTGACGTCACCGCCGCCACACATTCGTTTTATTTTGGCCCAACGAGTCGTGTCCAATTCGTGAAGTACTTGAACATGTCATCAATAAGAATAATTTTGAGACGCTGATCGACTTAAATCGCTCAAGCGTCAGCATTGATGCGTTTGCAGTAAAAAAACATTACACTGTTTTCTTTCAGCTGTACTTGACATCCTTCGCACACCCTGAAACACACACGCACACACAGTCGACGCTGATGAGACACTTGAAGAAACATGTTGACAATGTAATAAAAACACTTTGTGCTTATCCTAAAATCGCGCACGAACGTAGAGGACTGACACACGGCTCACACAAGGTGGAAGGGTGAATGACCCAGTCGGCACTAAACTACAAATTTTTTATTTAATTTTACCAGGTAAGGCCCCACTGAGCCATGTGATTCTTTTCAGAAGCGACCTCGCTATCACAAACATTAAATCAGCAAAGTGGCTTATCAAGCGGACATTTATGACAGTCAAATTCTCTCTCAACTCATGATGTTGATTTTAAATGTGGAGGGAAAAACCGGAGGACCCGGATAAAAATCCACATGACCACGGGGATAAAGAGACATCCAAACTCCAAATATACAGCAGCAGGCGTTGGGGGTCGGGATCGAACCCACGACCTCCTGCATCCTAGGCGAGGTATTCAGAAGGCACTGGAGCAATGCACTTAAGTCATCTATATTGAAATCTCATTACTTAGAATAGATTTTTGTGTTTGGTTTGTTGTCCTTCCCCCGCAGCTCCGATTAGCATGGTTGGCTACATACAGTACGAAAGAAGTTCAACACACACACGTACAAACTAATGACTAATTTGCCGAACGAGCAGGAACCGCCTGTCACGCAGATTCAGCTGCGCACACACGGCACACACGGCACGTACCGCTGTCCCGTAAACTTGTCAAGCGGCTGCTCCTGGAAGGCGTCGAGCGGGAACAGGTGGTGGTAGGAGCGCGCCAGGTGCGGCGCCGACACCAGTGTGAGGCCTGGTACGGCGGCACATGCGGACGACAAAAGCGCAGCACGTCAAGGGCGATGACAGCGCATGCCCACGGTCCGGCGCTCCAGAGACGAGGGGTCGGTGGGTCACAGAGAATCTCCCAATCCCACTGGGATGAAAACGTGTCCAGGAGGTGGCAGTGAAGCGAATGGATTTGCGAGTGTTACCCCTGTGTGTGCTTAAGGGTTTCTCCAGGTACTCTGGTTTTCCTACAAATATCGCAGCAGCATCTAGAGGCATCCAGCAGTATCCCAATGCCTTGTGCGATGCTACACCAAGGTAGCCGTACAAGCCGCTTGTTCCTACTCGCGCTGTGACGTAGTTCCGTTCACTCGATCGCATTATATCCAACTCGCATCGGCGTTATAAAAAAACGCTGTTCCCTAATACATTCAACTTGTGTTATGAAAGCATGCACCGTTCTCGGAGTACAGACTATTTGGATGCTGTCCACGTGTGCCAGTGGGGTTGCGTCAGTGTCGGATTAAGCTAGTGCAGGGCCTGTAGCATATGTTATAAAGGGGCTCTAAATAAAAAAAACATAATTAAAACACACATTTTTTACTTGCATAGTAAAGTAATTGTATTTTTTCATTTGCTATACATCCACATAATACGACAAATTGCTAACCTTAAACACCCAGTCGTTCATAAAAGTTGAAGGCAGTATAGTACTATGGTAATAGAGCAAGTGCAATTCACTGAACTGGAATTCATGGCTTGAAAGCATTTAGCGTGGGGTCCTTGAAAGTACTGGGGCTCGTAGGAAATGTAGCTACTGTTGCTACTGGGATGAGGGGTTGCGGGCACACACGCCGCTTGCTGGGCGGCCAGTAACAGTACGCACCGCACACTTTGCACTCCACGGGCAGCTCGCAGTACTTGGCCCGGCACTGAGGGCAGAAGAAGCCTCCTACGGACAGCACCTGGCTTCTTCTCCTTCTGACTCTCCAGCTGCCTGCACGCCAGCGGCACATGACGATCGTCAAACACACAACCCGTCCGTCGTCATCGACAGCGGCGGTCGCCGTGAGCGGTGGCATTGGCAAAAGGGATCGACAGCGGAGTAATTCAACGTCCTTTTTTTACCAGGCAAGAGCCAGACATGGGGTCAATTGCAATTGTGTTTGTGGCTCCCTGTACCCAGTCCCGTTGTCGGTGCCTCTCCCTCGCACCCCTCCACTGGAATCAACTTCCCCTGTACATTGAGCAACACTGCCCATAGACTCAACACTGCCCATAGACTCAACACTGCCCATAGACACAACACTGCACCATAGACTCAGCACTGCCCATAGACTCAAAACTGCACCATAGACTCAACACTGCCCATAGACTCAACACTGCCAATAGACTCAACACTGCCCATAGACTCAACACTACCCATAGACACAACACTGTCCAGACTCAACACTGCCCATAGACTCAACACTGTCCATTGACACAACGCTGCCCATAGACACAACACTGCCCAAAGACTCAACACTGCACCATAGACTCAACACTGCCCATAGACTCAACACTGCACCATAGACTCAACACTGCACCATAGACTCAACACTGCATCATAGACTCAACACTGTCAATAGACTCAACACTACCCTTAGACACAACACTGTCCATAGACTCAACACTGCCCATAGACACAACACTGCCCATAGACTCAGCACTGCCCATAGACTCAACACTGCCCATAGACTCAACACTACCCATAGACTCAACACTGCCCATAGACACAACACTGCCCATAGACACAACACTGCCCATAGACTCAACACTGCCCATAGACTCAACACTGCCCATAAACACAACACTGCCTATAGACTCAACACTGCCCATAGACTCAACACTGCCCCATAGACTCACACTGCCCATAGACACAACACTGCCCATAGACACAACACTGCCCACAGACTCAACACTGCCCATAGACTCACACTGCCCATAGACACAACACTGCCCACAGACACAGCACTGCCCACAGACTCAACACTGCCCACAGACTCAACACTGCCCACAGACTCAACACTGCCCATGTACTCAACACTGCCCATGTACTCAACACTGCCCATAAACTCAACACTGCCCATAGACACAACACTGCCCATAGACTCACCACTGCCCACAGACTCAACACTGCCCATAGACACAACACTGCCCATGTACTCAACACTGCCCATGTACTCAACACTGCCCATAGACTCAACACTGCCCATAGACTCAACACTGCCCATAGACACAACACTGCCCATAGACTCACCACTGCCCATAGACTCACCACTGCCCACAGACTCAACACTGCCCATAGACACAACACTGCCCATGTACTCAACACTGCCCATGTACTCAACACTGCCCATAGACTCAACACTGCCCATAGACTCAACACTGCCCATAGACACAACACTGCCCATAGACTCACCACTGCCCATAGACTCAACACTGCCCATAGACACAACACTGCCCATAGACTCACCACTGCCCATAGACTCAACACTGCCTTTGCACATTAAGCAGTCCCCCTCATTAACCCCCTTCCGTTCCTCTCAAAGCTTCACCGCCTCTTCTCCATCGCCCATTCTCTTCCCTCACCTCGCCCCTCCACTCCTTCCCGTCACTCCCCTACCCTTTAGTGATCCCCAAGCACCCCTCTGATGCTGTCACTCGTTCATCAATCTTTACACTCGTCTGCCATCTAAATCATTCTACTCCGTCACCGTTTTTTCTAAACTGTGTCAAGCACTTTGAGTGAAGGCGTTCTAAAAATATCATATAAAATTATATTACATTGTAGTCATGCGATCTGACCCAATTATTTTTCAAATTATTAATTACCTCCGATTTTCCCACACCTCCAATTAGCAAGGTTGGCTACGTACGGTGCGAAAGAAGTTCAACGTACAAAGGTCAAAGATACCCAGTGTAGCCTTAACAAACTATTGGGGCAAATGCTGTTAGCGAGCACCTATGAAGGTCGCACGGCACACGAGGGGGTGGGTGGCCAGCACCACGCCCGGCCACCTTTGTCTCCCCAGTGGCGGTGTGGTTTACACACCGCACCAGGTACTCATTTGAGGCTGAGTCGACCTAGGGGAGGCACATAACCGGTTCAGATAATCGTCACTGGTGTTGGGCGTGAGGGGGAATTGAACTCGGGCCGCCAGGTTCATAGCACAGCTCGCGCTAACCGCTACACCACCGCTCCCCAAAACATATACAGACACGCACACTACGTTGACCGCAACAGCCTATGTGTAAGAGTTAAAGACATTGGCCCCGAGTTTGTGGTGTGCAGGGCTCACGCCATGCTGAAGGAGGGCTTGGCGTCGCTCTCCGTCGCCGAGCCCAACGTGTGCTGGGGGAAGCCTGGGAAACGATGACGCAACACGGGGGGGGGGGGGGGACGACGACGACCGGCACGGAAAAGCCATCGGTGACTTCAGGCTAAAGCGGGGGAGGGGTGGGGGGAGCTTTCCTTTACCGAGGGATGAAAAAGGGGACTTTCAAATACCCGAATTAACACACAGACAGCGGCTTCTGGCTGGCCATCAAAACAAAGACGGTAACCGCATCGCCACGCTTTCAGACGCGCTTCTGCGGCCGTCTGGAATGCTCTTCCGATATTAGGAAGCCACTGGAGCTATGCACTTTGAAATAATCTAAATTGCAAAACGCCTTTATTTAGAACTGCTTTTTCTATTCAGTTTGTTGTCCTTCCCCTGCACCTTCGATTAGCGTGGTTGACTACGTACGGTGCTGAAAGAAATTCAACGTATGGCACGTACAATAAACATCGGGGCTCTCCTGAGGCCTGTGCATGCTCACAACGCCCGGTGGAGCCTTTATGATCACAGAACGGCGAACAGAACGTGCGTGTCGGCCGAGTGTAAGAATGACCCTTGCACCGACGGACGTGACCCGACAACGCTACAATTGTGTTGAAAATATGACACTCTAATACCCAATTAGTGTGCCTAGGATGCTAGTACGGTATTCCCTCGTTATTCACGAACTTTCTGCGATTTTGGCTGTCAGCGAATTGCATCCGCAACTCTCCACGTCTGCATCGAGAGAGCGTGATGAGATAAAGTGATGAGATAGAACTTCTTCGAAGATTTAGAAGCATCTTCAGACATAAGAGGCAATATCATTATCCACGAAATTTGCTATTCACGAGCATCTCCGGACGTTTCCCTTGCAAATAAGGAGGCAATACCGTGGCGAGGGATTGATGTCGTGTTCTGGCTATTGTTCATGTGATGGCCTTCATGTGGCTGCAGGCCGTGTGTATTAAAGTGGAGGAATGTATCCAGCCTATGGGCCTGAGGTTCCATAACCCTGGTTCTAAAGGGTTGTGTCCATTTCTCCACTGTAAGGCATTGTGAAGTAGATTATTGTTGTTGTATGTTTCATGACAATGTAACACCGGTGAAAACCGACTCACCCATGCGGATTAAGGAAGAGTCCATGTTGGCGCTGACAGGAGGGGGCGTCACGTGGTATAGCAGCAGCTCCTTGAAGTGGGACTCGTCCAAAATGACGTGGTACGACCCTGCACGACAGGGGACAGTGGTGCATATGGTCGAGAGACAAAAAAAAAGAGATAACATTTGTGAACAAAAGCAAAATAAATGCAACAGGTAGAGGTTGTAAATGTCTAAACAGTAATGCAGCGTGTTAGGGATACGTTTTGCATTTCAAATATCCGATGTCAGATTTTTAAGGACAATTTCAGAAAACTTTCAGATAGTAAGTCATTTACTTTACGTACTAATAACATTGCGTCTTTTCATGCGAACAAAAGCGACGTCACCCGATGCCACAAGCCTCCATTTTGTGGGAATAGCGATGGAAGTGATGTCGTATTTTCGGATCAATACCGATTAAAATGTTTTTTTTCCCCGGATGATCCAAAAGTTCCTATGAAGGCCTTGATTTTCAGATTGTTTTGGGAAAATCGGGAACACATCCCCTACGGTGTTGTAGGCTTCGGTAAAAGTCAGAGAAGCAAGTGGCTTGGTGTAATGATAATCGGGTTTTCCCTTTTCTGCCAATAAAACAGGAGGTGTTAAGATATTATTGGTTCTTTTGGTAAAGTCACGTAGAAGGGAAATAATAAAATAATACAAATATAAAACAATAATATTCTCACGTTTCGACTGCAACACAAGCAATCATCACCAGGTGTGAAATACACAGCAAGAAATTTGTGAAATCCACAGCAAGAAAATTTTTCTTGCTGTGGATTTCACACCTGATGATTGCTTGTGTTGCAGTCGAAACGTCGTGAGAATTTTATTGTTTTATATTTATATTATTTTATTATTTCCCTTCTACGTGACTTTACCGAAAGAACCAAGCAAATGAATCCCTGCAGTCACGAAAGCTTTAAATCAGGTGTTAAGATGTTAAAAACCAAACTGAAACCTTTGCATTGAATCATGTCAGCATTTACCACATATACTTGTGGTGAACATGCAAAAAAAACATGATTCTAGCTTTGAAGTTTTCGTGACTGCAAGGATCCATACTCTTTGGTTTTTTCGGTAAAGTCACGTAGGTGAAAATAAAATAACTAAATTAAATCACGTTTCGGAAGCAACACAAGCATCCGTCATCAGGTGTGACTGCTCCAGTTTAATTACTGTAGCGTATGAAGAGAGCTATTTAGAGACACATGTTTATATAGGGTACTGGGGGGGGAGCATGCGGCAGGCCGTGTGAATTTACCAAAAAAAACAAAGAGTATTAAAACAAAACATGCTCCGACAGTCCGTGCATTGTCTTTGAAACTTACTGGTCCACACCAGAGACAGCTTTCTTTATAGCCTAGTCTCAAAGAGTGTTAGACCAGAGGACGCCAAAAGGCGAACAGATATGGCGAGGTGAACTTTCGTTTTTATAAACAACGGTGGAACTGCGCCGCGTGACTGACAGGAGACTGGCTTATTTGGCGGTGTGCTTGACCGACCAGTTAACTCTCTTGTACAACGAGATGACCTGCCCATTCAAGCGAGTTCCTCTCTTCAGTGCAGGCCTGGGATCAAGAGAGAGGTTTTTTTTTACCTCCGGTCTCTTTCGTAAGAGCCGTGCAGACGTGCACTTCCGCAGAGAGTCCGATGATGGACACACGCACCTTCCCCGCCTTTAAGGTCTGAAACAACGCAGCACAAAACGGCGGTAGCCGTTATGAAGGTGTGTCCCCCTCCCCCCCCTGTTATTTGTTCACCGTTACAGTTTTATTATTCTTACACTCATGATGCAGGAATCAACTATTTATCCTTTGCTTCATGGCACGTGTAGACTCATGTAAACGATGCTTGAGGACAAAATGATAACAGACAATGCGAGTGGGAAAGTGTCAACAAGATTTTGGAATAAAATAACAAACACACGAGTTGTAAAAATAAACTCTTTATGAGGGGATGGGGATGGATCGCCAAGGAATTATTGACATCTGGAAGTCCGTCTGCCGAGGACAGGGGAACGGGGCAACCAAAATAACGAGAGCCATTTTTGTCGAATTCGGTCAACAAAAAAATCCTCAATATTTCAACAGCCGCAATGCACCATAGGTGAATACGAGACGGTGGCGGTCCTCAATAAATAAGGTCACCTAGAGCTGCACGCGAGGCTCCGAAAAACCGGGTTGCCGGTCCCCCTGGCCGACGAGGTGGAGGGATGACATCGGCTCGTGTGCAACTGCTGGTTGGATTGGCGCACCGAGGGACGGAGAGAGGAGGTGGTGGCGGCGGCGGCGGTAAAATGACCCGACGCACCTGAATGAGGTCGTAGATGTTGGCTGGATCGCATGTGGTGAGGCTGCCGAACACCACCAGGATTTCGCGACTCGTGTGGCTGGGCATATGTCTGCAAAGTAGGTGGCGCGCACTGCCGTTGCGGGTCCACTCTCCTCTCTTAAGCACAATCCACACGTCCCCAACGTCCCGTCTCACACTGTCTGCAATTCTCTCCATTTTGTACAATCCGCGACCACCAACAAGAGCTCACAGAATAAACGCACCTGGCGCGACGCACATGCAGCCAGCGGCCAATGCCACAGAACTTGCTACACATTGTAAATGTGATTTAAGCTTTGATGGGAGACCAACATTTTAATACAGGATTTAAGAAGTGCTGGTTCAGATCTCCAATATATATAAAACAGTTGTTTATTCAGAAAAGCCTGAATAAATAACCGTAGGGAGTGATGATTGGTATACGTTTTCCCAATAGAGTAATTTTCCGGTAATGTTTCAAATTGGCAAATTTCATCCTACTCTTTTTAGAAGAACGTAACGGAGACTAATTCCCGCCAAGTGCCACCCGGTCCCACCCGGCCCTACCCAGTGTCCCCTCTAGCCCAGCACTCACTTCAGGGTCTCCATAGCCAGCTGCAGCGAGTTGTAGAGAGACGGTTCTCCCAGGCATGTTGACTGGGTGGCTTTCTTAAGAGCCGTAATGTGCTTCTTGGGTGTACCTGTTCAGAAAACTTGGCGTCAGTTTTTATTACAGGACATAATTTTATTATTATTTATTTTTATTAACTAAGAGCCCGGCACAGAGCACGAGCGATGGGGAGAGGGGGTAGAGGTGTTCTGAGGCCGGGTGCGCACGTGTCAGGGCAAAGGGACGGTGGCCAGGTGCCCACATTTGAAGAACGGCAATTTGGGGTTGACCTTACGGCTGCTACAGCAGTTCGTGTGCTTTGTATGACGCGGCGGCTTCGTTTTCGAAATCCTGTTTTAACTACATCGCTGCAAAGCATCGGTCCTGAACGCCTACTTGGCCCGATGGGTCACAACCGTATTTCATGTTTTTGTCGACGGAGAAAAACAAAGCCTTGTATGTTTAATTATGCATTGTTTTATAAATGACTATCCAGTTTTCGAAGCCGGCAGGGTGGCTCAGCGGCCGAGCTTTGCAATCGGAAGCTTAAGAGCCCATTTCCTCAGCCCATCATCCCTCCAGGGTCAATAAAAATAAAATTACCACTTTGTGGTAATTATTTTATTATTATTTGTTGGTCCTATGGAGAGACTTGCCCCCCACCATTGCAATGTGGAATTTCCAGCAGGGCTGTAAACGGGAGATGAGAACCAATGCCTCAAAGCTCGTTTGAGCAGAAATTGTAACCATGTTGCCGTTGAAGATTTGTAGGAAAATCATTTCCAACGTACGTATCAAGCCCCGTGTGTCTTTTTTGGTGTGCAACACTTAGTGACTATGCTAAGGTATCAAACTCACTTCGCTATGTAAGGTGGCTTAGTTCAACACAAGGCTGGTTTCATTTCCCAGAACCTGACATCAGAAGTTCAACTTTGCTGGCTTGTTTGCTCTGAGAGGAGCACAGGATCAGTCACATGCACCTCCTTGCCACTAGCAAATTGTTACGAATCAAAGAGTCTTCATGAGAATCAAGATCTTTATTTAGACTGCAGGTGGAATCCGATGAGCTGTGAAGCTCTTTTTAAACAGATTTCCAGTGTGGGTGAGTCAGCAAATTACGCAACAAATGAAAAACGATACCTCCAAGTTCGGTCAACTTCTCCGCCCTTTTATTTTTTGTCGTAATCAATCCGACCTGCGGAACGCAAAAAAAAAAGGAGCCGTTATTTACTTGAAACTTCAAAAAGGCCACACTTGCAGTTGAACAGCAAGAGCTTTATCCGACACGATTTGGTTCCATATTCTCACCTGGCTGATGGGATTCTGATAGAAGTACTCCTCCACAAAGTGCTCCAGCAGCTGTTTAAAAGACGGGAAGTAAATCTTGGTGAAGTAAACACAACGCAGGCACATGCCATGGCTAGTGATCCCGTGGAGGGTAAATAAAGATGCAAGCAGTGATTAAACAAAAACATATTTCTTTAATTAAGCTAAGCGCTTATACAAATGAAAATGCTCATTCCTATAAGCACATTATATATATTGATTGCAAACCTCATTCTCAAAATATGTCACTGACATCTATATATATAAAATCGCGAATCTGTCTGTCTATCTGTCTGTCTGTGTGTCTGTGTGTCGCCGGACCATACGCACTTTCATTGGACGCCGGTTGCCCCTGCCAACGGCTAGCGACGCCTTCGCCGCTTTCATTGGACCTGGCAACGGCTAGCGACGCCTTCGCCAAGGGCTGCACTTTCATTGGACGGCGGTTGCCCCTGCCAATGGCTAGCCACGCCTTCGCCACTTTCATAGGCTCCGTAATTAATTAAATAATAGCCATTACACAGTATTGTTGGAGCGCTGAGGGGGGGGGGGGGGAAGGAACGCCACCCGTACCCTGCCTCTGCCGGGTGGACAATTTTGACGAGGCCGCAGGCTCTGCACGCTACTAGGCCTCGACACCCACCACGCCACTCTGAGGTAAATTCATCAAAGTTTTTCGTACTCTTCACTCGACCCCCACCACAATGTGTGCAATTAATATTACTTTTAAACCCAACGCGCCAACAATCGATTACTTAAATGTTCACTGTACAAATAGTCATTAAGCTGGGTCAGCGTACTGCCAGTCTATCATGTAGACTGTAGCCTGCTTATTAAGCTCGGTGAGCGTACTGCCACTCTATCATCTACACTCTAGCCTGCTTATGAAGCTGAGTGCGTGTACTGGCAGTCTATAATGTGGACTGTTGCCTGCTTATTATAATCGATTCTTTATATGTTCTTTGTACAAATAGTCATTAAGCTGGTTGAGCGCCCCCAGTTCGATTCCAACTCACGCCCACCACCGCTGACGATTATTTTCAACGGACCTGGGCCTCCCCTAGGTCGACTCAGCCTAAAACGCGTAACTGCTGTCGTGTGTGAACATCGTCACTGGGGAGACAAAGGCGGCCGGGCATCGTGGATCCAAGTCCCGGGCGAAGCCGGGTCATGTCTATGTGTGTATGTGTTTATGTGTATGTCTGTGTGTCTGTATGTATGTGTGTATGTATGTGTGTGTATGTGTTTGTGTGTATGTGTGTGTGTATGTATGTGGGTTTTTTTGTATGTCTTTATGTGTATGTCTGCGTGTCTGTATGTATGTGTGTATGTACGTGTGTGCATGTGTTTGTGTGTATGTATGTGTGTGTCTATGTATGTGTATGTGTTTCTGTGTATGTATGTGTGTGTATGTATGTGTGTTATGTGTCTGTCTGTGTGTCTGCATGTATGTGTGTGTGTATTGTGTATGTGTTTGTATGTGTTTGTGTGTTTACGCTCGCATTACACAAATGTGTTGCAGGTCTAAGGCGTTCCTTGCGCAGCATTGCCGCTTTATTATTTCAGTCGTTTACTGCCGTATGCACCCTGAAAGTCGTGTGTGTCTGCAGCAAGCGCGTGTATGTGTACCTATGGACGCGCGCGCGTGTGTTGTGTAGGGGGAACGGTAGTGTAGTGCTTAGCGTGCTGCCTGTGTCTGTGTGTGTGTCTGTGTGTGTGTGTCTGTGTGTGTGTCTGTGTGTGTGTCTGTGCGTGTGTGGTGTGTGAGGATCGGTGGGTGTAGTGCTTAACGCTACGCTGCGCTACCAACCCGGCGAACCCAGTTCGATTCCCGCTCACGGCCACCACCGGTGACCATTATTTGAACCTCCCCTAGGTCGACTCTGCCTCAAACGAGTAACTGCTGTGGCGTATTAACATCGCCACTGGGGAGACAAAGGCGGCCGGCCGTGGTGGATACAAGTCCCGGGCGAAGCCGGGTAGTACAGCTAGTGACCTATAACTGAATTTTAGGTATCGTCACAACAATTACGATTCATGGCGTCTATGTATTATTTTTGCAGGAGAAAGATGGGAGTTGAGATTGGATCAAAGCGATGTCTTGCTCAAATGAACGTTTGGAGTGCTGCTCATCTCCTATTCATAGCCCAGAGTTGGTGCTGGAAATTCCCTATTGCTACCGCAGGGCGAGTACATCAAAAATTACCGTTGTTGACTGCCCCACAAAAGTGGTATTAATTTTTTGTTATGAACCCTGACCAGGATATTAAATTTCGCAACCTTCCCCAAAACCCTAAGGCAGGCTGAGAATGGCAAAAAAAAAGCTTGGGCACAAACAAACTGCCTTGCCTTGAGAGAACAGGTGAGACGATTGGGCTTCAGGTCTTGGTCTTCCATGCCCCGCGACATATCCACCACTACGAACAGATGCCGCATCTAAAGAATGAGAAATCCCTGCTTCATCCAGACCCTCGGTTGTTGCTGCTGCTCACACAGTGCGTTAATCGCCGGGCTGAGCTGACGATCGGTGCCCATTTTTAAGATGTATATACTCCCACGTATGGGCTCCGATTGAGCACAGTTGGCTATGTACGGTGTGAAAGAAGTTCAACGTACATACAGTAGACTCTCGATTATACACGCTAATTATGGGCAGCACGGCCGCGGATAATTCACAATCGCTGATAATCCAAAAATATAAATTTTCCGTGGACCTCTATGCCAAAAACCAAATTTGCCCACGCAGAAGAGTCCGCCCACTACGTGGTGAGCAGAGCCACGCCAATCAACATCAATCAAACTCCGCCCACTATTGTAAAGATATGCAACTACTGTACTATAGAGGCGATCTCGTGGATTTCGGATTAACCGGAGCAATATATTTGTACGGTTTAAGCATGTGACTTGCAATAAACATTTCCAAGAATAACAATGTATAGCTGTTTTTAAATTATTTATTTGGGCTTAAGGAAAAATCCACGAGTTATTAATTTATGTCAAAAGGTATTCTTTACAACACATCTCTCAATCTAAGTCGGGGTCACCAATGACTCCATAAAAATAAAATAAATGTTCACTTCCAGCATCCTGGCTTACTGGAATGACATTTCAAGTAATGTATCAAAATCAAAATAAATACTGTGTTCCCACAGTAAATAATTGTTTACTTATCCAAAAAGCATTACTTAGGCGTTAAGACTTTTTCAGGAGGCCCGTGCATTGCGATGTTTGACCGATTATCTCGCATTTTAGAGAAAACCAAGTATCAGGAGAAATCCCATGTATTGGAGATAACTAAAAAAAAAATCTACAACATACCAAATGTTTCACCTACTATAGGCTATCCCATAGCCCTAAAAAGTACGTCTCGCACACAAGCAGCGGTGTTCTACACTTACCATCCCAAGCCGCACTTGTCCATGAAATTCAGAGACTCTGAAAGTAAACAAGCATAAGTACAGTCCTCGCTCAACGCGTGTTCGCACAACGCGTTTTCGTGACAGCGGTTTTTCAGGAAACACTTTTCGCACGACACGGAATGCGCAACCATTATAACGCGACCTCTGAGTGGTCGACGACGAACTACTTTCTTGAGCTGGGGCGGCTGGACGGTGTGGGAATTCTGGGTACACGCGCGGAGTGATACGGTACATGGCGGCGTACCCTCACCTCAGTTCTTTGTCCCACCATGAGATAGCGAAAGGCCGATTTTATCGTGCAAATGTGATTCAAATTGGCAGTTTTATTTATTCATTCCCTATAATGTAATTCCTCGCTGAACGCATTTTCGCTTAAAGCGACACTCTTAAAGAACGCATCTACCACGTTAAACGAGGCATTACTATAATATGCAGGGCTTTGTTAAAACGCAAAGAGGCAGAGTTGACTTTAAACAACAATATTGTTTCGTTTAACATTACACGTAGGATGACCAACTCTCAATTGCAGAACATTGATTGACTAATAATTACTTCCATGAATTTTACAGCTGCAATGATTTGAACTTGATGAAATAAAATTTGGCATCGAATTCTGAAGTCCAAAATAGAGTTTGAGGGAAAATATTCACTGATCTGCAGAGGACAGGAATGTAGCCAACGACTCTAAACAGAACCCTTGCCTCATTAAAGGCCATTAATTGGGTTCAGTGTTGAAAAAAATTCCACTGAATAATCATTATAACAAGAGCCAATAATGTATCAACTACTGTATATCTGTGATTTACTTAGCTATTAGTTCTGTGTATGTGTGTTGAACTTTTTCTTGCACTGTACATAGCCAACCGTGCTATGTGTATGTATGTTGACCTTTCGCACTGTACGTAGCCAACTACGTCATGTGTGTGTAACTTCTTTCGCACCTTACCTAGCCAACCTTCCTAACCGGAGGTGCGGGGGAAGGCCAAACAGTGGCATATGAAGCGGGGGTCTTACTTGCGGCGCTTGGCTTGGAAGATGAGATCGTCCACGCTCGCCTTGAGGGACCCCGACTCATCCTCTTTGAGCACCTCCCTGCACCACGACAGCAGATCGGCAGCACGTCAATGTCAGAATTAGAGACGAAACTAAAAACACTTCATTATTTTACCAGGTAAGGCCCCATTGAACTATTCTATAGCTCTTTTTCAAAAGCGACCTGGACATCACAATTGATCGCTCAACGAAGTGGCTTATGATGTGGATATTTATAGCGGCCAAATACTCGGAGAAAAATCCACGCGACAACAGGGAGAAAATGCAAACTCCAAATGTAGTACAGGCGTCGAGATTGAACCCATGACCTATATGCCAGGCGAGGGAGTTTACTGTTTCTATTGAGACCCTGGCTATTAATGAGTTTTAATCCGGCGAGGATGAATCCACTGCGTCGTTATCATCAAGTACCATTTGACGAGGGTGAACTATTCGGTGAGGAGTTAACAGTGGTAGCTGTCTTAACAAAGGCCCCACCGATAACGTCAAAATTTCCATGACCAACTTGACGTGTTCCAAGTACACGGTTGTTTTTGTTGTGTTAAGCAAAGAACGCCGTTCATTTTTCCAGGGAAGCTTCACGAAAAGGCGCCAAAAACTCTTCTTCCAAAGGGTCGTGCCATGGGGATGTCTGGACATCCGAGGGCTTTTGTGCGTTCCAAGAGACCAGTGTGACCCTGAGAAAGCCCAGATCCTTGGAAGGGATAACATCTCCAGGGTCCAAAGGGCCTCACGAACCAAATTGCATGCATTGTCACATTGATAATTGTATTTTTACCCTTTTATCTGGCAACAAAACTGACACCTTTTTACAAGGAGTCATGTTTGCATTGACCACAATACCTGCAGTCGGAATACAAACAAAAAACATAACTCTGATGTAGGCACTGTCCTTGAAATTGATTGGTCCACACCCGAGACAGCTTTCCTTAGAGCCTCGTCTCACATGGTGTTGGACCAGATGACGCCAAAAGGCGCACAACTCAAGGACAATGCACCATCAGAGTATGAGAGCTCGGGGTAAGCATTTACACCATTGGAACCTCATTTGCCAGTAGCAAAATATTATATATTTTTTGTCACATTGCTTGTGTTGCAGTCGAAACGTCGTGAGAATTTTTTTGGTTTTATATTTCTATTATTTTATTATTTCCCTTCTACGTGACGTTACCGAAAGAACCAAGAATATGAATCCCTGCAGTCACGAAAGCTTTAAATAAATAAAAATCCTGGCCACAGTTCGCATCATCAACGGGATGGCAGATTCACAAATCTGCCGTCCACCCAACAGCCCCCTGCCACGCAAGTGGATCACGTCGCCGCCACCACGCCGCTTGGTGCCAGGCTAGGTGCACTTTAGAGGCCACGTGAAGTGTGGAAGGCGACCACCTGGTGGCCCAGAGGTCCACGGAGAGTCCCACGTGGGATTACAGGTTCGCCGAGATGACTGGCAGACGCACCACCTGTGCCCACCATTGTGTCAAATTGCCTGCCCCCCTCGAAGGCAGATTTTGCTTAATTAGCTCTCTACGATTTTGATTTAAAGCTTTCGTGACTGCAGGGATTCTTCATATTCTTGGTTCTTTCGGTAAAGTCACGTAGAAGGGAAATAATAAAATAAATATAAAACATTAATCAATAAAAATTCTCACGACGTTTCGACTGCGACACAAGCAATCATCGTCATATAATTTTATTACCGAAAGAACCAAGAATGTAACTCTCTATGCTGGACTTCTTTCGCGCCGTACGTAGCCAAACGTGCTAATCGCGGCGAGCGAGAGGAAGTTCTCACCAAGTTCTTTCATAATCTCCCTCCCAGCGTTTGGCCCGTTCCGGCTCCTCTTCCATCATTTAGCTCTGTGTTGTTGTTGTTGTTGCTGCTGCTGTTGTTGTTGTTGATCGTTGGTGTGGCTCGCGTCTCGCTTTGTTTGCCGTGGGTGTCGGAAGAGGGGGACACTTGTACTTGATTTCATAACACAGATACGCCAGCACGCCCCAAGCCGATTGGCTGACGCTGCCGCGAAGCCGATTGGACGGGCAGCCGCTGAAGGCCGCAGCCAATCAGAGGCCGTCGACGCGTGTGCGCTTTACGAAATCTAAAGGGCGTGAATGTTGAGGTTCCTTAGGGTTCTGCGGGGCCACGTGGGTTACCCCGTGGCTGTTGCAATAAATCCGATGAGCTGTAAAGCTCTCATACTCCACCCCCCCAGTAGGGTCGGGTGAGAACGTTAGAACAACACACATAGAGTGCAAAGTATAGGAAAAGTAAGCAGATAACTCAAACAAAACTATATCACTGGTAGGAACCTCCTGGTTACACCAGCCCACAGGAGATTATAGTGTCCGTCCGTCGTGCAGGGAGGGGCTGGGTGGGGAGGGGCTGGGTCGGAAGGGTGGGGAGGGGCTGGGTGGGGAGGGTGGGAGGGGTGGGGAGGGGAGGATGGGGCTGGGTGGGGCTGGGTGGGGAGGGGCTGGTCACCCCGTGGTGCCCTTATAAAACTCAACGTTTAACCTACTCACGCCGGCTTGTGCCCGCCCTCACAGTCGGGCATATTTGTGGAATACACCACGCCGCCGTTGACCCTGCAGGCCATTGACCGAGCAACCCAACGTTCCTCCACTCGGTGCTCCGACCTCGAAGCCACTTGACCTCCTCCTCGCTCACGATATATACAGCAGCACGATTGATTAATTGGCCTTACGACCACAAGGAATTGTGATGCGTTGGTTTTCCAGATTCATTTAGAGGTGACATTTGCTCACCCGTAAGGGGCCGTCCATAAATGACGTCACGCGATTTTGTACGATTTTTGACCCCCCCCCCTCGTCACACGGCGTATCAAAAAGTCAGACCTCCCCCCCCAAAAAATAAAACATGCTTCAAATCGCTTTGAACTATTGACGTTGTAGTGCGTATTTAATGTGGCGCTGCACTCTGATGTAGGATAAAACATTTATTTAAAACGTCTATTTTATTAAGTAGAAAGTGTTGTCTATATTTATTTAAAGTTGCGCATTTGGATGTGACGTTACATTTCTCAAACCCTCCTCCCCCTAGGTGCGTGACGTCATTTATGGACGGCCCCTAAGAAGGGCAGTCATGGAAATAAACTTCAGCGATGAGGAAATCTATTGACGAAGGTAGCGAGGGGGTGTCAAGTCACGGAGGCAGTGTCTCATTACCAATAAGCCGCATTTTGTGAAGCTGCATCCTGGCCCGTATGGCAGGAGTTGTGTTCGTGGCCCACCTCACCAGAATTGGCAACATTGCCTGCACGCCAACACGTGGCTGCATGGGATAGTGGTAGTAGCAAAGTGGTTTGTGCACTAGGCGTTGAAATGTGTTTAAACAGGATAATACAATTGCGCCTTCTGTTCAGAAACTCGTGGAGAATTCTTGATGACGGTAATTATAACATCTAATTACTGGAAACGTATTTTGAACTTCTTTCGCGCCGTACGTAGCCAAATGTGCTAATCGAAGATGCGTGGTAACAATAACAAATTAAACACAAAAAGCAGTTCTGAATAAACTAGTTTTTCAATCGAGATGATGATTTAAAAGTGCAGAGCTCAAGTGGCTTCCTAATAACAGAAGGAAGAGCGTTCCAGACGGCCGCAGAAGCGCATCTGAAAGCTCGCGATGTACTCCAGAAAATACAATGTACTCCAGGAAACGATTGAAAATGTTTAACTGTAGAAGACCTTGATAATTGAATGTGGCTACAAAGTGAGGCTCAAGATATTTCGGTGAGAAAAGTCGCGTACAACATGTTGGCAAACCGATTCAAGACGCCGGGAGGGGGGTCACAACTGCAAGACACATTGGAGTAATGTAATGCGTGTTCATTGAGGGCAGTCGTTGGATGTGGAACTGGGATAGCAACAAATAGTGATATTCTTGGTTCTTTCGGTAAAGTCACGTAGAAGGTGTGGATTTCACACCTGATGATGATGATTGTGGATTTCACACCTGATGATGATTGCTTGTGTTGCAGTCGAAACGTCGTGAGAATTTGTATTGTTTAATATTATTTTATTACTTCCCTTCTACGTGACTTTACCGAAAGAACCAAGAATATGAATCCCTGCAGTCACGAAAGCTTTAAATCAAAACAAATAGTGAATTAGGTGGTCGAGAGCTGTCAGAAAAGCTGAACATCAACATGAAAATCAACACGTGGTCTGAAGAGCAATGCATGCAGTGTCCCTTGCATGGGTCTACAACTTGATTGACAACATGCAAACTGCGCCTCGTGTCCATGGGAACTTGCGGCGAGTCCAATGGCAATGTTTGTTTGTGTTCCTCATGTGAAGGCGATGATGTGGGACTCCGTTTAAGTGTTCGCTCTCGGGGGTCGGGCTTTTAGGACGCATCAAGAAGTCGTCGCACACGAAAGGAGGAGAGAGAGACACCACTCCCGTGCCCTTGCCACCTGCAGACGCAGCACTAATTCAGCCTGATGACTGTTTGGGGGCCCTCTTCGTGAGCACCTTTCTAGGCCACGTGATGTGCATTGAGATTGCATTGAGATTGCATTGAGATTTCGTACGTTTATTTGTGTACGTATACAATACAAAGATTAAAGATCTCCCCCGTGTAGCCTTAAGAGACTGTTGGGGCAAGTGCTGTTAGAGAGCACCTATGAAGGCCGGCACGGAAACACGAGGGGGGTGGGTGGCCAGCACCACGCCGGCCGCCTTTGTCTCCGCAGTATCGATGTTTACACATCGACACTAGGTACTCATGAGGCCGAGTCGACCTAGGGGAGGCCCAGAACCGGTTAAGATAATAATCGGTGTTGGCTGTGAGCGGCAATCGAACTCGGAATCACCAGGTTCGTAGCGCAGCGGCGCGAAACGCGACACCACAGCTCCCCCACAACAACACCACAACCACAACAACACCACCACAACCACATCACCACCACAACAACACCACCACCACAACACCACCACCACCACAACACCACCACCACCACAACACCACCACCACCACAACAACACCTCCACCACAACAACACCACCACAACCACATCACCACCACAACAACACCACAACCACAACACCACCACCACAACAACACCACCACAACAACACCACCACAATACCACCACAACAACACCACCACAACAACACCAGGACCACAACACCACCACACCACCACCACAACACCACCACCACCACAACACCACCACCACAACACCACCACAATACCACCACAACAACACCACCACAACAACACCAGGACCACAACACCACCACACCACCACCACAACACCACCACCACCACAACACCACCACAACACCACCACCACAACACCACCACCACAACACCACCACAACAACACCACCACAACAACACCAGGACCACAACACCACCACACCACCACCACAACACCACCACCACAACACCACCACCACAACACCACCACCACAACACCACCACCACAACAACACCACCATAACAACACCAGCACCACAACACCACCACCACAACACCAACACCAACACCACCCCTCCCACACCACCACCACAACACCACAACACCACCACTCCCCACAACACCACCACAACACCAACACCACTCCCCACCACCAGCACCACCACTCCCAGCTTCCATTCATCCACGGCGCCGTGTCCCCCTCCCCTCCCCTCCCCCCGCCCCTCCAACGCCCCCCGGAGGTGGAGGTGGTGGAGGCGGCGACTCCTCCTCACCCAACGAGCCCCCCCACCCCCCACCTCCACCCCCCACCTCCACCATCCGCCTTGCGTGGCTGCCATGGCAAAGCCGGGCGAGCGTCTGGGTCGTCGTCGTTGTCGTCGTTGTTGAGCGCCGCGTGGCGAGACGCGCCCCGGCGTGGAGGAGCTGTCCGTGTGCAGGAGCTGTCTGTGTGCAGGAGCTGTCCGTGTGCAGGAGCTGTCTGTGTGCAGGAGCTGTCTGTGTGCAGGAGCTGTCTGTGTGCAGGAGCTGTCTGTGTGCAGGAGCTGTCCGTGTGCAGGAGCTGTCTGTGTGCAGGAGCTGTCTGTGTGCAGGAGCTGTCCGTGTGCAGGAGCTGTCTGTGTGCAGGAGCTGTCTGTGTGCAGGAGCTGTCTGCGTGGAGGAGCTGTCTGTGTGGGGCGCCATGGGTGGAGGGGCGTCTTGGAGAAAGTCGCCGGTGGTGGAGGAGGTGGTGGAGGTGGCGTCCCCGAGACGAGGCCAGGGCGGCAGCAGCAGCAGCCAGGAGCGGCTGGAAGAGGTGATTGTTATGACGAGGTGATCGATTGATATTACGAGGTGATTGATTGATATTTCGAGGTGATTGATTGATCGATATTACGAGGTGATTGATTGATTATTACGAGGTAAGCAGACGTCCTCCGGACGCTGTGAGAATTTAGTTGTTTTATTATTTCCCTTCTACGTGACTTTACCGAAAGAACCAAGAATATGAATCGCAAGAGACTCGTCTGCAGATGGACATCGAGACACAGTGAAGAGATTCACGTAAAACGATGACGACAGAGCGGAGAGACGTTCCAGACGTGAGGGCTGTTGTTTTGGGTGTTCATTTAACAGGCCACCGCGGGCGTGCAGAGTTGCCCGGCAAATTCTCCAATCCCACGTCGCACTTTTCGTTTTAAATGCCATCGCCCACCGTTGTGTTAGAAGCTGGATCCAAACCACACCTCCTGCTACCGCACCTCCGGTTAGGACGTTTGGCAACTTACGGCGCGAAAGAAATTCAATATACAAGCCGATCTGAACATGCCATGCCAGATTTTTTTCCCACTAATACAGATTGAATGTAACTGCTGTTACTGCGCAAATGATTTAAATTTTATTGTTCTTGTTGTTTTTCAGACGTTTAGTTTACGGCGCTGCATTAAATGTCTTTGCAGCAAAACACATCACGCGGAGAAATTCACCGCCGAGTAAAAGTTGACTTTCAGGGCAGTCGAGCAATGAATGGCAGCAGCTGAACGGCGACGGTTTTGCCGTGTGACAGAACTACAGGGCCCTGTGGCGGCGAGAGAGCCAGGCCGCTCGGCACGTGCAGGGGAGCGACGGCGTCCAGGAGGTGGGAGGCTGGAGGATCGTGCGAGTCTTCGTGTCGTCCACCTTTGCCGACTTCCACGCCGAGCGGGAGGTCCTCGTGAAGCAGGTGCCGCAGCGCGGGTCTGGTTCGCCAAGGGTCGAGGCGACCCCCCCCCCCGTCCCGAATAGCCGATGAATGTGTGTTCATGATGAAGGTTTTTTTTGGGTTAGATCGCGTGAGTATAAATGCGTCGTTGCAAATCCGCCACCACCCGACACGGCCAACCGGTGAGGTTCATCACGTAAACGAAACGCGCCAATTGGTAACGACTTCAGCCCACCGGTGTGTTGGAGAATCAATCGACAACAGTTACAATTTGAGTACCTTGACGTTTCGCCGGTAATTGCATATAGCATCATCGGGGGATTTTGCCAGAATTGTCAAAATACCTTTATTATGAACAATATTGGTCAAGAAAGCCTACGTGTCAAACTGAATGTGTGTATGTTGCACTTCTTTCGCACCGTACGTAGCCAACCGTGCTAATCGATGGGTTGGTGTTCATATCCATTGCTGTTGGAGCTGTCAAAAGCGAACGGTGAAGAAACACTGACAGAGGGGCCTGATAAACTAAACTAATTTAATTTTACCAGGTAAGGCCCACTGAGCTATACGGCTTTTTTTCAGAAGTGACCTGGCCACAAATGATAGCTCAACAAAGTGCCCTATCATGTGGAAATGTATTGCAGCCAAATACTTTAAAAGCACGTTTCTAAATGTGGAGGGAAAAACCAGAGGACCTGGAGAAAAATCCACACGACCGCGGGGAGAGAGACACTCGCAAACTTCAAATATACAGCCGAGCCAAAGCCCGAGATCGGCGCCGTGGCAAGGGCTTAGTGAGGTGGGGCAGATTGGGCTCACTGTCCCACCCAGGTGGGGACCTCTATGTGGTATGTGTGTTGAACTTCTGTCGCACTGTACGTAGCTAACTATGCTCGAGCAGAGAAGTGACAGTTTACACAGGGACTCCTCTACGTGCGAATGAGTTGGGTTCCAGAGGTCTGTGTTCGTAAGTCGATTTTTTCGTAAATCCAACTTTACTCCTGTCGATTCCAAACACGTTGTACGGCGTGTACACTAAACACTGGCAATGGCTTTAAAAGTTGTGTAATCTCCTGTAGATGCCACTGGTGCTTCACGCTCTGCAGATGTAGATGCCACCGCCGCCATCTATTGCAGGGCGGTTGAACCCACGACTCTCGTTCTGAACAGGCAACTTGACATACGTGGACATGTTTGCTCGTATCTCTGAAAGTTCATAAGTCGAATTTTCGTAAGTGGAGGAGTCCGTGTACAGGGGGAAGGAGGGAATCGGTAACCTCCTGCGTGCTATTAATGCCCAGCGATGGCGACGCGACCCTCCCCCCCGCAGGTGTTCCCGTGCCTGCGCGAGTGGTGCGAGAGTCGCCGCTTGCGCCTCTGCGAGTGCGACCTGCGCTGGGGCGTCCCCGCCGGCTCCAGCTCGGCGAGCGTGCTCCAGACGTGCCTCGGGGAGCTCGACCGCTGCCACGGCGACACGCAGGGCCGCCCATTCTTCCTGGGGCTCGTCGGGCATCGGTGGGGCGCGCGGACAGAGAGAGAGAGAGGCACCGCGGAACGCGCTCGTTTTTGCCACCCCCTGAGGTGTAACAAAACCTCTGGAGGGCCTCCCTCCGGCGGAGGCCCTTCGTACGTGTGTCGTCGAACTTCTCTCGCAACGTACGTAGCCAACCGTGCGGTGGCACGAGCAAGAAATTGCGGAGCTGCGTGTTATTAACCAGGGTGGCCGCCGGGCTCGAACCGCGAAGACCTCTTCAAGCCGGCGGGAGAAACGCGCCACCGCTCGGCCACGTTGGCGAACTCTCGCCTGGCCGACGGCGTTGATTGCCCGACGGCGTTTGTGCCCAGGTGCGGCTGGATCCCCTCGCCGGAGGAGGTGCCGGAGGAGATGGCCTCCCGGTACGCCTGGGTGCCGGGCTTCTCCGTCACGGCCATGGAGATAGCGCACGGCGCCTACCGCAGCCGCAACCCGAACGCCGTCTTCTACGTACGCCGCAGCAACCTCACGGGTAAGGGGGGGCTCACACGATTGCAGGGACTGTATACAAGGTCGTGGCCTGCACGCGAATATTCAGTTTTATTTTTTTCTATAATTTCAATGTCAGGATAGAGAGAAGCAGAGAAACCCGGCTGCGATCGCAATCGCACCGATCTCCGGAACTGCACAACATTGAGAGACACCACTCGAGTGTTTGGAGCAGAGATGCACCGTCGTTCAAACATCGGCGTTCATTGTGTTGTAGTGGCTTGTGCCAAAGCCTCATACGTGCCGACAGGCACGGGCCTGCTTCCTGCTTCTCGGCCAAGAGATGGTTTTCATCTTTGTTGGCTGGTGAGTCAAAGCGATTTCATGCTAACATTAGCATTAGGAGTTTGGATTTTTTTAAAAAGATCATTTATCCAGGAGAGCCACACTGAGTCGTACGACTCTTGCATAGGAGGGTCCTGCTGCTACATTGGGTTTTTATTTGAAGATATTTTCAGCCAATTAATGAATGTTTCTACACGTGGGAGGAAACTCGCAGCACCCCCTTTCTCATTACTGCCCTCTGCTGGCGAGCCAGGGTATGGCATATCGACGTCCGTGGGAAAGGAGTTTCACATCTCTGTGTGGTCCTAGCCTCCACATCTAGGTAATTCCACGCTGATTTCAGCGTGGAATTTCAGCGTGGAATTAGTGGGAGGAGAGCGTATCTGTAGGACAACCACTGTTGACTTCCCCATAAAGTGGTACCTATTTTATCGTCCCCTTAGGAATGATGGGTTGAGTCAACCCCCAACCAGGAATGAACACCTTGAAAACTAATTTCTTTAGAACTGTTTTTTGTGTTTAGTTTGTTGTCCTTCCCCCGCATAGCATGGTTGGCTACGTACGGGGTGAAAGAACTTCAACATACATGCATATGTGAACTCATGCTTTCACAATACGGGAGGCTCCTAATATACGGCGTACAAGCTGAGATATATTGCGGCATATATACAACAATACATCGCGGACGCATTTTCCTGACGATTCCGGTGGAGTCCGTGCCTACGGTTGGTTCCTTCACTTCCACGCGGCTCTGGTTTTTGTTGCGCGCTGCGCTCGGCGCGTGCAGCCAGCCTGCCGGAGTGGGCGCGGGCCGACTTCGCGGAGACGGAGGCACGGCGCGCTGCGCACGTCGCCGGCACGCGCTCCGCCGTGCTCGAGCGTTTCGCGCCGTCGGGGCAGGCGCGGGAGTACGACTGCCACTACGCCGGCGACGACTCCGGCACCGACGACTCCGGCACCGACTCCGGCAAGGTGAGGGAGGCTCGGCTGTTGCGAGCGACAGCGTCGCACGCCGGGCTCGCTGTAAGCCGGAATATGGGGTAAGCCGGAAGGCTACCTGCGATAAATATTTGTAAAAATGTAAGAAATATTTAGGAAAGAAAAAAATAACCCCAACCGGAGCGCTATCACTGTGCTAATTAAGTTGTGCGTACGGCATGATTTTTTTTAATGTAAAAAAAATATATTAATGATGACACTCGAGATTCAAATGTTGTGAAAGTCCCTTCCTGTGGGCATTGAGGAGGAGCCATACCCTGGGCTGTCAGGTGAAGGCGGTACAGCGCATGGACTATTCTCCATCTGTGTCTATCCGTATGGGTTTCTTCAGTGTGCTCCGGTTTCCACCCACACATACAAACACTCATTCAGTGGCTGAAAACATCTCGTACATATCGAGGACCACAGAGGTTGAGCAACTGTTAGCACCTCCCTGGCCACCGCAAATGCCCTTGTGCTCGTCTGTGCATTCTCTCGTGCAAGCGGATCCTTGTGTCAGGCCTGGAGGAGTTCAGTGTGGGTGTCCTCAGCTTCTTCCAGGAGGCCATTCAGCGTCAATTCCCCGACCGCACGCCTGGCACGGAGGGCCTCTCCTGGTGAGGCCTCTTCGAGGCAACAGAAACGTATTTCCAATGTGCCCCCCTCCCCCATTTTTAACCGTGTTTTCCTTAAAACGCTATCAACGGGCAATATCGTGAATGTGGATCGTCGTAAATGGTACATTGAAAAGCTTCCGTAACATTTGGTTCATAGACATCAGGCAATTTCCACTAAACTAAAGAAACAATGTTTTGATTTAAAGCTTTCGTGATTGCAGAGATTCATATTCTTGGTTCTTTTCCTTCGACGTGACTTTACCGAAAGAACCAAGAATATAAAGAAACAACGTTTTTATTTGACCAGGTAAGGCCCATTGAGCTAAGTAGCTCTCTTTTAGAAGCGACCTGGCCACAAATGATAGCTCAACGAAGTGGCTGCCAACTCCCTGCGGTCGTTACAGGGCGGCCGGCGATGGGAAATGGGCCATCACATCCTGCCATCCAATATTGTGTTCCTGACATCACGTGTCATCGAAGGGGAAACCATTTAGGTTGTTCCATCATGCAGGAGCCCCACAAAAGCACTACAATAACAAGCACGGTGCATCAGACAACGACCGAGTTTGACTTTACCATTCTCCAGTTGTGACAAGGCGTTAGGCTGTAATGAGGGCTTTGACGTGCCAGCGACGTGCTGTCAACACCGGACGTTTTTTTTTTGGGCTTCTTGTCGCTGGTGTTTATTTATATTTTGTTGTACCCGCAGGGAGCGAGCAGAACACGAGCAGCACCGCGATTTCCTAGAAACGCGAAGGGAGCTCGTTTTGGGTCGAGATCGAGAAATGCGGAAGATGCTGTCCCACATCTGCAGGCCTCAGAGTCAAGGTGAGGCACGTGAAACTTCAGAACACTGGCGCAAGGTAAACGAAGCGGGAATTGGAGCAGCCGCCGGGTTTCCCTGCAGCAAGACAGCGGCTGAGGCTTTAGCGTTGAATACAGTCGGCGGAAGATGCAGACGTGAGGCTCCAACAGAGCAGCAAGTTGGCATATCGAATGGCACAGCGTGATGTCTGCCTCGTGTTGTTTGCACCGAGGCCATCTACGAACAGCCCTCAGGAAAATTGCACGGGCAAAGTTTACTTGGAGTGGAATTACAACAATGCGATTATTTTACCACGACAGCGCATGAGTTGGTAAGGATTGTCGCGGTGCAGCCATTAGCACGTCACACGACAAAACTCGGCAATCTAATTTGGATTTCCCAGCTGTCCTCGGTGATATCTGTATTGATCCTGCGTCCGCCGTGCACCAACCTGCGCCGACATGGGAAGATCCTCATCCAGAAGTGGATTGACAATTGGGCTGTGCACGTGCCTGCAATGCCAGATGTGTTATTTGGCACAGGTAGGCACGGTGGCGAGATGTTAACTACCTAGTCTGGTATGCAGGAGGTCATGGGTTCGATCCAGACCCTGACGCCTAAATATTTGGAATTTGTATGTTCTCCCCGTGGTCCTGTGGATTTTTCTCAGAGTTTCTCCGCTTTTTACATCTACAGAATCAACGTGAGTTTATAGTGTTTGGCTGCTATACATTTGCACGTGATAAGCCACTTCGTTGAGCGATCATTTGTGATAGCCAGGTCGCTTCTGAAAAAGAGTTACAAGAGCTCAGTGGTGGGCTTTACTCGGTAAAATAAAAGCGTTTTAATAACTTTTAATTATTGCGGCAATCTGCACATGGGTTTCATCTCCCTTTCAGAAGCCGAAGCGCCGGACTCCGACGAGGAATTACCGCCGGCGCCTGTTGTCCTGCTACTCGTTCGGGCCGAGCCAGGCATGGGGAAGTCATCGCTCATGGCGAGATGCGTGGCAGAGACGTTAAAGGTATTCGCGCCGACCCAGCTACTCCCCAAAAAGCCGTGAGCATCAACAACCCTGGGCAGCGCAGGGTCACGTAAAGCATAAACCGTATTTATTTTAAATGTAATATCACCTCCACTCAAGGGGGTATCAAAACATTGTAGACTGAAATCAAATGCAAGGACAATACAATAATGCTGAAGTAAAAGCCATAAGAAAATAGTGAGTCTTCGACTCCCTCCTGAACACACACGGAGGCTCTGAGCGTGCCGGGTCACCGCCGGCAAGGCGTTGCAGATCCTTGGGGCAACACTTGAGAAGGCCCGACCCTCCAGCCTCGAGCGCAAGAGCCCAGGCTGGGAGAGCAGTCGGTCCCTGCTCTGAAGAGCGTAGAGGATAAACCCCAGTCGTGCGTGCGTCACGGCCAGCCGCAGGATTTGTTAGTCGGCGGGTCTACCGCTCACGCTGTCCACCGGCTCGCCAACCTCAGCGTGTTGCTGATCGGCTCCCCCGCGCGCAGGCAGCAGCTGTCGTAGGCTGCTGCCGCTGCGCTGTTGGAGAAGGCCTTGTGAAAGCTGCGGGTTGACAAAATACGCAATCGTGTCGTAGTGATCGGGCTGCGCGCGCGGGCGCCATCGTGCTACGGCTGTCTTGTGCTGTGCGTTTTGTGCCCCAAAGATGCCAGGCCTCTCGGTGTTCTACCACTTCATTGGCTGCTGTCCAAGCTCCACAGAACTGATCAACTTACTTAAGCGTCTCTGTTGCCACGTGAACCCCCCTTCAAAAGGTATGCCAGTGCCCAGGTTATGACACACAACAATATTCAACCAATCGCGCTGCATTTTCTGGCCTTTTATAGACTGTATCTATTACTTTGCAGATAAGGTTGGTGGATCAGGGACGTTTCATTTGGACTTGCACCTGCCTACCTCTTCTCTATCATCTCTCTCTCCTCCAACAACAACCGCCGTTTGCCACGAAGTGGCGGTGACGTCACCACGGCGCTTGTGCCAGGCTATGTGCACTTTAAGGCCACGTGAAATACCGAACGCCCGCTGGCAGGAGGTCACGGGACAGACCCAGGTGCCATGGGTTGAGTGACTGAGATGATTGGCAGCTGCAACACCTGTGCCCCATAAAAATATCTACACACACACTCTTCCACTGTGATCTCGTTCTACTCCCCCTCCACGCTCTCTCCTACCTCTCCCCTCTCATCTCGCTCTACTCTCCTCCACGCACTCTCCTAACTCTCCCCTCTCATCTCGCTCTACTCTCCTCCACGCACTCTCCTACCACTCCCCTCTCATCTCGCTCTACTCCCCTCCACGCACTCTCCTACCACTCCTCTCTCATCTCACTCCACTCCCCTCCACGCACTCTCCTACCACTCCCCTCTCATCTCGCTCTACTCCCCTCCACGCACTCTCCTACCACTCCCCTCTCATCTCGCTCCACTCCCCTCCACGCACTCTCCTACCACTCCCCTCTCATCTCACTCCACTCCCCTCGACGCACTCTCCTACCTCTCCCCTCTCATCTCGCTCCACTCCCCTCCACGCACTCTCCTACCACTCCCCTCTCATCTCGCTCTACTCTCCTCCACGCACTCTCCTACCACTCCCCTCTCATCTCGCTCTACTCCCCTCCACGCACTCTCCTACCACTCCCCTCTCATCTCGCTCTACTCTCCTCCACACACTCTCCTACCACTCCCCTCTCATCTCGCTCTACTCTCCTCCACGCACTCTCCTACCACTCCCCTCTCATCTCGCTCTACTCCCCTCCACGCACTCTCCTACCACTCCCCTCTCATCTCGCTCTACTCCCCTCCACGCACTCTCCTACCACTCCCCTCTCATCTCGCTCTACTCCCCTCCACGCACTCTCCTACCACTCCCCTCTCATCTCACTCCACTCCCCTCCACGCACTCTCCTACCTCTCCCCTCTCATCTCACTCCACTCCCCTCCACGCACTCTCCTACCACTCCCCTCTCATCTCACCCTACTCCCCTTCCCGGGCTCTCCCACCCCTTTGCTGAATTGTGCGGCTGAAATAATTTCATCCTAGCACGTAATATTTGATAGTAATGTGAATAATTAACTGCTCGGAACCTGGCGACCTGAGTTGGATTCTCAGGGACTACTAATGTTGTTGTCCTTCCCCGCACCTCCGATTAGCACGATTGGATACGTACGGAACAAAAGAAGTTCAACATCTGGGCCAATCTTGGGCTCCCCAGATTTGCCAATCTATACTCAATCAGCGTGGTGAAGTATAGTCAAATCAACTTCCGTGGCACAGGCAGACCTTCTTCCAGCAGTTGTTTGACAATTGGCTGTAAATTACCATTCATAATTTACTCTCAAGATGTATGTATGTTGAACTTCTTTCACACCTTACGTAGCCAACCGTGCACATTGAAGACGGTCGGATACTGTGAGAGTGGACCTTGGAGGTTGGTGGTCCGTAGTGTAGCATCGAGCAGAGGGGAAGAGAGGAAGTACAGCGAGGTGTGGCGTGCGGTGACTTGACTGAGCGGTGCCGCGTCTGCCGCTGCCTGCAGAGGTTTTTGCGGTTCGAGCCCCACGGCTGCCCTGGTTAATACTGCGGGTGAATTAACCGTGGAATACACGCCGCCCGCTTCACAGTGGCCGTTAAAAGATCCCCGCCGCGATGTCATCCGAAAAGAAGAAGGTTGTGCGTGTGCGTGTGCCGCCGTCATGTTTCAAAGTTGATGGAAAAACAACATTTATCCGCTAATCACTTGATTGGGAAGTAACACACGGCGACGTTTGCCCACCCCCCAGTGTGAAACTGGCAGGACCCTCCTGAGAAGAATACCGAGACTCGGTCAGGCTTCTGTGGGTTAACAAATGTGAACCATAATGAATAACTTTATTCAGCCAGAGGTTTATGTTGATGTCGGTCGAGCGGCTTCACGGGACAGCTCAACTTTCAGGAGCAGCTGAACTGGACAATCTCTTTGATGTCCCTGTAACCACAGAGACGTTGTTGGAGACCCTGGAAAACTGCACGGACGAAGAGGCGTGCTCCCAGCCACTGCAGGAGATCCTGGAGGTTACTGGTGAAGGGGAGCTGTCGTTAGTCATCTTCGTAGATGCCCTGGACCAGGTGATACCAACGGTCGCTTTTGTGCAGGGGCTTCGTTCGTGTAACCGAATGAAGATACTCTGTTGGGGGGCCAAGCTGGTGCACTGTCAGAAGGTTTTGAATTCTCATGCGAGTTGGGGGGGGGGGGGGGCGGGGGTGTTAACTCAGCCCTTCATCTTTCCGGGGACGATCAAATTGAGATCCAATTTGTGGGAAGTTTGTTTCTTTCTTTCTTAGGTTTACGAGTCAGCTGGCCAGGATTAGGCTAAAATTGGCCCACTTCACAACCCAGGCAACTGGAGAGCACCGACTTAAGTGTTTCTGACATAACATTAATACTAACAATGACATATTTAATAATCGCAGTTAAGAGGGAAACATCATATGTACTATTAAAAAGGAATAAAAAAAAATATATTTTTTAAACGTAAGTCAACAGTAACTGCACGATGGGTGCACTCATCCCCAACATAGACATGTGGAGTTTCCACATTGTGCTGCAAGCAGGAGGCGAGCTGCCCAGCATGTTCATTTGAACAGCGGCCACTTCTGCTCACATCCCCAGTGTTGATCAGACAGGCCTTGTCCAAGCAAAGTTCTTGAGGCACAAGGGAGCACGGGGTGCTATTATTCTACGTTGGTTCCTGACAGGGATGGAAGCGGCATTATATATAGAAACTTGTCTCTGTTGTCCTGCTGCTCAACTAAAACACAGCCGTGGTTTTCACTTTTTTTTTATGACGGTGATCTAACCATGGCAGTGTGCGGGGGTGTCCACACAGTGTACGACGCCGTGTGCGGGGTGTCACGTGAACGTGCAGGGCGTGATGGGAGGACCGATACAATGGCCACAATTGTGCCTTCGCCTTCTAGAAATGAAGTGATGCACTCTTGTTTGTTAACAGCCTGCTAGCAATATGTCTCATAAATTTACGAAGAGTGTTACAATTGCAGGAAACCAGGGAGAATGCAGTGCTATGGGGGAACCATCTTACAGAGAGATTTTTTAATGAATGCGCTGCTTTAACATGGGGAAAGATGACTTCTGGAATGTTACTCTGAACAGATGGCGGTGCCTTCTGTCCCCTGGGCGGTCGTGTAACAGTTTGGCTACGGGCGGTACCATCTTCCGGAAGATGATTTTTAACAACTCGATTGAAACACGCCTTTTGTAACACTGTTGCTGTATCCATTGGTCGATAAGGTGCAGCGCCAACTTCGGCTTTAACATTCATGGGGTAAAAAAGGTGTGCCTTATAGTCTTAAGAGTACGTTATACAGTAGTCCCTCGGTTAACGTTTTTAATCCGTTCCACGAAATATACCGTTAATTGAAATAACTGTTAATCGAATTCACTTGTAATTTTTAAAGTAGAAAAAAATAATCACCGAGTCTGCAAGAGAGAGCTGTTTCCACTGCCAGAACAGACACCGTGATGTTAACAAAGCCGGTAGAGCTCTCATCGCTCAAATGGGCATCCCCGATTGGCTGAGAGCATGGCTCAGTCCGCTAAGGAGCACTTGGATTGGCCGACATTAGCGTCCGCGTACATACCGTTAGTCAACATTTTAACGTTGTCGAAACCATGGGGTCCTATTGGGAGACGAAACGTGAACCGAAAAACACTGAACCTATGTCACTTGTCACCGGGGGACTACTGTTGTACTTGATTTGATCAATTGTCGCTTCCTATCAGTTCTCAAGTCACGCGTCGGCCAGCCACCTCTGCAGTGCCCTCCTCCGGGCTGCGGAAGCCGGAGGGCCCCACGGCGGAGCTACCTGGGTGCTGAGCTCCGCCGTGGGGCATGGCTGGCAGCACGAGGCCCTCTCGTGGAGCGGCCCCCTCGTGGAGCTGGGCCCACTGGCGGAGGACGAGGCCCGGGATGTCGCGACCGCCTTTCTGCAGAGGTTCAACAAGGTGGGGATCGAATGCCTTTCACCGCTCAGGATCCTTTGCCACGTGTACTCGACGGACTTGGTACCGAGTTTGTGTCTTCGAATTATATGAACTGTTCTGTCCCCACCCCCAGCACCACACCACACCACCCCTCACCAACCTGCACTGACCAGTGTGGTGAAGTATGGTCAATGAAAGCTCCATCCAACAGCTGACAAAGGGTTGTGAAAGGCGAAGGTGCAAGCCTGCGATTACTTGTAACACCTGAAACTGAAAATGCTATTTAACAGAGGATAGCGTTGAGCTAATGCTAGGGTTTGACGCTACTGCCTGCATTCTGTGGATTTTAAGGCGCTCTGGAAAGTAATACGCACACCAAACTTGTACTCCACGTCAAATCTGGTCTCACACACACACGGCTATCGGATTCTAAGATGCACCCTTAACGTTCCCTTTAAAATAAAGGGGGAGGGGGTTGGGGGAAAGGTGCGTGGTACTCTGGAGAATACGGTAAGTGTTATGCACCTTTAAATCATCTTGATTGAGAACAATTTCTTTAGAACTGATTGTCGTGTTTAGTTTGTTGTCCCCCCCCGCACCTCCGATTAGCGCGGTTGGCTACGTACGGTAAGGTGCGAACGAAGTTCAACATAACGGGTGCGCACACACAACCACCCCCCACACACCTCTCGGCACGCAGAGGCTGGACCTGGCCCAGATGAGCTCTCTCACGACCAACCCTGGAGCTCGTCTGCCGCTGTGGCTGGCCCTGGCGTGCGAGGAGCTGCGAGTGTTCGGCTCCTTCGAGGGCCTCTCGCACCACGTGGAATCGCTCCCCGCCGACCTGCCCGCCCTCCTCGCCCAAATCCTGGGACGGGTCACGGCGGAGGACCTGAGCGGGCTGCTCGGCAAGGTCAGGAAGGAATCCGTTCAACGGCGGAGTCTTCGAATCCATGAAACATATTTATGGGGCCAAGAACCCGCTGAGGGAAACTTACTGTGATGCCCTTGTACGTGTGTTGAACTTCTTTCGCACCATACGTAGCCAACCGTGCTAAGCGGAGGTTAGTTTCGTACTGTTAAATTTTGTATTGCGCTGACCGCTATCCAAATAAAAAAAAAACCCATCAAGTTCCAACCTACACAGATCCCAAGTCATTTTGGATGAAAGAAATACACAGTGCATCCCTCGGCCCCATGTATGACTGTGAAACGAGGTTTTAAGAATACGTTGACCTAAAAAGACTGTTTTAAGGCACGATCCCACGTCACGGCTGTGGTTTATTTTTATTTAGTATAATTATATATTTTTATCAAAATGATAGCAATTGAACAATTTGATTTGATCGCCTTAAAAAAAAGGGGGCCTCTGATACGGGTGGGGGTGGGGGGGGGGGCACAGTGTAATGACAGCGGTAACTCGCGTCAGCACCACGGCTCGTTCTGCCAGTTTGGCAAAGTGTGACTCGCGGCTGTCTCTGTGCCATCGCTTCGAGCAGCCAGGCACAATCCTGCCCGAAACGTGGCCATCTGCACTTGAAACCGGTCCACCTTGGGCACAAACGCATCAACTTATAATAAAGGGTTTTTTTCAATCTTCATTTGAAGCTTTCGTGACTGCAGGAATCCATACTCTTTGGTTCTTTCGGTAAAGTCACGTAGAGATAAAAAATTAAAAAAATCACGACGTTTCGGGCACAACACAAGCGTCCATCATCAGGTTGGAAAGCGTGGTCTGCTGCTGAGGCAGACTTTTAAAAGGTTTGAAATGGGAGTAGCTCAAGGGTTATAAAGAAGTGGCCGGGGCTAGTCTAGGAGGCCGCTCTCCTAGCTTACTTTTACATGCTCATCCCTCACATTAATATCATGATAATTTCTCACATTAACATCATGCTAATCTCTCACATTAACATCATGCTAATCCCTCACATTAATATCGCCACTTCCGTGCCCTCGTTTAGGAGGCTGCTGTCCTATCTAACAGTTACATGCTAACCCTTGAGGGGGATAACACTCAAAATACAACGCTCGCCTCCCGCACACAAAACACCTACCAAGGAATTGTTCCAGCCACGTCACGCCGGGCTGGGCTTCTTGGGGCGACACAGTGGCAAGATGTTAACGACCTCGCCTTGTATGCAGGAAGTCGTGGGTTAGATCCCGACCCTGACGCTTGCTGTATATTTGGATTTTTCTCCGGGTCCTCCGTTTTTCCCTAGACATTTAGAATCAATATGCGTTTAGAGTATTTGGCTGCTATTAATGTCCACATGGTAAGCCACTTTTTTATCATGTGGTCAGATCGCTTCTGAAAAAAAGCTATATTGCTCAGTGGGCCTTACCTGGTAAATTTTAAAGTTTAGTTTTAGTTTTTCTCACCTTCAGGAGACAGCATTATCAGGACTGGAGTAATTGACCACAATAAACGTAGTTGATGACAATTGTGAGTTCATTAATTAATGGACTTAATCAACACGTCCCCGCTCAAGTTTCACGTTAATCACGATTCAACTTTCCTTTTGCCCGCGCGTAGATGCTGTGCTTGCTCGAGTGTGCCCCTCACGCCCTGGCAGAGGTGGACCTGCGGTGCATCCTGGGTGGCTGTACGGAGGGAGGCAGCCTTCCCATGATGCAGTGGGCCCAGACGAGGCGTGGGGCCCGCGGTCTGCTGAGGGGGAGTCTTGACGACGGAGGTCTGGAGACGATTGGATTCTGCCACAACGCTGTGGGGGAGGTGACGACAACAACTCCCTCGCTTAGACCAATGGCACGGGTTCTCAACCTCTTGAAACAATATAAAAAAATATTTTTTATTTTAATTTCACCAGGTAAGGCTCACTGAGCTATGTAGCTCTTTTTCAGAAGCGACCTGGCTATCACAAAGGATATCTCAACGCAGTGGCTTATCATGTGGAAATTTATAGCAGCCAAATACTCTGAATGCACAAACAATTCTATATGTGGAGGAAAAAAACCGGAGGACCCGGAGAAAAATCCACGCCACCACGGGGAGAGAGACACGCAAACTCCAAATGTACAAGCGTCAGGGTCGGGATCGAACCCACGACCTCCTGTATATCAAACAAGGTAGTTAACATCTCGCCACTGTATGGCAGTCCTCCAATCTAAACCATCGGTCTCCATACCATAAGACGCACTTATTCCCCCGCTGTATTTTAAAACACAACTTCAGTGTGCGCTTTTTCCTTTCCGGAGCGCCTTACAACCTGGAGAATGCAGAAGCGGATGTTTCCTCTTCGGCAGCGTTTCCGCTGACATATCCGCGCATTCTAAACCTCTCCTGCACGGTGTCCGTGCCCGTAGCCCGCGGGTTCGGAACCTTCGCTGCCTCGGGGTCAAACGCTGCTCGCGAGCGCCTTGACCTTTTAAAGTGGCGCTCGTGACGCCGTGTCTGTTGCAGGCGGTGCAGTCCTGCCTGCTCTCGCACGAGGGCGGCCGCCACGGCTGCCTGATCGCCCTGGCCGACCACTTTGAGGGCTGTTGCCGCGGCGACGAGGGCCGCTGGGCCGCCGTGGCGACCGTGCTGCCGCGGCTGCTGCGGGAGGCCAGGCTGGACGCGCGGCTCGTTGCGTTCCTGCGCAGGGACCCCCGCGGAGTTCGCGTTAACTTCATCGCTCGCCAGCAGTTCCTGAAGGTCCGACCAATCGTGTCCAACCACCTCGCCATCCCACCATCTGTGCTGTATCATCATCATCACGATCCATGGGCAAGAAAGCCCATAGTTGTCCACTGCATATATCGTCATTTGTTTCCACTTTCCCCTGTCTCATGCCAATATGCTCACAAGTCGTGCCACATCTTTCTGGCACAAATCTTTTATGTTGTCATGAAGCCATTGTCTGTTAGGTCTTCCTTTCTTGCCGGTTCGTTCCATTTGTTACGAACAACACGCCTTCAATTTTCCTGTATAGCCGTTCAGATTGTTCTATTTTACGGTAGAAAGTAATTGCAAGGCTGCACTTTTATCTGTACAGTTAGAATGTTCTGCTTTTGTATGACTGGGTCTCATCAGGTCCTCCTCTTCCCTCTCGCGCACACTTAAAACCTCCTCCAGACGTGGCATACGTCCCAAGCGTGGCCGTCTGGAAAGTCTCTTGAAGACTTGGCGAGTCTTCGCCGCGTCAATATTTACGAACAAAAAAAAATGGAAAAAAATAACATTAATAACAAGTGGTCCACACATGTCATGGCCACAATATGTGATGCTGCCCTGGTGGTTCGATCCCTGCCGATCGACGTGTGGTGGGGTAAAGTGTGAGCACTTCCACATCTTCCAAGACGTCTGGCCAGTGTGAAAGAGTAGACCAAGTACCCCCTAGGAGAGCAACTCTCCAGAGCTTCCTTGAGTGGATTTAATTTTGCCAGCAGTAGTGTCAGAGCAAGCTATCACAGGGCTGCATATTTACCTTACTTCTGCAGCGTTATTATCCACAATTCATGTTGCTGATGAATACAGTTCAGAAAATGTGGTCATTAACAACATAAAAAGGAAGATAAAGTGATAATTGCGCAAAGCAGCTTGGAGAGACGCAAACTTGCAATAACATTGAGACAGAAACAGGAACACACGGATTAGAGAACGTACCAGTTTAATGACATAATTCACACTCATAAGAAAGGTGAGGCTTGGGCAGGACATGTTTGATAACATGAAAATCAATTACTCAATAATCCGATTGGCCCAGCATAAATTCTCACTATCGGCGCTCACCCCGAGCGGCGGCGCGACGGGCACATGCTGCTCATTGTCGTCCGTGTCGTCGAGCAGGATCTGCGCTGCAAGATGATCGTCTGCAACGGATTCTCCAGGAAGGCTGTCATCATGTGCCAGACCTGCGCCTTCAGCGTGCGAGCCTTTGGACAGGTGCGTCGCTGCACGCACACACATACAAAACGCACACGCGCACGCACAAAAAACATACTAGAGCACCGATGTAGGCCGACATGGCACACGAAGGGGTGGGTGGCCAGCACTACACTCAGCTGTCTTTATCTCCATGGTGGGGATATTTACACCAGGTGCTCTTTTGAGGCTGAGTCAACCTAGGAGAGGTCCAAGAACGGTTCAGGCAATCGTCGCTGATGTTGGCCGCGAGCGGGAATGGAACTCGCGTAACCATCTTCGTAGCAGAGTAGAGCGCTAACCACTCCACCGCCATTCCCAATACACGCACGCACACGCACCTGTTCATTCACTGTCAGCAGAGCGTAGGTCTGAGTGCATTATGGTTTACACAAAGTAGGATGGTCGTTCATGGCACATTCTTACACTTAGGCATGTTACAATTCATTGACTACAATAGAAGCCTACGTGTTAAATAGATTATTTACACTTAAAATACTTGTATAGATATTTCTAGCAACATTAATGAAAATTGAAACTCGCGCACAGATTTTGCACAGGTAACCACAGACAAGCGGGAAGGCAGCCAGAATCGCTGTCGACTATTTCCCAAGCTCTGTGGACCTATAATTGGGATGTCTCAGCACTCCATTAACCACGAGTGTTTATACATTCGAGTGTAAGCCAGAGTACCTCAAGACATCCCACGCATGCCAGGGTGGTAGCACTCGATCCTCATGCAGGTGGAAATGGCAGTGAACCCGCTTGCTATGCTGCCATAATTCCCTGGTGAGCCAGGAGATCGCGACATCGGCGGGTCGGAGGTTTCACGAAATTTCTTGTGATCCACCAATCCTCGCCTCCAAAGTGCTCGACTACAGGCCACGTGGAGCGTAGTCACCAGTGCAATTCTGAGCTGTATCTACTGTACGTGCATTGAACTTCTTTCGCACCGTACGTAGCCAACCGTGGTAATTGACGGTGCGGGGTCAGGACGTCAAACTAAAAAGGATTTGGGATTGAAGAGAATCCCAATACGCGCGTTGAAAGGAGAGAGTTGAATCGGTTGCTTACACTGATGCAAGTTTACTTGCAATTGTTCCATTGCCTAGCACCAGTTGATGCACCGTCTCTTTGCAGATGTTCTTAAACAAGGACAGCTGTGCGATCTGTGGGACCGCTGCGCACACCGCCTCGAAGGAGGCCTACTTGTGTCACATTCACCAGCGGTGAGCACTTCTCTCCTCGAACACAACAACCGCCACTAAGTGGCGGTGACGTCACCACGACGCTTGTGCCAGGCCATGTGCACCTTGAGGCCACGTGAAGTGTCGAACGCCCGCTGGCAAGAGGTCACGGGGCAGACCCAGGTCACGGGGCAGACCCAGGTGCCACGGGTCGACTGACTGAGATGACCGAACACACACACACACTCTCAGCCTCCCGGTGCGCCAGGTTTAAATGACGGGGCCAAGTTTCTTATTAAATCCTCCGGCCTCCGCCACACCCAGCAGTAGCATGGCTGCACCACAGCAAGTCCATCGACAGGTCACGTGTGGTGGGGTAAAGTGTGGGCACTCGCAACTCCTTGAAGAGTCTTGGCCACTGTCGAGTAGTTAGGCTCCATAACCTCTACCTTGAGGGGTTCTCTAGAACTTCTAGTGGAAGCTATTTTGCCAGCAGTAGCGAGTAATTGCAGGGTTGCACCTTTATCTTTTTAACCAACTTATCTGGAAAGCCCATTGGCCAATGGACAAACGAGGCACGAGAGGTGTGAGATTAGTGAGAGGTGTGAGATTAGTGAGAGGTGCTCGTCCCACATGGCTCCGGGCGCCGGCGGTGAAATACCACCTCTAATATAAACCCGTGCATGGTCTTGGATCTACATACCCGCGGGCCTGGTGTGTCCCTCATGCGATCTCAGGGCAGGGCCGACTCTCCCAGCCACGATTCTTGCACCTGACGCTAGGTTGCCAGGCCTTCTCGAGTGCCACTCATAGGATTTGGGATGCCTCGCCAACAGTACTAATCGGAGGTGCGGGACAGATATGCAAAGGCATCCGGGCGTGGTGCTGGCCACCTACCCCCCCTCGTGTGCCGTGATGGCCATCATAGGTGCTCGCGAACAGCACCACTTCCCCAACAGCTTGTTAAAACTAAAAGTTGGATATTTGTCTCGATATGTACGTATATTAAACTGCTTTGGCACCGTACATAGCCAAGCATGCTAATTGGAGGTGCGGGGGAAGGACAACTGAACACAAAAAGCAGTTCAAGAAATTAGTTTTCAATCTAGATGATTTAGAAGTGCATATTAGGCTTCCTAATATCGAAAGGAAGAGCGTTCCAGACGGCCGCAGAAGCCAAAAGCCACCGCCTCTCTTCGGACGCCCGGAGTTCGCGTGATGATGGTTTATTCGCTCCTCGAGTTCTCACCTGGCCAAACACCTGTACCCTGTGCACAGGCTGCCGAATCGCGAGGACTGCTTCCTGTGCGGCCGGGCCCTGATGGGAACGGGGAGTAAGGCGGCGGTGCGGCTGTGCCACATGTGTGGCTTCCGCGAGGCGTGCGTGCACCTCGCCGGCACGTGACGCCCGCGAACGCCTCGCTCGCTCCCCCTCATCAACCGCGGGGTTCTGCACGCTCGCCCAACTCGCCCTGCTTTCGCGTCTCGTGCTCTGTCTGGTATCCCATCTACCAGTATGTCTGTCTGTCCGTTCTGGTCTGTTTGGTTTCCCATCTCACTTATTCTTTGTCTGCAAGTTCCTCTGTTATTCATGGTGCCGTCCATTTGTCTGTCAGCCTAACGTGCAATCCGGAGGTCGCCGTCCGATCTCTCGGCGAGGCAGTTGAAACAATGAACAGGTTGCCCTTTAATCCCTTTCCCTGCGCCCACATCCACACCTCTCGTCCACCCAGCAGCATAAATGTGTAACAACCACAATTAGAGTCCAACGTGTGTTCGGCAGGTCGAGTGTGGCGAGGTAAAGCGGCGTGGGTTTACGCTCACCGCTCGCAAGACGTTTGGCCAGTGTGGAAGAACTAAAACACAAACATCCCTTGTGCAATGGGTTCTCAACCGTCGTTTGGCGACGGATAAAACCCCACTTTTTAATTTTGTTTCAAACGAGTGAACCCCCCTTTGCCTGACCCCAACACGGTTCTGAGAAAACACATTCCTGCGGAGGGAGCTGGTAGGAACGTTGGGTTGCTCGGTCAATGGCCAGGGTCAACGGCGGCGTGGTGTATTCCGCAAATATGCCCGACTGTGAGGGCGGGCACAAGCCGGCGTGAGTAGGTCAAACGTTGAGTTTTATAAGGGCACCACGGGGTGACTAGCCCCTCCCCACCCAGCCCCACCCCTCCCACCCCCCACCCAGCCCCTCCCCACCCAGTCCCTCTCCCCCCACCCAGCCCCTCCCTCCCCACCCAGCCCCTCCCTCCCCACCCAGCCTCACCCTCCCCACCCAGCCTCACCCTCCCCACCCAGCCTCACCCTCCCCACCCAGCCCCACCCCTCCCACCCCCCCACCCAGCCCCTCCCAAACCCAGCCCCTCCCCACCCAGCCCCTCCCCCCACCTAGCCCCTCTCCACCCTCCCCACCCAGCCTCACCCTCACTCACCCCCCAGGGGTCCGCCTACACGAGTGGACGCCGTCTGGCGGCAGGGGAGTAAGCGAGCCGTGGCCGATGAATCGCTGCTGCTGCCGCTGTGTTGATCATCTCTCTCTCTCTCTCACACGCGCTGAGGCTTCCGGACAGGGAATTCGACTCTCTGGCGGAGTTTGTTCATAAACTCGCGAGGCTGCAAAATGTAATAAAAATCAATAACAAAGCTCCCCAGCCAGCTTTTAGCACCTCACTCTCCCATAACTGGACTTTCCCGCCAAAAACACCAATGCGCTGTTTTAACAACTTTGTCCTGTTTTCTAACATCCAAATAACACTCATGCAATTGCCTCGATGTACGCGCAAGATGTTATTCTTATTGCCACATGTGTTGGCAGGATTTAGTCACGAAACGTGAAAATGTATCATAAATCATCACAACTGAGACACCTGCTGTCCGCAAGCCATCACTGCAGGAGACGGGTGGGCGGGGCTACATCACGGGGCGGGGCTACGCGACAGTGGGCGGGGCTACGGGTAGGGGCGGGGCTACCCGGCAGTGGGCGGGGCTACGCGACAGTGGGCGGGGCTACGGGTAGGGGGCGGGGCTACACGGCAGTGGGCGGGGCTACGGGTAGGGGGCGGGGCTACGCGGCAGTGGGCGGGGCTACGGGTAGGGGGCGGGGTTACCCGGCAGTGGGCGGGGCTACGGGTAGGGGGCGGGGCTACCCGGCAGTGGGCGGGGCTACGCGGCAGTGGGCGGGGCTACGGGTAGGGGGCGGGGCTACCCGGCAGTGGGCGGGGCTACGGTGTAGGGGGCCCTGCAGTGCCACTGCACGAATTCCACATTCCTATGGTGGCATATTCCCTCTATAAGGGAGGCAGTGGTCTCCATCGCAAGGCCCGCGGGCCACTGGTGGCTTTTCGTGCGTCCCCCGACAATACACAACATGTAAGAAGGGAGGTCCCATGAAATACACATGTTAACACGCATGTTAAAACCCAACATCGTCCTGCCAAACCCCCCCCCCCCCCCCACAATGGTTCACATGTGTGTGGCGGCCCTCGTACTGATGATGTCTTATTGGCGAAAGTTCCCCCCCCCCCCCCCACTCTGAAAACCAGTGCAGAGCACTGCTAGGAAGGAATGCAGGCCGAGTGGTGTTCCGACTGGCGCGTGAACTCGCAAACCGCCTTCAACTCGGGCCTCCGTGGGCCTCGTGTGACCCGAGAACCACAATCTGAGCCACGGACAAAAATACCGCTTGCGTATTGTGCATCGGAGACATGAAAACGTGGCATTTGGGACAAAGAGGGCGGCGGCCTTGATACCAATCCAGACCGCGCAGCGGGCAGCACGGGAGGAAAATCAATCGGCACGTTTTAAATTTAGAGCCAGGTGAGAGGCAGCGGAGATTCGATATCCCAACCCAGGGGAAGGTCACGCATCCGGCAAATAGAAATGACAACAGCTGGGCGGATAGAGGAGGGTTTACGGCGAGCCACGGGAAAGGTGATCGTGCGTGTTAAGTTTATTTTTATGGTATTTCCTGCAAGCACCTGGCTTTGAGTGGCACTGCGGTTATAGCGCGAGACGAACAGAATATTGCGAGTTCATGGGTTTGCGCGGGTACTGAATCAGCCCATCATATTTACAGGGTTGATAAAGTCGGCAGTTGTCTTCCCAACGGAGAGACTGCCTCTGCAGTTTGGGGAATGTGAAATTGAAATCAGTGCCTCGGGGGGATGCCAACAGAACATCGCATTGCTCGCTCGAGCGTAGACAATGGACGACTTATTCTTAGGTTTTTTCGGTAAAGTCACGTAGGTAAATAATTTAAATTAATAAAAGTAAAATAAAATAAAAATAAAATAAAAATCACGACGTTTCGGAGGCAACACAAGCTTCCGTCTTCAGGTGGAACCGTCACAGCACGATAGCTGTACAGCTATCGTGCTGTGACGGTCGTGATTTGTATTTTATTTTACTTTTATTAATTTTATTTTTTTACCTACGTGACTTTACCGAAAAAACCTAAGAATATGAATCCTTGCAGTCACGAAAGCTTCAAATCTAGAATGGACGACTTCCCCGACTCGGTCATCTAAACGCACGCTCGCTAAGAAGCGGAATCGCGCAGCACGGACACGGTGTACGGTGTTTTTTCTGCAATATTTTTGCTGTCTTTTCTTGGATTTTCTGTTTGCACTTAGTCACATATTCACTTTAAGATGTTTTTTGTTCATGTTTTTTGTTTGTTGCGGTTGCACCCGATTCAAGAGCTGAATGGCTCACAGGGCTATACCGGTGTTGGTGGCCGTGAGCGGGAATCAACTCGGGTCGCCAGGGTTCGAAGCGCAGCGCGCTAACCACTCCGCCACCACTCCCCAGTGGAGTCCAAAGACAGAGACCCCCCCCCCCCCCCCCGTGTAGGCTGAACACACACACATCCGGTAACCTCTGCGTATATATTCCGCGTCTCAAACCTTTCAAAGGCGAGTTCCCGTTACAAATACCCGAACGAGGCGTGGATTCTCAATGACCGAGAGAGATGCGAGGGTCGCTGCCCCGGCTATGTAACCTGCCCGGTATTTTCTCTCTCTCTCTCTCTACCAATCCCTCCCCCTTCGTTCGACAGTGGCCTCAGAGGCAATGTAAAGATAAGGCCCCTTTGTTACCCAGAAACGCCTCGCAGAATCTGAAGATCCTCTTCCCACGAGGGTCCTGCGAATTGAAGGCGCAGTCGTGGGCCGATGTTGCCGCCACCGCCACCAGCAGCTGCTGCTGCTGCTTTGCAATTCCTATTGAGTAGTTTTGTAATTTTTTTCAGCATCGGGGTGTTTGGCCAATACCAGCTGGACATCTGTGAAACTACGGGACATCTGTGAAACTACGGGACATTTGTGAAACTACGGGACATTTGTGAAACTACGGGACATTTGTGAAACTACGGGACATTTGTGAAACTACGGGACATTTGTGAAACTACGGGACATTTGTGAAACTACGGGACATTTGTGAAACTACGGGACATTTGTGAAACTACGGGACATTTGTGAAACTACGGGACATTTGTGAAACTACGGGACATTTGTGAAACTACGGGACATTTGTGAAACTACGGGACATTTGTGAAACTACGGGACATTTGTGAAACTACGGGACATCTGTGAAACTACGGGACTTTTGTGAAGAAGCGCTTTATAGCTCGTCGGATTCCTCCGGTATAAATACATATTCTGATTTCGCGTTACATTGTTTTGTTTTTAAGCTATGGGAGGAAAGCGGAGAATCCGGAGGAATTCCATGCAGGGCGATGGGGTGAAAATACACAAACTCCACACAGTCGGGACTCGAATCCAGGCGGCCCTTCGTATCTTGGATAGTGGAGCTCCTGCCGTGCGGGGGTTCCGTGGTTGTGCGCTCGCCAAGGTGGTCTCAGGTTGTTTGGTGCGATGCCCGACGTTTTGCTCCACGTGCCGGAAGCGTGTCTTCACGAAACCGATTTTTTTCCCTTCCCCAATAAGCTCCCAGCGCGGTGAACGAAACGTTGGACAGATTTGTTTAGCAACAACAAAAGCGCGGTGCGGTGCGTGGCACGGGTCACACGTGGGCGAGCGTCGACGGTTTGGTGGCAGCAGTCACGCGCTTGTGTGGGATTTACCCACAATTCCATGCAGCCTAAACACATGTTTCAGTAGATACGATATCTAGGCCGGTAAAGTCACGCGCTAACCGCTGCGCCACCGCTCCCCAGCGCGCGCACACAGACCCAGATATTACAGCCTGCACAATGTGCATCTTTAGTGTGAATGGCACGAAGCACGATGGACCAGAGCAATTCCATTTAATGCTTACGACTGTTATATTCTTTTTTATCAACAAGGGACCATTCAGGACTGGAGCACACATCTTGTGAATGGTCGTGCCCAGCAGAGTGGCCAACAGCAACGAAACCCTCACCAGCGTGGGTCAGCTCAAGTTCAAACAGGACGCGGATAAGGGGGGTGGAAGGGAGGGTGAGAGAGGGTTGGAAGGGTGAATCTGAAATCCACGATGTGGTTATATAACCTCGTACGCATGCATACATTCATATTAGTCTCATAACGACAGAATACAGATAGGTAAAAAAATAAAAGAAACGGAACAAAAAAGCTACAACGAGCGGTATCGTACACACGTCTACTCTTCATTGCTTAGGCGAGTGCAATTGAGATGAGCTACTGCTAATGTGAGAGAGAGAGCGAGAGAGCCCCAGGCAAGAAAATGAACAATCTCCTAACGTCTCGTCAACGGTCGTCCCTGCAGAGAATCAACGTAACTTACAAAAAAATATGTATTTTGTTCTACACGTCACGACGCGCGCGTGCATGTGTGTGTCCGCGTTTCCTCGCGTAGCACGGTAACAACTACAACAAGTTTGTAAAAACATTTTTTCAAGAGTTTACGAAAGAATCCACGAGCTCCAGTGTTCAGATTGTGGGAAGAGTGGCGGGGGAAGGGGGGTGGGTGGGAATTTGTTAAAAGTGGAATGGAATTGTAACGTTTTCTTGAGTGGGAAAAAACCCCTCCAAACCAGCACACATCATGGACACATTATTCAAATTAAGGGACTGTCACAGTGAGGGTGGCTGTGTAATACGAATTTCACGATGCATCACCCAAGGTCAGATGCGGAGTTTGAATCCCTCGATCAAACAAGATTGACCACGTGTGATTAATTATACCGTCACAATCACAATTCGAGTAACAGTTGGGGGTTATTTCGCTTATTGCGGCTGAGCCAAGCTCTACATGGTGGTGTGTGCCGCACTCGAAATGGCCAGGCCGCTCTGCTGCAGACACTTGTGTCTACAGCTTCACGATGGAAAACCCCGTCGCAGTTCCTATGATCACTGCTTCATTGCTTTCATGGCTTTATCTTGGTGATTTCGAAAAGTGTATTGGTTTAGCCATGTTTGTGTTGTTGTAGTACAGAGTTAGACTGATGATGGCCTTAATCTAAGTTGTCTTGTGGTTGTTGTTGTTTGACTTGCATCCCACTGGGATTTTTGCACACAGCGTTGGTGTGCGGTGTTTTTTCTGCAATATTTTGCTGTCTTTAATTGGATTTTGTGTTTGCACTCACATATTCACTTTAAGAGGTTTTTTTGTTCATGTTTTTGTTTTTTGTTTGTTGCGGTTGCACCCGATTCAAGAGCCGAATGGCTCACAGGGCTATACCTAATCAATGAACTTGAACTTACGTGGGTTCACCGACGGGGATTGTATACGTGTGTTTAAAATAAGGCCGAAAACAATTCACGACTTCAATAATAAAAAGTTGCTTTCGATATTTGTATAGTTATATAAGCAATATAGAGTTGATTATAGTTAAGCCAAGTTTCAGCTTTCTCGCCCTTCTGGAAGGTGAGAAGTTACAACGTCGTCATTGCTGGCCACCTCTTGGCTATTCGATGTCGACAAGGTTTTTTAGGGCGACATCAGAAACTGGTTTCGCACCCTCAGGACTGCGACTATAATATTACCAACAACATTCACAGACGCGTGGCCTCACGCAGGGTCGAGAGAGAAGCTTTGCCACAGCGAGCCTGGCGCTTGCAGGGCAGCGAGCGGGTTTGGTGAGCAAACCGCCGTTGCAGGCGAGATGCCGCCTTATTTCAAACTTACGTGTAATTTTTATATTTTTTGCAAAAATGACAATTTTTTTTAACTACCCTTATAGCATTGTTTACATTAAAACAACACTGATTCAGTGTGGCTTTAAAAGGAATAAACATGCAGCCCTGTAATTACTTGCTTACGCCAATGCTGGATGGAAGGGCTTTTACTGGAGGGAACTTTTAAGAGGGTATTTGGCCTACTCTTCCATGCTGGCCAGGTTTGTCGGAAAAGCGGTGGGGGGTTACCCGCACTTGACCCCATCACACGCGCCCTGCCCATCGACTCGCTGTGGTGCAGCCATCGGTATAATGTTGAGTGGACAAAGGTGACTCAGTTTAATTTGTGTATGGATACAGTCCTCGAGAGCCAATTACTCACGCCGTCTTTAAACACTGCTATTAATTATTGTCACTATCCCAGTCCTGCTTCCCTACCCCTGACTTGACTGCGTGTGATAAAGCAAAAACCTTCAGGGTAACCGTGGTCACGTGACTTGCAACTGTGGTCAGGTGACTTACACGGCAGGTTTCGGAGGTGAACCGCCACAGCAGAAACATCCCAAATAGGTTGGGCTGTGTCTTGAAATTTCTACTTTCTCTTCTCCACCCCCCCGTTGGATCTGTCACCGGCGGTCTTGTAAACTGGACATGTGGGAAAAGAACTTTAGAGCTCACCGGATTCCTCCAGTGTAAATAAAGATTCTGAAGTGTGAGCACAAGACACAACACGCAGCACAGCACACGTGTCTCTCCATCCCGTGCAAGGGTGCCGAGCTCGTGGAGAGCGGTGGCCGATATGCGTGGGGGGAAACGGATAAAGTTTGCGTCTGCCAAACCTGTTTCCGTTCCACCCAGAATCTCAATGTCCATACGGTCACGCCAAGTAATTTTCGCCATTCTATTACACATCAGATGATAGACGCACACAGTGAAACCACTCCACACCGCGGCTTCTCATTTATGAGCCTCTTAAACTGCCAATCTTGTTACCTGCATTGGCCAATGGATCTGTGTTTATTCCTTTCATCTGGAAACCGGGATATTGCGTACAGCAGGCCGGCTGCAAGCGGCAAATCCCTCAGCGTCGGCCGCGTCACTGCGGTTACATCTGCGGTGGCACGTGGTGACATTCTCATGCCAAACAATAATGGACATTGTTTAAAATGAAGAAAAATGTCAAGAGTGAGAATCTCCGCACAAGCGCAGAATGCAACCGAGAACCTTGCATGCACGGCACCTACGAGTCCGCCACACGAAATAACAAGCAGCTCGGCTTTGTGGAGAATGATGAACTGGAGGCTGTATACAAATCACCCCATGCAATAGTGTACATGCGTGCGTGTGTATGTGTGCGTGATGTGCGTGAGTGATGTGTAAATCCCAAAAATTGCCGGGGCTCCCCTCTGGCCTGAGATATGACAAACAGGAAGTTTTAAAGCCCTTTCGAAAAAACTTCGCGAACAAATGGCTACGCGCGAGTGTGTGTGGGGGGGGGAGGGGGGCGATCGCTCCCGCGGCGTTTGGTTGACGTCTCGCGCAGCGGTGGGATGGCCAGGGTCGGGGACGACGGGGAGAGGACGACCCACCGCGGCGGGGCCCATCGTGGACGTGGTGGCAGCTCGCGCGCCGCTCTCGTCGCGGATCGAACCCGCGTGATGTCACGTAAAAAGCTGAACTCTTTTTTTATTTTACCAGGCAAGGCCCCATCTCAGCTACGTAGCTCTTTTTAAGAAGCGACCTGGGCCATCACGAGTGACGGCTGAACGAAGTTGTGGCTTATCGTGTGGACATTTATAGCAGCAGACAAACACTGTAAACGCGTGGTGATGTTGATTCTAAACGTGGAGGGAAAAACCGGAGGACCCGGAGAAAAATCCACACGACCACGGGGAGAGAGCCACACAAACTACAAATATACAGCAGACGTCACACCAACTCCTGTATATACAGCAGGTGTCACATGACCTCCTGTATATACAGCAGGCAGCACACGACCTCCTGTATACCAGGCGAGGTAGTTAGCATCTTCACCACCGCAGCCATGAGAAACGGAAGTAGGCCATACGTGCCAATGCCACGGTTCAAATTTGGCAGATTTGGAAATGTATTCTTTAAGTTACTTTAAATCGGGTAATAGCACGTGGCAACATCACACACTACCAGCAGGCTCATGCCCATTTGCAGGCCGTTGCTGCGTACGCATTGCGCCACGTAGAGGCAGCTGCCACTGGGGAGGGGGGGGTCCCCTTTGGCTGGGCTGCAGCAGGACGCCGAAATGGTCGTGGCGCGATGCGACAGAAGGGCCCCCCCGACCCCAGCAATGCAAATTCTCGTCGTTATTCAAGGATGTCCACAAGTCATCCGCAAATAAGACGAGTTGTAGCACGCTGGGTTGTTGTTGCTTGACGAGTCTCATCTTCAGCAGCCCAACTGCCTTGAGTTCGGTCATATTTATACATAAATGAAGTTGATTTCAAACTTATTTATGCAGGATAAACCGTCTCGTTTATTGATTGAGTACAGCCGCTGTTACATTTTACGGGTCAAGGTTGCACTAATGACTCCAGGAAAGACGACGACAACAACAACAAAAAAGAGAAAACCAGACTTGCAAATATTGCAACGGGGTCTTTTCTTTGTATCACTCACTCTGGAGCCCGCGGTGCATTTTGTACACGATGCCCTGTTAAAAATGACAGGGCATCCTTGGGACTTGGGGAACTGTGGCTTCCACGCCAAACTGCTCACGGCGATGAAAGTTCACGCACGATGCTGCTAAGTGGAACATGTGCCGGTCTATCACGAGATGTCCGTATTTCATCAACCCAACTCTACACGACGGCTAACAAATGATATTTGTACGCCTGCAGCTTGCATCATTGACAATAACGTTTAACTTGTGCCGCTGCCACAAATGCCACTTAAAAAAGAAACCGCCTTGACAGTTTATTATATATATTTTTTTTAATGTAAAAAAAATTGACTTCAAAGCGCTTGAAATCTGGACACAAGGTGTGCTGGTTTTGAGGAAAAGCGAATTTCTCAGCATGATATATCCACAGGGCCACCATCAGAGCGACGTAAGTGGTCAGTCTCAGGCTGGAAAATATCCCTCAAAATGTCTCCCGACTTTCTAAAAATGCGATTTAGAAACGGCTGCACTTGAATTCAAAGGGGGAGAGGTCAAATTAACAAAGCACCTGGAAATGCATTTTCTGCCAGTGAACGTGGCAGCTTCAGCGACCAGGTGTGTCCCGAGAACCAAGTGACACCTACGATCCAATGAGAGAAGTCGGTACACTGTGACCTAACAAAAAAATTCGATGGCAAAATTTTTCGTTTGGCAAATTACAAAGATGACTAGTGCAAAATAATGATTTTTTTTGCCGTATGCAAATTTCACGTTTTACATGAAAAACAAAACAAGGTCACGATTATTAAACTCTAAAGAGATTAAAAAAAAGTACTGAGACTTTATATCATATAAAAGAAACAAAACATAAAAAAATGTGTTTTCGTTGCCAGTAGCGACTGAGTTTTTTAAGCTGTGGGAGTATCAAGGTCAAACACGGTTGCAGGAGACGGGGGGGGGGGGGGCTTTGGGCCACATCTGTGGACTGAACCGAGGGTGGGGCCCAATGCTCTCTTCACTCGAGCCGCCACGAGATGTCTACCCGTGACGTATTGTCGCTCTTCTCGGGTGGAATCGCAGTTATTTTCCGTACAAGTGGCAGATAATAACACCGCTGTGTGGGGGGAGGGGGGGCCATCTTACACCGTCTCACCGACTGAAATGTAGAAACGATTTAAGATGGACGCCTCAAGCATCAAATGCCAGTTGCCAGCTGTGGCCCCCGTGGGAACGTTTACTCGAAGGACGAACGGCTCCGCTTCCGATCAGCTGGTACGAAGGCTGCAATGCCGCCCCCCCCCTTCTCCTCCTCCTCCGTCACTGCCCTCAACGTGGCCCAAAGCCCCGGCCGGACTCCCGCAATAAACATCCAAGACACCAAGAGGCTCCGCGTTCACGGGAAGGCCTCGTCACGCCAGGCCGCACGCGGTCGCCACCCACCCAGCGAACTTTCCGTTACCACCAGCAGTCGTGGCTGCTGCTGCCGCTGCTGCCGCTGCCGTGCTTTTCCTGACAAATGATAATACACGTAATCCAAACCATAATTAAAAACCTACTCTATATAAAAGCTGTTTTATCAGTTGATGTGTACAACACAATCTCACCACGCATACGGGGGCGGGGGGGAATGGGAGGGCGATGGATGTCTTAAAAATGGAAATGAACGGGGGAGTGTGTCGTTACGAGTTAAATCGGCTATAATTTTCATCGAATTCAAACAATGGGGGGGGGGGGGGGGGGGGGAGATTGGAGTCGAGGTCTGTGAATGACCAGCCGAGTTACAGGAGTCAGTCGTGGACCTATGGCCCCTGGTGGCTCCTGCAGGTTTTTCTCGCTGTTCCGTTCACTTCAGGAGGCACTCGCATCGTGCGGGAATGCAGTGCAGAGGTTCACCAACACCAACCCCTCGTTGTTTGCGGCTTGACGGACAGCGATAACGACTGCTCGTCCATAACCCCACCAGGTCAGATTCCCGTTACGAACGTCCCACTTAAGACGGGGCGAGGCCTGTGGCTACCCGACGTTAAACGGGCACCAATATTCGTTTTTTTTGTAGCGCGTGATTCAAGATGTGGAATTCGATGCTAAACATCTGAAAGAACACGACGGGCCTTAATTTTCGAAAATGACGTCACACAACAGGGTTCACAACTTCTTCCCTTCCCCAACAGTGGCCAGCGCAAAACCCGGCCACGATCTCACCCCTCCCACATCGGCTACCCGGCCAGCCTGGTTGCAGGCCAAGCGCATCAGGTTAACGACGCGCAACGGGTGAGAGATGTGGAGTGCCCCTTCCACCAAATAACGACGCGTCCGAGGTTTGCGACGCGCAGAATCGTGCCTTGACCGTCCGGATGGCCGTCCACTATCCCGGAGGTCAGGGCGGTGGATCAGATTGGGATGGGAGCCAAGTTGAACGGGCATCTACACGCCATGGAGGGGCAGTTACAGCGAGCACGTATCCCACAGCATTTCATCCGTGCGGTTTGTTGTTTTCGCTCTCTCTCCCTCTTTGCACCGCAATTTCATTGGACATCAAAGAGTGTTCATAAAGATCGGTGAATTACTCCGACGTGCCTTGCACAATGAGTGAAGTGAATGCGGGAAGCCTGCGTGTTAAACCGACTGACAAGGGAGAAGAGTTGCGGCAAATGGTGCCACGGACATTTAACATTAATTAAGAAATGCCAGATTGTTGCCTGCAACTAATGTTGAATTCACCGATATTCAAAGCTAACAGTTTCAAAAGTGCACCGCTCTCCGTGTAATTTGGATGCTAAACACCGTGTGACGTGGCCCACTGTGCGTACGGACATCAGCGATTCTCTGACCGTATGTGCGGGTTTTGTTTTTCGTTCTGGACCAGTCGACTTTCCTCTCAGACACAAGAAAAACCAAAACGTAAAAACAACTTCAACTGAATAAAAAAAAGAAACCCTAAACTGACCAAAATCCCAATCGGTATTTCAACTCCTAAAAATTCAGCAAGTCTGTCTGTCCCCCTAGGTAAAATACAACAAATTACAGCAGTTAAACTGACAACACGAACGCTTAATGTGCAGTGTTGGCGCAACAAAGCCTTCGGGGAGGGGGGCATTTAAAAACCCGTCTTGGACGGTGCCTCCCTCTCTTCCTGCGGAGGTGTCCCACGTCGCCCCCCCCACCACAACCAACAACGATCAACGACAACACAACCTCCTCCTGCTCCCGACGGCATCGCCGCACCCCCCCGCGAGTCACATGCTGCCGATGCTAGTCTGAGTCTTGCCGTCCATCCACTCGTAGGAGGAGGCGGCCACCGCCTGCGTCGTGGCGGGGCTCAGGGCGTCGCCAGGATCCAGGCACAGCTCCTGGAAGATCGGGTCGTTGATGTCCACCATCGTCGTCTCGCCGTCGGGCGCGTCCGCGCAGTTTGCCTTGCACTGCTCGAAGAACAGGTTCGAGTCCAGGTCGCCGATGCCCCCGAGGCCCGTCACGAAGTCGGCTCCGGCTTTGGCCGCGCCGCCGTCGTCGCTTCCGTCGCCGTTCCCGCCGCCGTCGGTGACGCCGCCGCGCTCCGGGTCGCCGCCGCCGCCGCCGTACATCTCGGCGCACGCCGCGGCCGGCTCCGCTTGCCCGTCCGGCGCAGCCTGAAGGGACGACACGAAGTCGGCGAACGCCGGGGCCGCGACGTGGTCGTCGTCTTCGGTGGCGGCGAAGCCGGTGGGGGTGGGCGTCGGCGTCGGGGTAAGCGCGGCCACGTTCTGCTCGGTGACCCCGTGGCACTGTACGCCGCCTCCCATCTGATAAAATCCCTGCAGCTGCTGCTGCTGCTGTTGAAGCATATGATGCAGATGGTGATGCTGGTGGTGGTGGTGGTGGTGACCGTGCTCCTGAAACTTGAAGGCGACGGGGCTGGGGCTGTGGGGACTGGGGCCAGGACTCAGCACGGCAGGCTGCTGCTGCTGCTGGAGCTGCTGGTGCTGCAGCAGCGGCGGCGGCGTCTCGAGCATCTGCGTGAGATTGCGCCGCGCGCTGTAGTTGGACGGGAGGCTGTTGATGCCGATGCCGCGGCCCGCGTCTCCGCCGGCCCCCTCCAGCTTGCTGAGCAGCACGTTCTCGATCTTGCGCGACGTCGGCGTGTGCTTGCTGCACGTCGCGGAGAAGGGCGTCTGCATCATCACCGACAGAGGCACCGAGTGACTGCGCCCGGCCTGCCCGGGGCCCGCCGCCGCACCGGCCGGGCCGTCCCCGCCGCCCGCGCCGCCGGCCGCCCCGCGGTCCGCGAACGCCGCGTGCACCTCATGGTTGAAGAGGGCGGTGAGGGGCGCCCCCCCGCACGCCGCGCCGGGCCTGGGCCGGGTTCGCACGGGCCCCAGGCTGCCGCTCAGGTTCCTCTGCCGCTGTGCCGCGGGGCTGTGCTGGCAGCGGTAGAGCAGGGAGCAGTTGCCGCCGCCGGCCGAGCCCTTGCCGTCGAGCGGCGCGGGTACGGCGAACGACTCGTGCAGGTTGGCACTCGTGCCGCTCGCGCCACGCCCACCGCCGCCGTTCGTCAGCACCATTGTCGATGGCCGCAGCTGCCGGTGCAGTTGCTGCTGCTGCTGTTGTTGCTGTTGTTGGTGTTGTTGGTGCAACAGGGAGAAATGCGCTTCCGACATCGGCTCCTGGCCGCAGGGGTACTGTCGCTGCGCCGGCGCTCCCGACGACATCCCCGGGACGCCGAACGCGTGCGACTTGCTGAACTTGTTGTCCAGCGACTCCTGGTAGCTCGGCAGGATGTTGGCGCCGTCTCCGTCCGCCGCCAGCAGGCCCTGGGCCACGCCGCCGGCGCCGCCGCCGCCGCCGGCCTCCGGCTTGCTGAGCCACGGCAGGCTGGCGTGCGTGGCCGTGGGCCGCTGCATGGGCTTGGGGACGCCGCTCGACGCCGCGCCGGCACCGCCGCCGCCGCCGCCGCCGTTGGGGTAGACGCCGGCGCCGGAGTTGATGGGCGTGAACATGAAGGAGTGGCGGCCGTCCACGGGGCTGGGCGGCACGCTGCCCCCGCAGCTGCTCGAGTGGCCGCTGCCACACCCCCCGCCGCCGCAGCCGCCGCCCGTCGCGGCCGGCCCCTCCACGGGCGTCCCCACCAGCATGATGCGCGAACCGGGCCGCGAGCACGGCGTCCCGACGGCGCCGGCCCCCTGCAGCAGCGACACCAGCTCCTGGGTGGGCGTGAGCGACGGCGTGGGCGTGGGGGTCGGGGTCGGGCACGGCGTGGTGCTGGCGCCCGTGCCGTACGGCGTCGCCGCGCCGCCGAAGGCGAGCGACGCGGCGCTCGACAGCGCCATCTGCTCCTCCAGCTCGACCAGCTCCTCGACGATGCTGTCGCGCGTCTTGTCGTCGTCGTCGTCGCCGTGCGGGTAAGGCCAGCCGCCCCCCCCGTACGCTCCTCCCGCCGCGCCGGCCTGCGTCTCGAACAGCTTGCTCGACGCGCTGCGCGACGCAACGGCCGCCAGCAGCGCCGCCGCCGCCGCGGCCGCCGCCGTTTGGTCGTGCGGCTCGGCGAGCCGGAGGTTCTCGTCCCGGACCGGGCTGCGGGGCTGCGCCGAAGGGGCCGGCGCAGGCTCCGGCGACAGCACCTTCTGCACCTTGGGCTGCGACGGTGGCGGCGACGGCGCCTCCGCGGACTCTCGCTTCAGGTTCCCCGCGCCGGCCGCCTCGCTGCGAGACGCGTCGTCCTGCTGCGCGAGCGACACGGAGACCACGAACGGCACGGACGCTCTGCCACTGCCGCCGCCGCCAGTGCCGCCACCCGGCGCTACGCTGGGCGAGGGGCAGGTGGTGGCTGCAGAAGCAGCAGCAGCAGCAGCAGCAGGTGCGCTGGCGTTGTTGGCCACGGGGATGTCTGCACCATCCTGTGCCATGCTGCCGCCGCTGCCGCCGTCCGCGGGCGCGGCCCACGCACGCATGGCTCGCTTGACCGGCGACGCCTGCTGCTGCAAGTTCATCGGCTCCGTCAGGCGCTTGCGCGGACTCTTTGGCGCGCTCCTCCGGGCCGTCGCCTTCACCGTGGGCGACCTGCGCACGGCTCCGCCGCACTGCTTCTTAGCGCCGGTCGACGGGAGCCGGCACGCCAGGGGCCCGTTGGGCTGTCCCACAGCCCCCCGCCGCTCCTCCTCGACGGGGGAGGCGGCGGCGGCGGCGGCGACGCCGGCCGACGCCTTGTCCCTCTCCGCCCAGGCGGGCAGCGCACGCGACGCCGGCCGCGGCACGAGCGTGCGCTTCTGCTCGGCGCCGCCGGGCGAGGGGCCGTCGCGATTCGCCTCCGCCGACCTCGGCGCGCCGGGCGTGGGGGCACGCGAGCACGGAGCCGAGCTGGAGCCGGAGGCGCCCTCGGCCACCGCGGCCGCCGTTGCCCTGCCGCCAACGCCGGCCGAGCACTCCACGATGCGGAGCGTGTTGCCGGTGTGCGCCTTGCCCTGCGCCGCCGCCGCCGCCGTCACGATCATGTTGACGATGCCGATCTGCTGCTGCTGCTGTTGCACCGTGCCGCCGTGGTTCGGCTTGGGCGACTGCGCCGAAGCGGCGACGGAGGCGGCGACGCACGGGGACGAGGAGGAGGACGAGGAGCACGACGACAGAGACGACGTCGAAGACGACGACGACGACGAGAAGGCCGCGGAGGACACCGCTGGCGGCTTGACGGGGCTGCTGCGGGTCAGGATGACGGCCGTCGTGGACGTGCTGATCTGGATGGAGCCGCCCGACGAGCCCGCCGGCGCCAGCGGCTTGGGAAGGATCTGCGGGTATCGCGGTTTGCCCACGCGGTCTCCGATCGGGCTGCTCGACAGGATGGACGGCGTCACACTGCCGTTGCTGCCGGCGCCGTTGGTGCCGCCGTTGTTTTGCTGCTGCTGCTGTTGCTGCTGCTGCTGGACGAGCTGCATGTGCTGTGCGACCACCTGCACGTTCTGGGGAAGGCGCTTCGCTTCGGGAGTGAGGACCGGGCTCTGCGGAGGCACGAGAGACTTGGTGGACTTGACCTGCAGCAGGCACATCGGGGGCAGGGTAGGGGGTGCGGGATGGTTGTGGGGTTTAGGGCAGGGAGGTTGGGGAAAAGGAGTGGAGAGATCAGAGTGAGCTTCGGGATGGGTTCAAGGACTTCGTTGAGTTATACATTTGTGATGACCAGGTCACTTCTGAAAAGAGCTGTATAGCTCAGTGGACCTTAGCTGGTAATATAAAAATATTCGGAGTTGTAGTAGTTTGAAACGCCATGTGACTGGGAGGGGGGGCTCACTACGCTTGAGTTCAGCGTCAGTGGTGGTCACCAAGGAATACAGAACCCTTGGGTTTCCACTAAACATGGCGTTTTTGCATCAATATGCATAGGCACATGAAAATTCACCTTGTGACCGCGTGCTTAACAGATGCGTGGGGATAACACAGTACAGACAGTCCCCGAGTTACGATGGTCCGACTTACAATATTTCCATCTTACGATGGCGATAGTGATACGACAAAATGCATGTTAAAAGTTTTTATAGCAGATAGGATTGTTTCCTGAAAAAAACTTTCTATTAAAATGCAGTTCATATCGGTAGGCTAAGAATTTACTTGTTTTTTTACTTTACAATTTACTGTGCAATACAGTATTGTAATTAATAAATACATACAGTATATAGTTTAAACAGTATGGTACTGTAAATTGCTCTGTTTTGCTAAATTATCACCATTCTTTAAGACTCCTGGGTAGGCTAGGCCGTCTTCGACTTACGTTATGTTTGACTTACGATGGGCTCGTCGTAATGCATCTCCATCGTAAGTAAAGGATCAACGCACCAACAACGAACGGGCCTGACATTTGAACGTTCACCAGCTGCATTGTTTTCATTGGCCTGAACGCACGTGGCCTATTTTAGTACCCTTTGGATCATCCTCACGTTCCATCGCCTTGCGGCACCAATAGCAGAGAGCCCATATACGCGGCTGCAGGAGAGAGTAATATACCACGAGGGAGATGGGAGCACACCGTAGCCTAACCCTCCGTCTGAACCAAACTAGCCGACCAGATCCTAACACTTTAGCCCCGACACCTTTACAAACCACGTCGCCAACACCACAAACCCACAGCGTTGGGGTGCTGTGGGTTTGGCGCCCACCAGCACCGACCCAGCCACGCTGGCACCCTGCCCTCGTGACCCCCACCCTCGCCGTGAAGGGCGGCGGGTGCGACGCGCTCCCCCGAGCGTCACCTGGAAGTTGCTGGGGATGGCGGTGAGCACGAAGTTGATGGACGGCGACAGCATCATCGGGCTGGCGCAGGTGGCGTTGTTGACGACTCCGCAGGTGGCGCGCACGCCCACGTCGCCCGGCGGGGGCCGCCCCTTCGCCGCCAGCGAGGCCTCTGTGGTGCCGCCCGAGTGCCCGGCCGGCACCGCCGCCGGCGCGGGCTGGGCCACCGCGGCGGTCACCTGCGGGGTCCTCGTCCTGGGCTGTGCCCCCACGCCGCTGCCGCCGCCGCCACCACTACCACCGCCCACCTTCTGTTGACACGCAGTGGCAGTGCTTATGCTCCACAATGTTTATCACAGGAACTGGATAACGTGTCAATCTCGAGCGAGTTCCGCGAGATGTTCAAATCGCCCATTCCTCTTAAGCTCTCCGAGGTGAAGGAACCATTTCCTGGGGTGATCGGCCTTTTTCCAGTGCAGCTTCTAGGCTTTGCATCGCTCTCTGCCTATTGCTAGTAAGACAATCAGAATCGGTAGATATACAAGTCTGTCTTGAACATTCACCTCTTTAAAATGGCCTTCACCCCCTAGTTGTAGCCATTTACCCTGTGGGTTTCTGTTCATTTCCTGCTTTCCATACACAAGGCGCATTGGGACCTAAGGATGAAATGCACCTTAAAAATTCATATTTTGTATTTTTGTATTATGTATATCACTCGGCACTATGGTTGTTAATTTCAGTATTTGTTATCGTCATGCAAAAGAAAAAAAAAAGAGGTTAAGTCCAGCCTGTGTGTGTAGCGGTTAACTCACTGCGCTATGAACCTTGTTTCCTGCTCACCGACGACTATTATCTGAACCAGTCCTTGACTTCCCCTAGGTCGACTCAGCCTCAAATGAGAACCTTGTACCACGTGTAAAGATCGCCACTGGGGAGACAAAAGGCAGCCGAGCGAGGTGCTAGCCACCCACCCCCACGTGTGGTACAGTGTCAGCCATCATTAGGTGCTCGCTAAGAGCACTTGCCCCAACAGTCTGTTAAGGCTATACGGGGGACATTTGTCTTTGTTTATGCCTGCTGTTTGAACATATCACGCGGTGCCGCTGGTGACTTACGACTGCTGCCGATTGGCATGCGCGGGGACGTGCGGGTTGAACGCTCGCGTGTGCCAAAATCGGTTCAATCATTGCTGCAATTAAACTGAATCCAACCACCGATTCCATGACTTCTGTAATGAATAGATTCCGAAAACAATTACTGAACACACTCCTTCTTTTGTACCGTACGTAGCCAGCCGTGCTAATCGGAGGTGCGGGGTAAGTGCCACAAGGCGACTTACCAGCGATGCATTGGTCAGCTGCTGCTGCTTAGGCTCTTGCTGCCGCTTGAGAGAGTTCTGCTGAATCTTGCGCTGCAACTGCTGCTTGGCATCGCTCCCGATGGCGGCACTGCCGCCACCACCACCACCACCTCCTCCTGCCGTGACGGGCGGCCCAGCGCCGGGCACGGCGCCCAGCTGGATCGTGGAGCCATCGGACGGCTTGAAGAACGCCGACGGCTGGCACAGGGAGGAGTGCTTGAGGCCTGCTTGGCAGGGCCCACGGAAACACAAAATGCGGAGAAAGAAGAGAGAACTTATTCCAGCAACTGTTCAACTCAAGCGGACGTGCGGGGAAGGACAACAAACTAGAACTGCTTGTTGTGCCTAGTTTGCTGCCCTGCCCCCGCACCTCCGATTAGCACGGTTGGCTACGTAGGGTGCGAAAGAAATTCAACACACATACATACAATCAGTATATCACGAACGCGAAAGTGAATACAGGAAAACCTTGGTGACGTTCCTGGCAAATGGCGTTTTGGGCGAAAACCGCATTCATCACTCCCTCTTTGTTGAACTAATTGTACAAGATTTCCACCCTTCTTATTGCAGCCAAGGATGCTGAATCGCTCTCGATTTCTCGTGCATGATGCACTCTTTCAAATTTCACCTCAGCACAACACACACCCCCATCTCCATTACTCTCCCGGACCAGGGCACTCACGCCCGACGCTCACCCCCGACACCGTCACTTGAACGTTAACGATTCGGTAACTCCGCGCGAAATTTCAAAACATTGTGATTGCAAGCGCTCGCGTGTAAAGAGTGCGGAAGGCGGAGCGGAGAGAGAGGGAGGGCGGCGAAAGTCGCGTGGACAATTCTCACGCTCCACACCACTCAAGCGAATTTCAAACGGCACTGCAATGAATGTGTCGCGAATACGCAAAAAAACGCGATGATAAAACCGGCGAATGTTAAGGGTTTGCTGTGCTCACCGAGCATGTGGAAAGCTTTTGACCTTCAATGTACGTGATAGCCACCAACTTGGAAACCCGAGCATGTAGCTGGTTTTTCTGGCAGCTCTAAAGCAATGAACCATACACCAGTTCATCCACTGTTGCAATCTGCACAGTGGTTTTATTTGGATAGCAGCCTAACCTTTTTGAGATTATGGTTTTGACATTTTGTCTTGGCCCACACATGTCCGATCATTCTCCAGCTGATGGGGAGTTACCGTGGGCCCAAAAGGATGCGCGCTCGCTCATAAATCATTCACTGCTGCATTCATCGCAAGGGCGGACAGCCTAAGCAGCATCATCATGCGCGTCAACGGCAATTCAAATCCCATCATCGCCCAGTAACGCTGCTCCATTTGCATGGATATGGACTCCAAGTTATAGATCATTTTGTGCCGCACGAATGCGTTTCAAATACTTGGTGGCTCAGGAGGGGGTCCATATTGGCCTTGGCAATGCACACAGCCATGTGCCTGGGTTTAAACCCGGGCAGACGAAAGATTAAACAAGCTCGTTAGACGGAGTGAGTCGATGGGCTCGGCCCTCTCGTCAATAACTACGCGACAACAGCCACTGCGAGTATATAATCTGGGATTGTCACTTCATTAGTTCGAGCACAGCCGCGATGGTCAATATTGGATAATGAGCAAGTGGAAAAACCTTAGGAGGACGAGGAAGGGTGGGGCGGGGATCACTGAGAGCCGTCTCCCTGCTCGGCAAAAGATCCCCTGGGCAAGGGAACGGTGCTCAGTCACGAGGTGGCACCCCGGCACTGTCACCACAAAATGTTTGGTCAAAGAAAAATCTGAATTTGGTATCAAGTCGGGGAGATTTATTTTGATTAAAAAAAAAATATCACTGGAAACTGCCATTCCACACGCATGTGAGGTTAAGCTCCAAAGGTTGTTCTGCGGAGAACAAACTTTGATAGACCCTTCGACACGACGATGATTGTACAACACAAAGCCATCGTGTTAAATTCGCTTTTTTTTTCTTTAGTTCTTTCACTTTTCACTTATCGTGGCGAACTACAGATTCGAAAAATCATGACACTAAATCACAAATATCGTGCAGGAATATATATCGTCGCAACGTGACAGGACCCAGGAGGTTGAAACCGCTGGAGAGTTTTCGTGCTTAAACAAGCGCCACTGTACGTGATAATACTGTTCGCGGAAAGCCATGATCCGATTAACTCAATAATATTTGTATTAATAATATTTGGAGAAGCAGAACGGAGCTCTGCCTATATTTACTTTTACCCACAATGCTCCACGGCAACCCTCGACGATGAATCGGTGCGGTCAGTTGGATATGTTTGGTTGCAACAAAAAAAAAAAATCGCCAACGCACGATGAAGCGTGGACACAAAAATAAAACCCCATCTCAGCTTGTACGCACGTACTCAAGTATGCACGTATTCAAACTGGACTTATTTGACACCGTACACAGCCAACTTTGCGAATTGGAGGTGCAGTGTTGAGTCTATGGGCAGTGCTGAGTCTATGGGCAGTGTTGAGTCTATGGGCAGTGTTGAGTCTATGGGCAGTGTTGAGTCTATGGGCAGTGTTGAGTCTATGGGCAGTGTTGAGTCTATGGGCAGTGTTGAGTCTATGGTGCAGTGTTGAGTCTATGGTGCAGTGTTGAGTCTATGGGCAGTGTTAGTCTGTGGGCAGTGTTGAGTCTGTGGGCAGTGTTGAGTCTATGGGCGGTGTTGAGTCTATGGGCGGTGTTGAGTCTATGGTGCAGTGTTGAGTCTATGGGCGGTGTTGAGTCTATGGGCAGTGTTGAGTCTATGGGCAGTGTTGAGTCTATGGGCAGTGTTGAATCTATGGGCAGTGTTGAGTCTATGGTGCAGTGTTGAGTCTATGGGCAGTGTTGAGTCTATGGGCAGTGTTGAGTCTATGGGCAGTGTTGAGTCTATGGGCAGTGTTGAGTCTATGGGCAGTGTTGAGTCTATGGTGCAGTGTTGAGTCTATGGGCAGTGTTGAGTCTATGGGCAGTGTTAGTCTGTGGGCAGTATGTACGCCCATTGAACTTCTTTCGCACCGTACGTGGCCATGTTAATCAGAGGTGCAGGAGAGCTTCATTGTTAAAACCGGACTTTGTAATCCGGCGAGCGAAATTTATTAAAGAGCCCTCATCATGTTGCTCGAGCCGTCAGAGCTGCCTTTCTTACGAGTTTAAAAGCAGCCAAGTTAGTAACGTGTTAAGTAAATCAACAAATGGCAGACAAAGACAAAGATCCCCCGTGTAGCCTTCGCTGACTGTTGGGGCAAGTGCTTTTGGCGAACACATATGAAGGCCGGCACGGCACACGAGAGGGTGGGTGGTCAACACCATTCTTAATTGTGGAGCTTTCGTGACTGCAGGAATTACTGTTTGGTTCTTTCGGTAACACCATGCCCGGCCACCTTTGTCTTCCTGGCAGCGATGCTCACGCACTGCAGCAGGTACTCATTTGAGGCCGAGTCGACCTAGGGGAGGCCCTGGACCGGTTCAGATAATCGTCGCTAGCGGTGACCGTGAGCGGGAGTCGAACTCACATGATCGGGTTCGTAGCTCAGCGTGTTCACCGCGACACCACCGCTCCCCTCCCATGGCACTCACTCTGCGTGGTCACTCTAAAATCATTAGGAACACATGTAACCTTTAACCTTTGGCCTCAGTGGGCCAAGGGGTGGGGCAGGCCGGTAACTAACCCGAGGCGGTTGCTGTATTCGCTATTGTTAACGAGCAGCTGGCGTTCGTGCGGCTTGTGTAAAGTTTGTCTGGGACAGGCAAAACACAATCGAATTTCAAGTGTATGGTACACGCACACACGCGTTGATAACAATTATTTGCGTGATATCCACTAAGCCCCCCTCTTATCACTCGATGAGTACCACCGAAGTCAACAGTTGTCTGCAGAACTTACTTGCCTCTGCTTTAGAAATGTGGAATGTCCTTTTTATCCACCACTGGCTCTGGGCTAGAAACAGGAGATGGTTACTTACCCATGCTCAATTTGGTAGAAAAATACCTCATGGGTGTTCATACTGAAGGCTCCCTTTGAGTTGACAGTGAAATAGTTTGCCGTTGCGGCGTTGATAGGTGTTGGATCATCGAACGTTCCTGTTTTAGGAGTCTATTGCTAGCGGGGAAATTCAGCGGGGATCGGCCAACACGGAGCCAAGAATAGCGCCCTAACAAGGTGAGGGTGGCGGCACAGACGCAGACGTCTTCATCGGAAAAAAAAAACATTTACAATTACAGGATGTTCAGTACACCATTTTAAAATTTTCTCTGACAGCTAATTTGAACACTGTCCGTTTAAATATTCTATTGTTCGAATGTATCACTGAAATAAAAATACTTAACAATACGAGTGACTGAATTTGACATTCGCTGCCAGTTCAAAGGTCACCAAATATTCCCGCTGGTATAGAAACCACAGAGGGATTATTTATTTAGTTTTTGGCGGTCAGCAACGATCTTCTGAATCAGCTTCTTGGTATCAATGTCCACACTCCATGGGAGGCGGATTACTTTGTCCACGGCGACTTGGATCAAGAACCCTTTTTATTTGTATGATAAGAAAAAATTTAACCAATATCTCTTCTAGAATAAATATATTTAGAGCACGGATAGGCGCAGTGTGTATACAAAGAGGCAGAGTCGTGTCAATCGGTTTTTTTCTCATAAGGCGAGAGAGAAATGGACACCGGAGATTAACTTTTCGAGATTTTTGTTAAATTGCTAAATGAGCAAGAACATCTTCAAATTGTGTTTTTGGCACAACCTCATTCTCAATGGAGAGCAGTACCAGGGAAGACAAGGCGGCATTGTGGTCCTGTGGTTTATCGGAGACAGCTTTTTTTAAAATCGGCTTTAGCAGCAGTAACATGGGGCAGCAGTAACCATCTGTAGAAAGTTATCACCGAAGGCCTACGAAACAGAAGTGCCCAGGGCCTACAAGAACCTTAATCCGGCCCTGGCCGCCGCCATTAATGTAAACAACTCGGAGCGGGTTTCCTGCTCCAACGAGCATGGGGGAGTGGGTGCTCATTTCCTGTTTACAGCACCGAGTTTGCGATTGAAATTCCACATTCCTATGGTGAACGGGAGGCAACGGTCCTCTTGAGAATTGCAGCCGATTGATTGTCAAAGCATTTGAGTCAAAGCGATGGCCTCCGATTAGCGCGGTTTGGCTACGTACGGTGCGAAAGAAGTTCAGCGTATGTACGTGCGTACGAGCGAACTCGCCGATTAAAAACGATTCTTTTACGCTCGCGACACCTGGGTTGGATCGTGGGCGTAACAATCGATTGTCGAGACCACTTATTTTACTTGAATAATTTTGCACGCAAATGACGTACCTTGCGCCGGCCTTCCGGCAAACTCAACACACCAAGACGGAATGTACGGGCGAGACAATACCCGTGCGACAACAAAAAGATCAGAACCGATCATTGACTTGTGTCAAAATCATCGAACGCCGGAAGGAAGGAGAGGGGGCGAGTCGTTGCATGCCTATTCGCGATATGAAGGTGCGGGCGGTGTTGCTAAGGTGTAAGTAAGGGGGGGCGGAGGTGGCGGTAGGGGGGGGGGGCTGGAGGTTGAAAGCGGAAGGGGGGGTGCCTGACCGGCTGCGGAGGGCGACATGACGACGAGGGCGTAGGACGTTTTGCGCGGCACGCAGCTGTTGTTGACGAGGTACTGTGCGAGGTCGAGCAGCGTGTCGAACTGCCGGCTCAGCACCTTCTGGGCCCACTCGCACACCAGGCTGCAGGCCGCCCCCACTATCTGCTGCTCCAGGCACTCGGCCTGCCCGCCGGCGCCGCCGGCGCCACCGTCGCTGCACTCGTTCTGATGGGAGACGGGTGGGCGAAATCAGAGGACCCGGAGAACAATCCAGACGACCACCGCGGGGGAGAGAGAGAGAGAGAACACGCGAACTCCAAATATACTGTACAGACCTCGTCAGGGTCCGGGGTCGAACCCACGTGCTCATGTGTACCTGGCGAGAGAGATAGCATCTCCCTCTCCACCCACTGCGATAAGGCTGTGGAGCGGCACGCAAGGCCGTGGTGTGGCCAGCAACAAGCCGACTGCCTGCGTCCCCTAATTGCCGATGTTGTCACAACCAACCCGGTACTCATTTGAGGCCGATTTGACATAATGGTATATACTGTACGCTGAACTTCTTTCGCACCGTACGTAGCCAACCGTGCTAATCGCATAACGGGAACCAAGTACATGGCAGGTGGGGGGTGGAGCACTCACCGGGTCTCCCTTCTTGCCAACCTCGAGGCTCGGCAGGGACGGCGTCTGCACGAGAGCCTTCTTCCTGAGCCCGCTGTAGCAGTACGTGGCACGCGATTAAGGTCAACGCACGGCGAGAGGGGGTCCCCGCACACGGCCGCCTGCGACGTTGGGTCTGCGAGCGCTTCGTGCCGCCGAACGACGCTCACCAATGTCGAGACAACAAACTCCGGTGTACAGCGGCGACGAGCGGCACCACCGGGTCTCACAACATCCTCTTTGGCGACACATCACTTAAGTGCGCGATAGATGTATTTGCAGCTGTGGCGTTAAGCTCGATTCTCGTGAGATCTTACAAGGAGTGTATCGGAGTGAAAACAAGCAGGTGAGTGAGAGAGTGAATGAGCTAGAAAGCGAGCGAGTGAGCCAGTGAGAATGAGCGAGCGAACCGGCGAACGAGTGAGCGAGTGAATGAGCCAGTGAATGAGTGAGCGAGCGAACCGGTGAGAGAGTGAGCAAACAGGCAAAGGAGTGAGCGAGTGAGCGAGTAAATGAGCCAGTTAGCGAGTGAGCAGAGCGAGCCAATGAGCGGGCGAGCGAGTGAACCGGCGAACGGAGTGAGCGGGCGAGCGAGCGAACCGGCGAACGAGTGAGCGGGCGAGCGAGCGAACCGGCGAACGAGTGAGCAAGTGAATGAGCCAGTGAATGAGTGAGCGAGCGAACCGGTGAGAGAGTGAGCAAACCGGCAAAGGAGTGAGCGAGTGAGCGAGTAAATGAGCCAGTTAGCGAGTGAGCAGAGCGAGCCAATGAGCGGGCGAGCGAGTGAACCGGCGAGGGAGTGAGCGGGCGAGCGAGCGAACCGGCGGACGAGTGAGCGAGTGAATGAGCCAGTGAATGAGTGAGCGAGCGAACCGGTGAGAGAGTGAGCAAACCGGCAAAGGAGTGAGCGAGTGAGCGAGTAAATGAGCCAGTTAGCGAGTGAGCAGAGCGAGCTAGTGAGCGGGCGAGCGAGTGAACCGGCGAGGGAGTGAGCGGGCGAGCGGGCGAGCGAGTGAACCGGCGAGTGAGTGAGCCAGTGTTGGCAAGGATATTTCGAGTTGCCGCGTGTGCCGAGGCGGCGAGCCTTCATATTCGGGAAGACGTTCTTCATGAGCTTCCCGAAATCGGCCGCACTCAGGAACCGGTGGCCGAGGTTTTCGCAGTATCCCCTGTCAGGGAGAGAGCGGACGACGTGCATCAGCATTCAAATATCTCACGGTTAGTTTGAAATAGCGTCGTCGTCGTCCGTGCAAATTGCGTCGCACAATTGGTGAGAAGCCACGGATGGGTTGGAAGTCCGCAAGCGCTGCCAACGATTGCCCTGCAGATCTCTACACAGAAAAGCAGTTTTCAGCCAATTAGTGTTCCCTATACACGTGGGAGGAAACTGGAGAAAACCCAGGAAAAAAACCACGCACGCGAGGGGGACAATGCCTTAGCCTGTACAGAAGTGACAGATGATGTCGGTCTACACTTTGCCGTACGGCATTCTGCTGGCAAGCCAAGGGTATGACACCCACCTCGATGCCCACGGGAAGGGCGTTCGGGTATTGTGTGAGAAACACATGATCCAGCCACCAAGTACCGTGGTTAAAATGTGCGACTGATTTTTGCTGTTGTTATTTTCTTCGCTGTACTTCGTTTCATTCCTTTATTTTTGCCATTATGCAGGCGCAGGTCAATCTGGCAAACTAAGAATATACTGGTCTCTTTTTAAGAGTTCTCACCTTGAAGGGCGTTGGGGTATTGTGTGAGAAACACATGATCCAGCCACCAAGTACCGTGGTTAAAATGTGCGACTGATTTTTGCTGTTGTTATTTTCTTCGCTGTACTTCATTTCATTCCTTTTTTTTTGCCATTTTGCAGGCGCAGGTCAATCTGGCAAACTAAGAATATCCCGGTCTCTTTTTAAGAGTTCTCACCTTGTTAAAATACAATAAATGAACGGGGAGTATGCGAGTTGCAATTCCGTAGGCGGGCGAGTCTCTTGCTAACACGAGTGGCCGTTTGCAGGAGACGACAACAAAGTTGAGTTACGTAAAGTTTCTTGGCTGTCTGGAGGCTCTATGCGAGTAAAATATATTATTATTTATTTGTAATTGTTGCTAAAATTATCTGCAGCTCGCTATGAGATGCAGAGAAGACAGGGAGGCTTCATGGGTAGTGGGTGGTGGGGGTGAAAAGTCACGTGGCAACACGTTCTGTGACCCCAACGGGAACTGATAATCTTTAAGGTTAAACTATAAACTAAACTACTTTTCATTATAAACCAGGTAAGGCCCACTGAGCTATGTAGCTCTTTTTCAGAAACGACCTGGCCACAAACGATAGTTCGACGAAGTGGCTTTCATCGTGTAAAAATTATTACTATGAACGCGTGACGTTGATTCTTACGGTGGAGGGAAAAACCGGAGGACCCGGAGAAGAGGTCAGGATCAGGAATCCACAAACTCCTGCATACGAGGCGAGGTAGTTAACATTTCGCTACCGTGGCACCGCCCCCCCCCCCCAAGGTTAACCAAGCGACCAGTGGGCGGCGGCATGGACACAGAGAAAATGAGGAGCCCTTGGCAGTAAAATGAACACCGGTCGTTTTTACTGTGTTGTAGAGAGACTGGCCCCACCATGCAAATGTGGGATTTCACCAACTGGGGATTTCACCAACTGGCTTGAGGGGTGAGCCGAGGGATCCAGTTGCATGCAACGGGATCGCTTACATGTGGATGTCTCTGCAACAGGTTGCGAGCAGGTGTGCAACCGGTTGCTTGCATTGGAGAGAGAGAGAGAGAGAGAGCGAGCCTCGACCTTCAAGCATCGATCTGCTCAGCGATTTGTTTCATCGCGTGCCACACGGGATCGGTCGTTTTGCAATCCCCGAATGCGCCGAGCGACTTCCTCTCTGCGCAACTGCTGGCTCGGATGTTGGTGTTAAAGCGGCCGCAGGCGAAAATTAGCGATTCTTTCGAGAGCGGCTTGTTTTTTGTGCGACCGATCGCTTCCAAGGTGTGGGGGGGCCCCCGGGGCTTTAAGAACCATCGATCGGCTGCCCTGGGGCAGTGGATGTGGGGGGGGGGGGGGAAGCAGCAGCCTACTTGTACTCGTCGTAAACCTCCTGCTTGGGCAGGGACGTGTCGTTGTGCTCCTCCAGGTGCTGGCGAATCCATGAGAATGCCTGCATCTGGTCCGCGCGGCTGGCAGTCATCTTGCTGTGTTCGCTGCAACAAAGACAAAGGTCCCCCCCGTATAGCCTTCACAGTCTGTTGGGGCACAGTGCTGTTAGCGAGCATCTATGGAGGCCGGCACAACACACGACGGGAGGGGGTGGGTGACAAGCACCATACCCGGACGTCTTTGTCTCCCCAGTGGCGATGTTTACACACTGTACCAGGTACTCATTTGAGGCCGAGTCAACCTAGGGGAGGCCCAGGACCAGCTAAGATACTCGTCACTGGTGTTGGGCGTGAGCGGGAATCGGACTCGGCAGGAATAATTTTATTCATAATTATTTTGAGCAACTTGCTTACCATTTCTCTATTGTGCACTCACATCGTGTTTTTGTATCATTTGTTGTTGTTGTAACTTGCTAACCCACCCCTACTGTACAGCTTCGAATCTCATCAGATCCCTCCAGGATAAATAAAGATTCCGATCCTCAACTCGGGGCCGCCGAGTTCATTGCGCAGTGCGCCAACAACTACGCTACCAATCACCCCCCCCCCCCCCCCGCCAAATACGAACAAGCGCGCGTGTAACCTTCGCCGCCCGCAGAGACACGTGTTGAAACAACACCACGCGCACGCACGCACAGACATGCTGGGCCAGAGAGCGCGAGGTGGGTGACAAGCGGGCAAAGGGGCAGTGACGAGGACTGGCGCGGTCCGACGCGGGCGGCTGCGATCGGTCACGCGCAGACACACGGACAGAATCCCACAGGCGGAGTTAGACACCACGGGCAGACAGCCGGGCAGACAGACACCACGGGCAGACAGCCGGGCAGATAGACACTCGGAGAGAGCAGCCCCGGGGGGTCACGCACATCCTGCTGCGCGCGGATTACCGCGTGCATGCACGTGCGCACTCGCTCACGACGTGCCCCGGCTGGCAGCTAACAACATCTCCACACACACGCACACACGCACGCGCACACACGGCTGTTTACAGGGCTACTGGGGAGCGGTTCGTAGCGCAGCGCGCTAACCGCTGCCGCATTACGAACCTGGTGACCCGAGTTCGATTTCCGTGGCAGCCAACACCAGTGACGATTATCTGAACAGGTCCTGGGCTTCCTCTAGGTCGACTCAGTCTCAAATGAATTACCTGGTGTGGTGTGTGAACATTGCCACTCGTGTGCCGTGCCGGCCTTCATTAGCTGCATACACCGCTACCCTATCACTTTCCCGCCGATACTTTCCTACTCAGCGCGGCCACAAAGCGCACCTGGCCCTTGAACAGGTGCACCCGTGAGGCCCACCACCAATTTGTGACGAATGTTGGCCGCCGTCACGTTTGACGTGGACTTGAGAGAGCGGTGGCGCGGCGGTCGGCGCACTGTGCCACAACAACCCGGCGACCCGGTGTTCGATCTCTGGCCACGGCACGTAGTATCCCCCCCGAACCAGTCCCCCTGCCTCACGCCTCGGATGGCCAACATGGTTAGTCAGCCGGGTGCAGTAGTCACTGACACCGCCACCGAGTAAACCTTCGCCGAACAGCAATTGCTCGTATGGTCCTACAAGGCTAAATGGGAACCCTTTGTCTTTTGTCTATGCACGTGTATGCATGCATGTACGTACGTTCGGTGTGTGCGTGCGTACGTGCGCGCATTTAACCCCAGCAGAAACTTTCGGCTGGCAAGGGTTACATTTGGCACAAAGACTTGGGTGTTAGGGGCGCTAAGGGCCAGCCGGCTGGGCACACGAGAGGCCTGGTAAGAGTTTTGTAAAAGGCAGAAAGAAAAAAAAAAGCCCCTACACACAACACAGCGCAGACACGGCGGTAGTTGTGGGAACGGCAATAGCAGCAGCAGCAGCAACAAAGAACAGCGGCAGTAGGAGCGCTACTCGCGGAGGTCGGAGCACCAATAGCTGTTGGCAACGGCGCCGTGAACAACAGGCTTGCGCCCCACGGTAGCGGCAGCAGCAGCATCAGCTGCAGCAGTGTGTCCATGTGGTCAACGTTGGCTTTGACAGTCTCGCGACTACAATTTGCGGTTATTTTTTGGCGTATTCTCAGGATTGAGAGGCCACTGGAGCTATGCACTTTTAAATCACCGACATTTAAAATGAATTTCTTTGGAACTGCTTTTTGTGTGTTTAGTTTGTCGTCCTTCCATCCACCCCCCCCCCCAATTCTCCAATTAGCACGGTTGGCTACGTACGGTGCAAAAGAAGTGCAACATAGAGATAAATACAGATTATAAGGCAAACATTTTTTCGGTGTTTTAACACGACAGTTGAGGGTGCACCTTACAATCTGGTAGGTGTGTGAGACCAGATTCGCATAACTTTATAGACTCAGTGCACAGCGTCAGTAAGGCGTGAACTTTAGTTTCTGGATGGAATGTGCCTTTTAACTTTCTGGAGCATCTTATAATGTGGAGAACATGATAACGGCACGTGATGGTGGCAGCTGCGGCATGTACGAGTGGTGGTGGTAGCGGTAAATGGCAATAACAGCATGTATCTGTGTACGTATGTTGAAATTATTTCGCACCGTACGTAGCCAACTGTGCTAATCAGAGGTGCGGGGGGGAAGAACAACAAGCTAAACACAAACAGCAGTTCTAAAGAAATGAGTTTGTCAAGCACGATGCTTTAAAAGTGCACAGCTGCAGCGGCTTCCTAACATCGGAAGGAAGAGCGCGTTCCAGACGCGGCACACCGCAACCTTGCGAGAACGCTCCTAGAAATTGTGCATTGCCGCGCATCTAACGCCCCCCCCCCCGTTTTTAAAGCACTGGCAAAGATATCCCCATCGACACACCGCACGCAAAGTGTTCCCTGGATTAACGTTTCCCCACGTCTAACATTCCATTCGGCGGGTTTCCTGAAAAGCGTCACGCTGACGTTTCACCGTGGTCAACGTCAGCATTGACGGACAGGAATAGATGCTCGGATTTGTGGTGGGGGGTTGCAGCGATCGTGATAATACCGCCCTCGGTGGAATGGGTCTTCTCTTGTGGTAGTGCTAGGGACAGTTGCTATTATACGAGCTTATCCAGGCCTGTTGTTGTTGTTGTTCTGGCATGTCAAAGGTGCGGTGACGTTTGGCTCTCGAATTCAGCATCGATTGTGAATGTCCGCGTTGTTCCAAGTCTGGGTGAGATTCTAGGACGGTGACGGCAGCGGCAGCAGGCGGCAACAGGAGGCAGCAGCAGCCGGCAGCAGCAGGAGGCAGCAGGACGCAGCAGGAGGCCGCAGCAGGCAGCAGGAGGCAGCAGCAGGAGGCAGCAGCAGGAGGCAGGAGGCGGCAGCAGCAGTGGCAGCAGCAGCAGGCTGGAGCAGGCAGCAGGAGGCGGCAGCAGCAGTGGCAGCAGCAGCAGGCTGGAGCAGGCAGCAGGAGGCAGCAGCAGCAGTGGCAGCAGCAGTGGCAGCAGCAGGAGGCTGGAGCAGGCAGCAGGAGGCAGCAGCAGCAGTGGCAGCAGCAGCAGGCTGGAGCAGGCAGCAGGAGGCAGCAGCAGCAGTGGCAGCAGCAGGAGGCAGCAGCAGGAGGCAGCAGGCAGCAGCAGGAGGCAGCAGCAGCAGTGGCAGCAGCAGGAGGCAGCAGCAGGAGGCAGCAGCAGCAGTGGCAGCAGCAGCAGGCTGCAGCAGGCAGCAGGAGGCAGCAGCAGCAGTGGCAGCAGCAGGAGGCAGCAGGCAGCAGCAGGAGGCAGCAGCAGCAGGAGGCAGCAGCAGGAGGCAGCAGCAGCAGGAGGCAGCAGCAGCAGGAGGCAGCAGCAGGAGGCGGCAGCAGCAGTGGCAGCAGCAGGCTGGAGCAGGCAGCAGGAGGCAGCAGGAGGCAGCAGGAGGCAGCAGCAGGAGGCAGCAGGAGGCGGCAGCAGCAGTGGCAGCAGCAGGCTGGAGCAGGCAGCAGGAGGCAGCAGCAGGAGGCAGCAGGAGGAGGCAGCAGGAGGAGGCAGCAGCAGGAGGCAGCAGCAGGAGGCAGCAGCAGGAGGCAGCAGGAGGCGGCAGCAGCAGTGGCAGCAGCAGGCTGGAGCAGGCAGCAGGAGGCAGCAGGAGGAGGCAGCAGCAGGAGGCAGCAGCAGGAGGCAGCAGCAGGAGGCAGCAGCAGGAGGCAGCAGCAGGAGGCAGCAGCAGGAGGCAGCAGGAGGAGGCAGCAGCAGGAGGCAGCAGCAGGAGGCAGCAGCAGGAGGCAGCAGGAGGAGGCAGCAGGAGGAGGCAGCAGCAGGAGGCAGCAGCAGGAGGCAGCAGCAGGAGGCAGCAGCAGGAGGCAGCAGGAGGCGGCAGCAGCAGTGGCAGCAGCAGGCTGGAGCAGGCAGCAGGAGGCAGCAGGAGGAGGCAGCAGCAGGAGGCAGCAGCAGGAGGCAGCAGCAGGAGGCAGCAGCAGGAGGCAGCAGCAGGAGGCAGCAGCAGGAGGCAGCAGCAGGAGGCAGCAGCAGGAGGCAGCAGGAGGAGGCAGCAGCAGGAGGCAGCAGCAGGAGGCAGCAGCAGGAGGCAGCAGCAGGAGGCAGCAGGAGGAGGCAGCAGCAGGAGGCAGCAGCAGGAGGCAGCAGGAGGAGGCAGCAGGAGTCAGCGGCGAGACACATCGCTGAGGTCTGGGTTGTTTTCATTGGCCAGATCATCTGAAAACTCCCTTTGGAGTTTGGAAGGATCATTCGTACGGATTGTGTAGATCGATTCAGGGGTACATATATCAGGAAAAGCGGATATTAGGGTCATTGAAAGGACTTTTACTGTATTGCCAGTCACAAGAGTGTTGCTATTCGTAGTAATAGTACCACACTCGTGATAATATTTTTTACGGTAGTGCTAACCGGTCGTAGTATCAGTGGAAGTCGTGGTGGTAGTTGTAACTACCGTGTTGCATAAAGTTACACTAACTTTACGAGAAGTTGTAATTGTAGCAGCAGTCGTATTGGTGGCATTGACCTGTGTAGTATTAATAGTTCTGTAGTGGTGCTGGCACTAGCAGCAGCAGCAGCACTGACAATTCAAGTCCACGTTGGTTGCCGAGAAACCTTTGCCGTCGCTGCAAAGCGAAGGAAAAAACGACCCACCAAATCCACATTCTATTTATGGGAGGCAGCGTTTGGCGACGACGATTGTGCACAATCACAGATTGTGCTGCAGCTCCACAAGGGGGACTCGGCTCGGCCGCTGGGAAGAGGGTGGGGGGGGGGCTCGGGGGGGAGGGGGGATTGAGGGGGCGGCGGTGGTGGGGGTGCGACGGGCAGGTCTTTGAGACAGGATGTGTTGTGACTTGTCTGGGCGAAGTCAGACACACGCCCAGGCAAGCGCATGCTCGAGCACATCCCCGACTTGCCCAGCGCGCCCTGCGAGCCGGAGGGCCGTGGGCTTTAAACGGGGTGGGCACTGGCGTAAAAGGTGCACTTGGCCTAAAGCTAAAGATAGAAATAACACGGTCGCAGATACGAATGCAGGCCACCCCACATGCGTCCGACGTCGTTCCCCCGTCCCGTGCGCACCTCAAAATTAAACCGTCAATCTCGCACCGGCCGCACCCTAGCTGGCGTGGCGGTGGTGGCGGCGGTGCTACGTGCCTGTAAACCCGGGTTGGTCGTCGAAGCGGCACTGAGTGGGGGACTTGCGCCAAGTGTGCGCCGGGCACCCGTTAGTACGGCAACGGGGTGCCTCTTAACAGGTGGCGCAACAAGTAGGTTAGACAATTATACTAACTCTCCCTTCCAAACTAAAGCAATCTTTTATTTTACCAGGTAAGGCCCACTGAAGCTCTATAACTCTTTTTCAGAAGCAACCTGGCCACAAATGGTAGATCAACAAAGTGGCTTATCACGTGGAAATTTATAGCAACCAAATACTCCACAAACGCGTGTCTATTCTAAATGCGGGAATAAAAAATGGGTAGGGCCCGGAGAAAAATGTACGCGACCACAACGAGAGAGAACGCGCAAACTCCAAATATAAAGGAGTCGGGGTCAAACCAACAAACCAACGTATACCAGGCGAGGTAGTCAACATCTCACCACCACGGCGCCCCCTTCATAGTATTGAAGGGTTTTAACATCGTAGTCGTAGAAGTATCCTTAAATTTAACCAAGAGATGGAAAACACGCCCCGTAGCGACACGCGATGGGACATTTGATCCTTTTTCAGAGGTGACCTATGTGACATCAACGTGTTGACAGTCGCCACAATGACCGGTGAAGCAAGCTGCCAAGCCAGTCCACGCAGTGTGCATCATCACCTTTGCAAGCAAATTGTACCTGCCTTCGTGGAAGTGGCGTTTTACTCTTAGCTGCCATGCTCAAGCCAGTATGGATTTTCCATTATGGACAAGCGGCAATTACGTCCGAGCACAAATCGGATGCACTTAATCGTAAGCAATTTCGCACGGCAAGCTTTTCATCTAAAAAAACTGAACTTATGCGTTTCATTGCAACCGTTTTAACATTGTTTTATTTTATTTTATTAAAAGAGATTAAAGTCTTGCACAAAACATAATCCGTTGCGAGCACTTGTTAGTAGTGCTAAAAGAGTGGAGCAAAGCAGACGTCCAGAATAAACGGCTCAGTTGAGACCTAAACATCGTCGAATCTCCTGCCTTTCACATTCCTCCTCCACCGGTGGAACCATCACCCACATAAGAACGCCAACAGGCCGCTGTGCCCATCCTAGATTTGAAGTTTTCTTGACTGCAAGGATTCAAACTCTGTTTTTTTCGGTAAAGTCACGTTCACAGCAAAATTACTGAATCAAGTGACGGTTCCACCTGAAGACGGAAGCTTGTGTTGCCTCCGAAACGTCGTGATTTAATTCAGTTTTTTTTTTTACTACGTGACTTAACCGAAAAAACCAAAGCGTATGTGCCCATCCTCTTCACGAGTGGTAAATTAGTGAGCGGAGACCCAAGACACAGGAGTGCGATTGTGGGCATGCAACCCAAACCCTATGGACCACACAGTAAACTCATAGAGACAGACAGACACAGGAGACGCAGAAACCCTGAGGACACATTAAAGACACGTGGCCCCAGTGTGACTATGAAACTGTGGCCATGTAACCCAAACTGTGGGCCATATCTATTAAACTGATGTGGTCTGCGCAGCTGCAAAGGCGGGATAACAAAACTCCGCCAACTTTCTTCCTGAAGTGCCCTCATCATGGCTTAGCAGACATTGACATCGGCATTTAGTCACTGGAAACATTTCCATCATAGGCAAGGAATAGAATCGTGGTAATGAACAAAGGGATTTTTTAATTTTTTCCCTCCGTGGAACTTGTCAAAGGGTCCAACACAGACAGACACGCACAGGCACACGCACGCACGCACGTCCAGGCCAATAACGAAGTTCCTTCTTCATTCCCAAAAATAGATGACCTCACATTTAGAGAGGCAATAAAAAAAAGCGAGACAATTTTTTGATCCGCTGCCATCGATTTTTTGTTGTTGCTGCGGCAGTTATGAAAGTGATCTGGGAGAAATGCGGAGCAGAGGGCTTCATTAGAGGTTCAATGAGTTTGTCACTCGACAGCGCAAAGTGACAGGGGGCAATTGCAACAGCAGGAACAGAAGTAGACTGGAAGATCACATTCACCGTTCGGCTTCATCACATTGAACCGTACGCGAATGATAATTGTGCTCACGTATTTTACACCTGTTTCTGACATTCACTTTGTACCCTGTGAATTTCCCCTCTGTACTTTGTACCCAGGCAGGCTTTGACCAAGCCCACAGAGCAACCAAGCATTTCTCTCGAAGCCACGAGTCCCGAGACTTGTCCTGCTGCACACACTCAGGGGCCAACTTCAGCGGCTTCTTCGACTGAATGAAGTTGAGATTTGAGTCGGGGGGACTGTGCGACAGCCCAACTTACCACGTGGTAGACTTAAGTGCCCCTTAAGTCGACCCTGCCTCCCAGGTCTCCCTTGCCAAACAGCCTCGCGTTTGAACGGACCCCCACTTTGGTTGCGAAGTTGAACGGTCGATTTGATTGCTAATAAAATAAGGGCATGAAGGCCCCAACACTGTTGAATACAAAACACTTGTGGGCAGTATGATCGGGGGGGGGGGGGGGGGGAGCGCATCTCCGATCAGCACAGTTGGCTACGTATGGTGCGAAAGAAGTTCAACATACATTTATACGTGTGCGTGAGTGGTCAGCGCAAGTGCCGGCTTACTGCTTAATCCCATTGCTGGGACCCGAAGGTAGTTGAAGATAGAGGTAGAGCTTCTCATTGTCCGTGAACTTATGGACTTCTTGCTGCAGGGTGGAGACATTGGACAATGCGACGAGCTGATAAGAGAAACCATTCTTTGGGAGCAACAGATTGGCGAAGGCGTTCGGATAAGACGAATAAGCATGCAACAAACAGCATCAACGGGCGCCAAAGTGTGCTGACTATTACCAGAGATTTATCCATGCCGTTGCGATGGTCATTAGGCATTGTGATAATACAGCAGCAGCAGCAGCACATACGCACATTTGCAATGGAGGCTCCTCTGTGGTGCTTCACAATTAGGTGGCAAATCAGCTGTTCAAAGCTCCCTCGATGAAGCTCCACTGCACCGGCTTTAGTTTACCCAGGGCCCACAAGAAGCCACTCAATGCGGCTCCCTTCTTCAAGAGATTCATCTTTACGGCTTCTCAATATAACCCATCGATAAGGCTCTCTCCAGGGACGAGTCTACGAAGCTCCTTATGACACTACAATATGACGCTTCTCTACAGGAGTTCTGATGAAGCTCTTCCTTAAGGCTCCTCTCTAAGACTTTTCAATGAGGGGCCTTTAAAGCAGATCCCAACGAAGCTGCACTCAGCCTATTAAAACCAAGGCCATCTATGAAGCAACGTGATGGACAACAATTGGAATTCTAAAATACAAAATAGCAAATGAAATCATCAATGTAAATGGGAGGCACTTACCAGAATGGATTCAATTTTTGATCTTGCGGTTTGGCTGCAAGAAAAAGAAAACATGAAAACGTTAAAAATGTTCAAACACACGACCCCTTTAAAAAAAAAAACAAGAAACATTTCGCAATTGTCCTAAGCAGCGAAAGTAAGACATTGACGCGCCACGGCCACGGTCGCTCGTGCGCCATCACGCCCCAAGAACGATGGCGCCTCTCACGAAGCCACCCGCCTCAAGATTTTAGCCGCGGAGCCACCAACTAGGATCGGAGCTGCACGACGTTGTGAACAACAACAACAAAACAGCAACAACAAGTGTAGCCAAGATTGGTGTCGAGTGCTGTGCGTGGTTCATCGATGGTCAGATACATCTGAGGATGCCCTCCCGTGTCCGGACCTTGACAACAATAAGCTCAAAACCCTTTAGAATCAAAATCTGAATATTTATTTGTTTCCGGAGGGCTCTGGATGTGCTGCAAAGCTCGTTTTCGCAGGGGCACGGGCTGAGAACGTCACAACGACAGACAATGCCATCGCACAACGAGAGTGCTGAGCATAGGAAAGGTAAACAAATCACACAGAAACACAACTGTAGAATTGGTGTGTTAGAACAAGGCTGAGACCACCCCCAAAACAATGATGCAAAGGGCCACGTGGGACATTGCAATAACAACATCGCCCAGTGGATGGCGGCACTGGCGGCCAACAACAAAAACGCTCCCACCGGACCCGATCCGCGTGATTTGTTTCACGACCAAACGGTCGGCCGGCTTCATAACATAATGTGAGATTGCATAATCTGAAATGGGACATTTTTTGGAACGCACGAAACAGACAACAAAAAAAAATCCACGAGAACACATCCCCGTGACCTGTTTCCCTGATGGCCAGACTTCGCTTGTACGCCACTACACCGGCTTTGAGAGAATAACAAATAAACACACTGCACAGTCTCTCCACAACAAACAACTAGGCAATTTCTCAGCAACTGCTGCAAACAACAACAGCAGCAGCAACTCCTGGTGCCGAGCAAAGCCGCTGACTGTGCTCTTTTAAGAACGAGAGCGTGACACGAGAGAGAATGCGCTGGCTACGTTATAGCCTGCAGCACCGTGTGTCTTCGGAGTGCATCGCATTGAGCGGCGGCAGCAGCAAGCAGCGATGACATCACCAACGCTGGACCCGATAAATACGAGGACAACAAACCGTGCACAGTCCACTCATAACAATGACCTCAGCCCCCAGTGGGACAAAGCCTTCCGTTTTCCCCACAAGGCGGCGGTAACTGCGGTTGGGCACATTCATCTGAATCTCAACCGCACGGCCCGGTCGATAAAGATTGCAGCAACGGCAGCGATTGAGCGCAACGGCGCGTACTCCGCCGACAAAATAAAAACACGTGGTACGAATAAGCTCCGAAGAGCGGCTTTCAATTAAAAGTGTTGAAGGGCGTTCTTAAAAAGGAGGAAACAAGCTGGTGGTTCACAATACATGTCCGTCAGCTCGGTATGCCTCTCTCCTTCCTACGCGGCTCGACCACGAGGCGTTATTAGCGTTACAAAGCTACGCTGTGGGTGGGAATTGATCTCATTGCCCCAGGGGCACAGACACTGGGGACAAACAGACCCGCATGCACACAAGCGAGCATTGCTGGGAACAACTCGCAACACGTGCACAGCCGCACACACACACAAAGACAAAGATCCCCCGCATAGCGTTAACAGACTATTGGGGCAAGTGCTGTTAAGCGAGCACCTATGAAGGCTGGCACGGCACACGAGGGGGTGGGTGGCCAGCACCACGCCTGGTAGACTTAGTCTCCCCAGTGGCGATGTTTACACACCGCACCAGGTACTTATTTGAGGCCTAGTCGACCTAGGGGATGCCCAGAACCTGTTCAGATTATCGTTACTGCTGTTGGAATTGAACTCGTGTCGCCGGATTTTTAGTGCAATGCGCTAACCACTGCGCCACCACTATGTGCACACACACACACGACATACACGTGCCAACAAACACACACACACACGTGCGTATGCATACCCAGACAACATTATCATCGTTATTAATAGAGTACCTTTCACAACCTGGTCTGAGTGCCTTAGCAAAACACACACACACAGCTACAAACAACGTACAGGATTTACACACGCGCGTGCACACTCGCACACAACGCACGCGCTTACGAGGAATGCGTGACCACACCCACGTGCACCTCGTGTGTATCCAGGAATCGCACCTGAAACCTCGCCAATAACAAGAACGCCTTCTCTCTCCATCTCAACACAAACAAATGCACGTACACACACACACGTGACCCATGCACCTTTGTCCAAAAGCTTCCCCGTCTCTTGGCTTGGTAGCTAAAGCACATCGCTTGCAACCCAGAGGTGCAGAGTTCGCAAGCCGGGGTTGCTCGTCAAGGGCGTTCGTTCACGAGGGCCCACACTTTGTTGACTTACATCTATCACGCCTCGAGGGTTTTTTTTTCCTGGCGGCGAAGGGAGGGCAATAACCAAATGGGTGGTGGTGGTGGTGGCGGGGGGCACACACACCGACTCCTCCACACACCTGTGCAACATAAACAAGGTCCAGCAGCCGCTGCTGGAAATAACTGGGGGCAAACTGCTTTACTGGGGGAGTCTTTGTCTATTGGCGGGGGCGATTCTCACGCTAAACCACCAACGCCGCTGGTGAATGTACTAATCGTCGTTATGAATGTTGAAATTAGTCAGGAAAAATAAAAGCAAAAACCCACGGAGAGACATTCATTATACTATCATTCATCTTTTGCTGATATTAATGTCCGAGCATGCTTGTTCTCAAACAGAGTTTGCATGCAGTTGGCAGTGTGACTGCTGCTGCTGCCAGCACGTAGTAAACACAGCAGGGAAATTATTACCAAAGCAAGGAACGCCACGGAATCGTCTCTAAAGTTTATGTCAAGAGTTTCAATGTCACCTTCTCGAGTGGGCTACGGGAAGATATTGAAATTGGCTCCGAATGTGGCCACTTTTCATCGTCAGCCGTCTCCCAAGTTATCACCAGCTGCCATGGTGTCGTGACGCAGCAACGCAATCGAGCTCCTGCACCACGAGCTCATGGTATTTCATCGCTCCGTCTCCACGGAGGCGGTCTCCTCTCGGGCGTGTTCCCTCCTTGGGCTGCGACTCCCGTCACGACCATTGGGCCCCCCTTTCCCGCGCTCAAGATTGATAACGCCACTTGAACACAGCAGTTGGCAGAGATCGTCACCGCCACTCCGCAAACGTTGTACTTTTTTCTTGATTATAGCTCACAACAAATGCTTTCATCCAACCACCCTCGCACAAAAAGATGCTTGAAAAGTATTTTTGGGGAAATTGTTGATAGAGAGCACCCCCCACAGTTTTGTCATCCTGTGGAATATTTTACGTTTTTGGGACCCTGAAAAAGTACAGCGTCAAGGAAACCTACGCCTAGATGCGTACATGAACTTTACAGACAAACAAAGAAATGAACATCTGAGTAGAGTTCCCCCCGAGTGCCGGGCACTGGCGCGGCGTCCTGTGCACATTCGGAGCGTGTCGGTGACCGCTGTACGAATAAACCACAGCATCGAGAAAACGCTGCGGTCAAGAAGTCAAGAGGTTAAGAGGTCAACACCGGGAATTCCCAACTCTGTAGGGTTATAGGTCATGGGGTTGTTTGGTGGGTCAACCGCATCGGAGAAACCCAGCGCACGAACAATCTCCCATACAAAAACATCAACCAAGATAGAGATCTGGGTTGAAAATGTTTTCGGTAACCTACACGGTTGACTGCAGGACCGTAACACGCATGGGTGGGTCGGTAACACCTACGCACGAAGAATAAACATTTAACAGGAAAACTAACAACGAAAGACACTTCCGAAGCGGCGGTAGGAAAAATATCAAGGAACCTACGCATTTCAATTTGTGCACGTTGTATCTCATGGATACAAGGCATCACTCCAGCCACTGGACGCGCCGGCCCATTCAACACACCGTGAAAACAACACTCGAGTCTTCAAATGGAACCATGGCCCCAAAACTACGGGACGATTCATCCCAAATGCCACGGTGGGTGAATCTATCGGTGCCTAATACACAGCACGTGTTTATAATGCATAGGAGCCGATCCTGGCGGGAGGAATTAATTCTGGTGGGAGGGCCCCGTGGTGGCGAGACGTTAGCTACCTCCTCTGGTGTGCAGCAGGTCGCTGGTTCCATCCCGACCCTGACGCCTGCTGTCGATTTGAACTTTGCGTGTTCTCCCCGTGGTCGTGTGAATTTTTCTCTGGGTCCTCCCGTTTTTTCCTCCACATTTAGAATCAACATGCATGTAATGTATTTGGCTGCTATATTCGATGGGGCTATCATTCGTGACAGCCAGGTCGCTTCTCAAAAAGAGCTATGGAGCTCAAGCGGGCCCACCCTGTACCTCAGACGTGCAGTGGACTCTTACGCGCAAAAACAAAAAACGGCTGCCAAAAGCCCTCGGGAAAGTATAACCGGCGGTGTTACATCAACCGCGTGCGTAAACGCAGGCGATGATTATTTGATTAGTTTCGTAAAAAAAACGCACGCACATCGGACGCGTTTAAAGTCTGACGAGGCGTATTTGGCACCGGGCCGCTTGGTCTCCGCCGTTATCCATCTGCAACAACAACGAGCAAATCAATTCGCTCTCTGGAAATGCAAGCCGTCGTGTAAAGTTTACCTGGCCCAGGGCAAGGCGGTCTCTCTCTCTCTCAACTTAAAACGTCGCGATGTGTTTGTCTCCAGAAGACGACGCAGAAATCCGCGAGCGGACGCCACGATCGGCTGCGGTCATCTCGTGCGTTCGATTTGTCGATGCCCCATCATCATTGCAGCGCTTGGTCTATGCGCTGCTGGGTTAAGGGCCTTCCCATGCCACGATTTGTTTGAGAAAAGTTTGCTTGACCATTCTTCGCTACACCGGTCAGTGTGCGTAGGTGAAGGTGGGGGGGGAACCGGTTATAGTAATTGTTCGCCAAAGATGGGGGATGGTCTCATCCCGGTC